GGCATGTAGTCTTTACTTTGTCCCGTTGTTTGCGTATATCCCGAAACGCGATGTGTATGGTTTCCTCTCCCTGAGTGTCACCCAGAAACAATTTATAGCAAACTGAACGTCGTCTTTAACATCATATCCTTTACCTTTTTCATTGCTGACCAATCCCAAATTATGCTTATGCCAACCTGCTTGAGATGTACTTAAATCTATGTAGTGACTGTGTGCAGGTAAATTTTCACCTGAAATCGTTTTACTTCCACCTGTTTCCTTTGAAGAGTTTGCACAATACAAAAACCTGTCGACTATTTGAGTCCAAGTTCCAAAACCCAGAACTGTTTCTGGTCTGGTAGAGTTCATTGACGTATAAATAGAGCCTATAGGATATACTGTTTGAAGTATTTCTGTCTTTAACGTTTGAAGCTCTGTTTTGTCAGCTTTCTTATCTAACTCATCGTTAACATATGTTTTGTCAGCTTTTTTATCTAACTCATCGTTAACATATGTTTTGTCAGCTTTTTTATCATATAAATCTTGAGCAGTGAATTTAACTTTGTTTTCATCCTCCATGACATAGACATTTCTACATCTAATGTATCTCATCGTTGTTATGTCTTCTTCCGATGTTAAACCTTGTGGAAAGTTAGGAGGTTTCCAATTTAATACATCCCCACCAGTTTCTTCAACCGTTCCTTCAATATTTTCTATACCAACAGTTGCGAAGAAATCGTGTGTATGTCCAACGTCACTTTTCCTGTTTAAGGTTTCTTGTAAGTTTGTAATATTTGCAATGGTATGTGTATGAGTCTTTTTAGAATATTCTTTGTCAGCTCTTGTCACTTCACTTGACATTTTATTGTCAACATATGTTTTATCTGCTTTGTCATCTAACATTGCTGGTAGTTCATCTACGTCATAGATGTTATGTGTATGATGTTTTTGTGGGTATGTTCTATCTGTCCATGCGAGAATATAGTCTCTTGTGCATCTACATACTCTTTGTCAGCTTTGTTGTCAATATCTGCTTTCAAAAGAAGTTCATCTATAGGTTTCTCGTTTAAAGTTCTTTTTGGATTTATACAAAACAGGTATGGTTCTTACTGTCTTGAAACAGAAACTCGTCTGTCAATGGGTTTAATGTCAGTTTTTAAGTTTCCTTCTTTCAATGACTCAGATATCTTAGAATAGTTTGAAAAGTTGTTGTGTTCTTATTTAGAGCTTGTACAATGAGTTGTCGGTTGTGTTGTATTTCTCTCATAGACGCTGTTTCTTTCGACATTTTTATTCTAGATAAAATATGCTTTCAATAGAAAAAGAAAATTCTAGAGTTGCTACAACTAAACCATTAGATGAACTTTTTACGAATGTCGGTCAAAAGTTTGAGACAGAGACCGTAAAGCATGAAGGCTATCGTTTTGACTACCCGTTAAGATGGCTAAGAGACCCATCCGTCACAAAAGCTATTGGCTTTCGTAGAATGAAATTCATTTCAGAAGCCATACATGGTTTCCCATTTACGGTCGCTTTTGAAATTCGATACTATAACAAAGAGAAACGTACGTATGAGAAATTTGAACAGGGAAAACTTTTACAAGTGAATTTGCTTGTAAACTTAGAAACAACTCTTCAAGCTTTTCAAGAAAAAATAAACGATATCTATCTCGAATATGCAAAACAGTACAACATTGACGAAGGAGAGTACCATCTCGATATTGTTTATGACAGGAAAAATGCAACTGTTAAAATCGATAGAATAGAAGACCTTGGAGAAGACGTTTATATTTCTACAAAATATAACAACTTGGCATGGTATAGATTTTTGAGGATGTTAAATCAGCCTGCAGAATATCCAGTACACCCGAACTTTTATGAAGTCGAAAACCCTAATGGAACATATGAAAATGTTTTCGACTCAGATGCTATTATAGTTCATGCTTCATTTTCTGGTGCACAAAACTCTTTTTTATGCTTGGCAAATGACTTTTACGAAAAACCTACAAAGCTATATGAACCACCGAGTGGAAGTATTTCAGACTTTCAAGTATGGTTTACAACAGATGGAAGAAAGAGAATAATTCCATTATACCATGCGTTTTACTTAGAACTTAGTTTCATATACAACTACTATCGAACGGTAAAAATATAATTTTAATACGGTTGAGGTGTTGGATTTGGTTGCCAACTAGACTGTGGTGCAGGTTCAGGCTGTTGTATAACAGGAGCTTGTTCTTCTGGTTCAGGGTCTTTAGGTATAATACCAACGAACTGACCTACTCTTTTGCCAATATTTTTGACTCCGTTCCATACTCCCCTTCCTACGGTTTTTATTCCATTCCATATACCTCTTCCAACATTTCGAAAGAAGTTTCCAATACTACTGAAGAAACCCATTTTACTATATGTAAAAATCTAATGTCCACCTAGTCTCTTACGTTTCCTTCTGAGTTCCATAGCATTCTTTAACTGGAGCTCATACATTCTATTTCTCCTCTGGTAGAAAACATACTCTGGGTCAACTCCTGTGTTCGCGTCATCTGCATAGAGTTGTTTATATCCCACTTCGGGGTTTGTATAAAACTCTTTCCATCTCATATTTGCATACCATGGTGGTAAGCCTAACGCAGCGTCATTTGACATGGCAGTTTGCATTTGTACATCTGTTGGCACTTGACCATAGTTTGCCATTGCAGTTTGTATTCTAACTTCATTTGGAATATTCTCTGGGTTTGGTTGTCCAGGTTGCTGTGCATTCGCTAAGTTCTGTGCGTCCATTTAATATTAGATAAAAATATCTCTTACGAGTACATATGCTGAACATTTGCAGGCATTGGTTCATCTTCATATTCTCTATATCTTTCTGCCACGTCAAATAAGTAAATGACACAATGGAAAAAACCTAAAACAAGTAGTCCTATTTCAAACCACATTTACTTACTAGTAAAATTTCTTTGTTATGACACTTTCTCCGGTTTATAGGACCTCTCTCATATTCTATCTTGTCATATCTAAACTCATAGTCATGTATGTCCTCTAACCATCTCATAACGGTTTCCAAACCACTTTTATCGGATGTAAAGTAAAAGCATGGACAGTTATGTAAAACGTCTAAAGTTTCTAAAGAGTCTCTCAAAGTCCAGTCTACTTGGTATTGAAAATCCCATGTGTTATAGAACGGCGGGTCCACTATAAAGAAAACATTTTCCTTGTCTTTATATTTTTCATACAACTCTGTCCAACGACATCTCACAAACTCTATACCCTCAATATATTTTTCTATGTCCTCTTTGAAAACATTTGTATAGTTAAGATATAAAACTTTTGACATAAGTGTTTCAATGTCATGAACTCTTATAGCACCACTATATAATAGTCTAGCAGATATACTATCCCAGTCTATATATTCTGCTTTTTTCAAAACCTCTCTGACAGTATTTTTCTTATCTAATGGTATACGTTCCATCTTACCTATAGGTATCTTTTCTTTCAACTCACTCAATATTTTATTGTGTCTGGTATATGTTTGAGACGGTTCATATAGTTGTCGAAGTCATTGCATATAATCTTTGAGTCAGGAAATACAGTATGGCACAAATGGGATATATAGAAACTTCCACCGAACAAATCTACAAATGTTAGACCATTCGGTAGTTTCTTAAGTTCTCTCAATAGAATATCTTTACATCTACTCTTATTTCCAAAGAAGGGTAACGGTGGTTTTGTGAAATTCATTTTATATTTAATAAAAATGTTTTTTTCCTGAAAAGTGACAGAAAAGTGACGGGGGGCTAGAGGGCACGAAGTGCCTGGAAGCCCCACTACCTTTTTTTTTTTTTTTTTTTTTATAACAGTAAATATTTTTGAATGCAATAGAATTTTGTAAGTTTAACTTTTAGGCTTATTCATTAATCATTCAATGTATAAAAGTTAATTTTCGATGTCGAGATGTAATACAAAAGTAATTCACGTTAATATTTAGCATCAATTTGAGATCACTGAGAAATGTGAATTATGAAAATTTCCGATTGCTTGTCATTTTAGGAAATTACTCGGTTTTGAATTCAATTCCCGAAATTAATAAAGTAATTATAATATAAACTAAATCAGTGATAAATATATCATGTCAAATATGGATTTATATTAAAAAAATGTTCATCGAAATTATCTATATATTTTTATTGAAAACTATAAATAATTTATAAATTCAAAAACTATAGTTTTTCAAACGATAAAAAAAGTGGCCAAAATCAAGGGGAAAAATGTTAAAACTTATGGCTTAATGATAAATTATAACTTTGCTTGTTTGATTATAAAAAAAATCTATGAGTTTCTTCAATCAATTTTTAAGTATTTGTACTGATGGGAAATTTGAGTCAGACAAGTGCAATAATGTCTTTAATTACATTTTTGCAAAACATTGGATCTGCCATTGATTTCGATAAGTTTCCAATTACAACGAAAATCAAGAAATGGGCCGGAGCTTTGAAAAATTTTATTATGCTAATTGCAAATAATACATTAGATTATTTAAATAATCATGACTTCAGATTTCTCATGTTAGCCATTCTTATTATCTTATCATTAACTACTATCGTTCCAAGTTTCATATCAGGAACTCATTATTTCTACGTTGTATTCAGATTTGGAATTTATTTTACAGCAGCACTTCCTGTGTTCTTTTTGTCATTGTATCAAGTACCAATTTATGCACAAATCTTAATAGTTATTTTTTCATCAATAATTGCCTTTACATTTCGATATTTTGTATGCAAATGTTGGAACAATGCTATCGATGATATCAAATACGCACCTTCGGAGGAAGATTTTAATGAACAAAAGAAAATTATTTATTCAAATCATGATCCAGAAGAATATCTTCAAAAAATAAAAGAAGGTCTGCAATCATATGAACCGAGTCTTTGTACTGAAATTACAAAAATATTTTTGGTGTCATTTTTGGTGTTGTTGCCTTTATTTTTAGAGAAAAAGATATAATTGTCGTAGTTATTTTATCAATGTTTTCTGTTATCTTCATCTTTAGAGGATTACTAGGTATGTGTGAGTGGACTCGAAAATTAAAACTCAAAATTAAAGTAATCTTCAAGAAACTCACATTCACAGTATTCACATTATTCTTAGATATTTTCTATATTCCTCTTTTAACGTATTTCCTCCAAATGATTTATAGTACAACTGTACAATGTCCAGAAGGATATTACTGGGGTTCTTATCGAGGTAATGATCTATTACGAAAAGATCAAGCTCATTGTATTCCATGTTCTAATACATTAAGGTATAATTATCCAGGAATAGAGCAATTTACTAATAATATTATAACTGTTAACAACACAAACTCTATTTTGAAAATGTTTACAAATTTCATGTCAGATAATCCAAACATTTATAAGGAAACGCATGGTACATTAAATCTAACAATCGATCAAATTGAATATGCAATCAGAATGTGTCCTCATATATGTGGTGGAAATCCAATTCGTGTTGTTAAATCTCAGCCATCTATTTATTTTGATGAAGAAATTGTAACATATTGGATTTTTTATTTTTATTGGGCTGTTGCATTCATTATGATTGGATGCCCTGCTTTATACTTTGTTTTGATATACAGAGCAAGAAAACAATTCAAAACTATTGCAGCTTATGGAGATTCTAAAGAATACAGGTGGCATTGCTTAATGTCAAGAGTTGAAACTGTTGGAGCGAAGTTCTGCAAAGATTTAACTTATTTCAATCCATATTGGTCAATTGTGAAAATTATCTATAAGTTCCTTGTATTACTCGTTACAACTTTAGCAAATCTTGCACACAAAAACATCATTGGATGCCTCCCTGTTTTACATATTTTGATGTTTATTTTGACATTAGTAAGAAAGCCATATTTCGCATTTCTCAACAACTTAGTTGATATGATATTATATATAACTAATGCAGTCGTCGGAATTGTTGCAGCAATCAATGCTGCCAAACCACTTCCAGCAAAAGTCAACTCGGTATTTGTCGTCATTGCAGATGTTGTTGGCGTTCTTGCAACAGTTGGCGCAATTGTTGCCAGTATGCTTGATAAAAAGAAACTTGTTGACCCAACAAGGCTTTCTGATAATGATAAAATACGAATCAAAAGAGAAGAAGAAAAGAAGGCTGCAGAAGAAAAAGAAAAGAAAAAGAAGAAGAAAGATGAAGACAAAGAAAGTGATGAAGATAAAAATAAAGTTAATAAAGGAAAAGATGCAAAAGAAAAGGATAAAAAGAAGAATTCTAAAAGAAAACACTCTCATCCAAAAAAGGGCAAAGAAGATGATTTATTGGATAATTCATCTGATGAAAGTAATGATGATGAATCATATTCCAAGAAGAGTAAGAAACATAAAGATGATATGAGTGATTTCAGTTACAGCGATGAAGATGAAAAATCAAAAAGTAATTCGAAATCAAAGAAGAAAGAGGAAATTATCGAAGATGATAATGTTGATAAAGATGAAATCTCCGACACTGAAAATATTAAAGAAAACAAAGACAAATCAGATGAAAAGAAGAATAAAGATGACAAAGATAAGAAAGATGACAAAGATAAGAAAAAGAAGAAGGATCCATTGGAAGGTGATACAGATGTTGGTCCAATTCAAATACAAAAGAACTTGATTAAACCAGTTGATGGACTGAATGAAGTTATTGATGAAGACCTTTATGGTGAACGACTTGATATAAGAAAAAGATTTACTCTCCTATATCAAGCTTGTGATTTGAGTATTGATAGTGTTGAGTTTTCTATATTAACACGATTCCTAAGATACATGAGCATTATGGGAGTCATGATAGCACTTCCTATGTTTTTGTCTGCAAGTCGTGAAGATTTTTATTGTGTCGAATTTAAGAATTGGTTTGAAGCCCATCATTAACGCCAAATGGTATTATAACTAATAAAAACATTGATTTTCTTGAAAATGGAGCATCTAATTTTATTCTTTGCATTTCCTCGTTTTAGATTTTTTTTTTCACCCTAAAAATGAAAAATTCGAAATTGCACCATTCCAAATTATTAGATATATATTGATCAGTCAGAACACATAATACTGGCCTTTGAAATAAAAATATTTTAATTCAATAGAATGTCTATCAAAATAATTTGATTGGAAACGAAATAAAAATTTTTGTCATTAAATAACATATATTTTTATATAACATATATTCAATATTTTTCCTTCTTTTATATAATTGAAAACCCATCACAAAAATTCGAAAGAAATTAAATTTCCTAGAAGCTCGATTTATAATATGTTTTTTTGTCTAAAAATTTGCAACATTTAATTGTGTTATATTACAAATAGAGTTCCACTATGAGGGGGCATACTTACAAAAAAAATCCTGACACTACGTAAAAATAATTACAAATGTCATTTAGTGTTTTTGATCTATTATATCAATGTCAAGGAAAGAATCAAAGTTATCGAAGGTTCGTTTTAATAGTTGCTGGTTTGCTTTCTTGTGCAATCCTGATATTAAACGTTATTCTCTTTTTTATATTACCAAAATTCTTCAGTCAATGATAACCCAGAATTCGATGGTGTTGATGACAAGTTTTCAATCATTATCGCAACTCATTTCCCAAGAAAGTCAATGATTCGCAGACAATTAAATAAAATCTCGTTTAACCAAGTACCACACTTGAAAGAAATATTTATCTATTGGGTTGACACAAATAATCCAATACCAAACTTAGATTTCTTTGGATTCAAGCCAAACGACGGCCATATTCCAGTTACAATCTTACCAACTGTATCTGGATTCATCACAGACAGATTTATAGCTCCAGAGAACTTGAGCACAGACACAGTACTTATAATGGACGATGACTTAGTCATTTCAGGAACAGAACTCGACAGAGCCTTTGTTGTCTACAAAAAGAACAATTTCACCGATAGAATCTTCGGTTTAAGAACGAGATCATTCAAGAAAGACAAATATAATTTATTCGAATACGACCGTCCCTATAATATGGTGATAACAAACTTCGCATTCTTGAACGTTAAAATGCTTGAGTATTATCACTTACCAAAATATAAAGAACTTGTTGATTATTGTGTTAAAATTAGGAATTGTGATGATATATTGATGAACTACATAGCGAGTCATGAATTTAAGAAGTCACCGATTGCAATTAATTTAGATGTGATCCATCTTGGAGTTTTCGGAATTAGCTTCGGAAAGGATCACAAGGAGAAAAGAGATAAATGTTGCCAGATGTTTACAAAACATTTCGGGTACGACGTTGTTGGAACTTATGAATCTAATTCAATCTTTCAAAAAACTTGGTAGATTCTAAATCAACATATCAATGAGCTTCGTGAAATCTAATTCAATCTTTCTAAATACCTGGCAGAAGATTATGATTAGTTAGAATTTATAGATGGTTTCTGAGTATTCAGAGAAGTGCTTGTAAATGGCCTGTATACTTGAACCTATATGTTATATTAAATTAATTTTTACTATTCAAATAAGAACAAATAATAAAAACTCTTTTTTTGAATTTCTATGGTTGCAATATGGAGATTTTTAACTCGCATGATGAAATATTAAGTTCGGGCCTCTCATGAATTCTATGAAATACTTTATTCAAGAATGAATTTTTCAGTTTTTAATAAAATACAAAGACACTTTCTCAGAAGCTTAGAAAATTCACAAAGATGACAGAATTCTCGTTTGTTCTACATTAATTATTTTGATAGGTTTTAATGAGATTTCATATTCAAATTGATAACTCACTAAGTAATGGTTGAAGCATACTTCATATGCAGCTGAACTCAGACTCATTCAAAAGCATTGATAAATCTCATTACAATAAAAAAATTCATCAAACTCAAAAAAAAATTAATAGATATAGTAATTGATTAGTTGGCCAGCCAAATATCACAGGCTCTATCAATTTTGGTTCAATATGGAATACTTTTTCTGAGAAATAAAACATGTCATGAAATGTTGGAAGCTAAAAAGATATCTGTCTGAATTTTGAATGGAATGGCCATGACAAGGGTAAATTGCCCTAGGAAAACGAGATAATTGGTCAGTTGTCCGTTGAAATCGAATTAAAATGAAAAATATTGAGCTTTTGAGTGATTTTTTCATGAGCAAATAAGCCAGACCACTGTACAGTTAAAATCTGTCTCAAAATATGGAGATATAACCACTAAAATGTCTTCAAAAAGTATTTTGTGGCCATTAGGGGAAAATGAAAATTTTGAATTCCTCTTCAAAATATAAAATGAAAAATATGATTTTCGTATTACCCTGACAACAATGATTGCGGTAGTAAGGATCGATGTAAACTTCACAAAACAATTTTTAGATTAATTATTATGTTTTACCAAAACAATCAATGTTATGAAAAATTTAATTTTGAATATTCACAAAGTATTGAAAGTGAAAAGAATGACTTCATTTTCCCTCGTTGCGGAATGTCTAACTGTATGGAAGAGTTCTTCAAACACTTCGAGATCGAGGCTAATGTTGTTGAAAGAATCTCAAGATTCGCAGATACAATCAGAACAAGATCAAAACTTAATTCGACAATGAACGTCCTTGATTTTGGCTGCGAAAGAGGTTTGGTTGGTCTCAGTCTCATTAAGGAAAGCAAAAAGATGACATTCCTTGATCCATCAAAGCCTGCAATTGAACAAGTTCAGAAGGGAGTTGAATATCTCAAGGCAGAGAACTACGAGATCGTTAACAAGAAGATCGAAGAATACGATGGAGAGAAGTTTGATCTCATCTTTGCTTCAATTTGTCTTCATCATGTTGAAGATTACAAAGGCGCACTCGAAAAGATGCACGCTCTCCTCAACCCAGGAGGGCAGCTTATTATCATTGAGATTTACACAGGAGTAATCCCAGATAATGTTCCAATTCCTCATCACGGCTTCGAACCAAATGTTTTGGTCACTGCTCTCACTGAAAAAGATTTCAAGGACATCAAATGGGAAGATTTTGGTTCATTCGAACACCTCAACCAGAAAGTTCCGATTTACCTCGTTACTGCAAAAGTTTAAACATATGTAATACTAATAAAAGTAATTTACCTACATAAAACCTCAGATTTTATTTTCTTTTGACAAGATTTATAAAAAATAATCGAAAGTATTAAATATTAAAGCCTTACTATGTATAATACTCTATTAGGTATATTGTCTAAGAAATAGGATCGTTGATTAAAGTGGATGAATCTGCTATATTTGAACAATTTGAAAAATTATTTTGATTTAAGATAGTCATTTTAGCTTTATTAGTTGTAATTCTAAATACATAACAAACAACATATAATATTTTTTTAAATAAATTGATCAATGATGGAAAGAATTTGTAAAAGCAATTCAATAGTTAGTGTTGAGCTGATGCTCCGTATTTCCTAAGGACACCTAATGTTTCTGATAATAAATCTTGTATTTGAGGCTCCATCATACGTTTCAGATCAATATCTTTCTTACGCTGAGCTAATTGAATAGGAGTTCCTGGTTTATCAGGTGATGTTTGTTCTGAATCTGAAATAATCTTGTTAACTTTTTCGATGGTATCTACAGGTTCAACATCAATTAAGTCTTCAAAGCGTTTTAGCGACTCATTATCAGTTTCTTATATTCTAAACTTAATTTCTGGAGTATATTGAATCTTTTTCTCAGAAGTTTCATTCTGGCTTTCGGCCATCAGATTGCTCGAGAAAAATATGAAAATAAGCATGCTTTAAATTGAGATTGAATTGCTTCGCTGAAGTAACGGATATCATTTCGGTTTGAAAAAGCGTTAATATCTCTAAAAAATAAAATAACAAACAATTTATTTGGACAAATAAAGATAATAATGAACGAATATATGCTCTATAAAGGCAAGTAAAGCATAAGACATATAATTAAAATTCAGATTTTCTAATTTCTAATCATATATATCATAAATGATCAAAACACTGCCATGATTTGGTATAACCTTGGTCGGTGATTGTCAAATGACCGAAATGCGATCTTTTCCAAGTATTTTTTAAAAAATATTATAAGTTTGGTCAATTGGAATAATAAACTAGTAATTAACTACTTTATAGTTGATTTGTTGATCATCAGTTTGCTTTGAATCAATTTCATTTCTCATTTCTTGGATTTGCTTTTTGATTTCAAGGAATTTTTCCTTGTATTCATTGATTTCCTCTTGAGATGCACCAAGTATGCGTTTTATATTCTCAAGAGCTTCGATTGCTGGGGTTTTAAGGTTTAATTCTGATAATTGCTTCCAATATTCTAATTTACTGGTGTATTCGTTTTTTATATCTTGTAAAATTAGTTTTGAATACGAATTTTTAAAATTTGATTCGCAATTTAAAAATTGTTGAAATTGTTCTGAAAATTTCGAGAATTTATCATAGTTATATGTATTCAATTCATAAACTATGGTTTCTAAAGAAGGAGATATGTCTTCTCGACGAAGAATATCATAATCATCCCGGTCAATTGTTTTTTGAAGACGTTTTCGTATAATTTCGTTTAAAATAGGCGTCATCACGCCACTCTCCATCTTTAGGGTTGCATTGGCTTTTATTTTCTTTGTGGCTCCTGATGGATCATCACTCATCAATTTTTGTTCTTTTGTAAAGTGATTAGTATTGAGTTATTTTATGATGTGTTAATTATATAAATTTATTCTCCTTAGATTTATATGAGGTAGAAAGTTGAGAAAATAAAAAAATCAATAAATATATAAATTGTTCACAATTTGTTTATCCCAAATTGATATAAATGCATTACTGTATTAAAAAATTTAATCTGAAATCTTCATATAAAATTATTTATTTCACAATAATGAGGTAACTAAGCTAATAAAGCTTGAATAGATGGATCTGTTGCAGCAGAAATAACAGAGTTTGTTTCATTGTGCCAGTTCTTATCTGCACCATATTCTAATAAAATCTTAACAATCTCTGCGAAACCCTTCTTTGCTGCACAATACAAAGGGCTTGGAACATTGCCTGCACATAAATCTACTTTTGCTCCTCTTTGACATAGTAATCTTACTATTTGAGGAAAATTATCTTGAGCTGCAACATATAGAGCTGTAGCTCCAACTGTCATAACAATATTAACATCTGCTTTCCCTATGTCAATCAATAATTTAGCAGCTTCGTAATCACCAGTTTGACATGCATAGCATAATGCTGTAGCTCCATTAATATTAACAGAGTTAACGTCGGCGCCCATTTTAATTAATTTTTGAAGACAATTATTATCACCAACTGCTAAATAAATTGGTGTTTGATCTTTTTCATCTCTTTGTTCCAAATTCATGAAATATCCTTTTTCAATATAATAATCCAAAAGCTCATTAGCAGTTTTATAGAATCGTAATTTGCATAATTTCATTAATAGCTCTCCATTACTTGGATTAAAACCATTTTCTAATAAGAATCTTATGATTTTTGGAGAATCTTCTGTATTTCTAGACGTGAGTGCATTTATGATATTTTCATCTGATTCATAATCAACTTTGCAGCCTTTATCTGATATCATTTTCATTATTTGGTAATTGCCGGAGCTAATAGCAGCACTTAATATTCGTTCATAATCAGTTTTTGCACCATAATCTAATAGCATTTGAACCAGTTCAATTTTGGAACTTTTACATGCAGCAATTAATGGTGTTCTCTTCTCAGATCCATTATAGTTAATATCAGCACCACTCTCAATAAGGAGTCTAGCGCATTCAAGGTTTCCGTTTGTACAAGCGGCAATTAAAGGACTTGTTCCTTTAGGACAGTAATTTACATCCGCACCTTTTTCAATTAAAATCATCATTGATTCGATACTGTTATTTTCTGCAGCAGAGATCAATGGAGATGAAATCATTTCATCACTGCTTTCAACAGCAAGTAAAGCGCCGTTCTCTAAAAGAACTGTTAAACTCTCGAACTTATTCAATAAGCAGCAATTCATAACAGCATAATAGCCATCATTTGTTGAAAAATTCAAATTTGTTGTCGCTAAGAATTGCAAAATTTCAGGAGTTTTGCAATGAGAACCAGCAAACAATACTCCGCGATTGAATTTATTAACAGTATATATATCAGCACCTTTATTAAGTAACTCCATAACAATATCCAAATTTCCGTTTTGGCATGCAAAAAACAATGGAGAGCAATCTGAAACACCTTTTTTATCAGGATTTGCTCCCATTTTGAGTAAAATTTTTGCCAATTCGAGATTATTATTTTGTGAAACAGCACATAATGGTGTAGATCCGTTTCTTGTAGACTGATTTACGTCATAGCCATATTTAATAAGAACTTTCTTAACAAGAGTGTTTAAATTATTTGCGCATGCAACATAAAGCAAAGAAGCTCCATTTGACATTTGATTGAAATCAATTTCAGGAGATAAGAAGGAAAAAAGGCATCTCATATTATAAAAGTCAATGCAATCGAATAAAGAACAATAACTTTTTTCACTTTCATATTCATTTTGTAACCATTCTAAAACATCATTCCTATGCCATTGAACTGCAATTTTTGAGCATCCTTTGTATGTTTCCCCTGCTTGGAGAGTTATTCTGATGATTTCGAGATTTCCACCAGCAATTGCTGTTCTGGCAACACTGCTATTTTTGATATCAAATCCATTATTCATAAGGAATTTAAAGCAATTAACTGATCCGTATTTTGCGGCGAATTGGAGAGGATTTGAACAAGAATAATTAGGCATTTCTTTAAGGATGTTCTCTTTGAAGTTAATATCAGCTGATCTGTCGATCAATTTGTCAATATCATCGTGGGATATGATTTCTCCATATGAATTTTCTGGAAAGTATTTGAGGATTTCGGTCAAAGGTCGTTTATCACCGTAAATACTGTTGAATTCATCTGGTATTACATTTAAATATACTAAGCATTGTGAAAATAGTTTGAAATTCTTTCGCATAACTAAGATTGGAATAGTGCAAGGGTGATATTTATTTAGTACAGCGAAAAGTTGCAGTAATTCTTCCCAATATAGGTGCCTTATCGATGATGTATACATAATTTGCCAATAAATTTGATTGTAATCGCCTTTGAAATTTGATAAAATAAATTTTGAGATTTCAAACGAGTTATTCGCGGAAATATTGTCAAGCATCTCTTCTAGGAGTAGAAAGTTTTGCATCTTTTCATTATAATCGTGTATACAATTTGCTAATAGTTGCTTTTTTGTATCAATTTCTGTCATTTTGTAAAAATATAAAAACGATCGTTGCATTCAAAAAAAAAATTCAATCAACCAGAAGCTTTCGAAAGTCCTTGAAACACGAGTTTTTTCAAAAATTAATGAGATAAACAGCAACAGCATATATGTACCAATGTAATGGTAAAGAGAAAAATGACCTTTATCTATCAAAAAGTAATAGTTTAAAAAGTTGATTTTTTCATGCTTTTTGAAAGATAAATAGTCAATATTTATGGTCCACAGTTATACCTATAAAGAAGATACATTAATAGAATCTATATCATGAATCAAAAATTAAATATATTATTCCTATAATGTGAAATCTATCGTTTTATTATTTTAAAAATATACTCTGAACTTTTTCTGAGCTGTGCTAAGAAAAATGTTCAAAGTATATTGGAATAAGGGTTTCGTTTTGCGAAAAAAACGTACAATACGCAATTTCGCTAAAAAACATTTAGCTAGCAATTTCGACCTTTGACTCCACTCAAGACGTCACTTTTTTTAATTTTGCGGTATCATATTTTTGGAAAATCTTTATGAATATTATATAAAAAGTCTCTTTAATATCTATATTTCATATTTTTATCGATTTTTAAAGTTTTTGCGAAAAGTATTCAATTATTTTTGCTATTTGGTCGGGTAAATGTCAGATTTGCGACATTTTCTGATATGATATTCAGATTCTACGTTGATAATAATGCTTATAGTGTAATAAACAGAAATTCATCAAAAGTGACAGCTCTCATTTTTTGACATTTGTAAAATCTAAATTGAATGAGAAAAATGAAATAATACTAAGCATAATACAATATTCTAGATTTAATTATAATTAGGAAAAAGTTAGTTTTGAGAGTACTTTTCATAGGCATATAGAATGAAATTTCTGAAAAATAATATCACATAAACTCATATTATTTTCTAATATATAACTATTTTATATAAAAATCAAATTCAATGATCTTAAAAGCGAAGGATAAACCTCAAAATTTACGAATATAATGAGTGGGAATATAATGCTTATCTATCATAAAACCATATGAAATATCAATTTTTGCTTTACGCCTAATTTTTGACGACAATTAGCAAAAAATGTTAATGTTAACCTCAGTCCATTTGAATATGAAAAATAAAATTGATATTTCATATGGTTTTATGATAGATAAGCATTATATTCCCACTCATTATATTCGTAAATTTTGAGGTTTATCCTTCGCTTTTAAGATCATTGAATTTGATTTTTATATAAAATAGTTATATATTAGAAAATAATATGAGTTTATGTGATATTTTTCAGAAGATTTTGTGTTCTTCTTCAAAATTTTATTTTTTTATTAAAAGAATCTTTACAAAATATACATTTACTTTAATTAATATTTAAAAACGTGCTCTATCAAAAGTTCCAAAAATTCAATATTTTAGCTTTTCTGAGGTGTCACTTTTGATGAATTTCTGTTTACAACAATAGAACCCTCTTGCTATTGTGTCAAAATTGCGAAACCGATAGCAAAAATATCTCGCAATATCAAAATTGAGATATTGAGTGAATTATGCATTATAGAGATTAAAAATCTGATTTGTGAAAACATCTCATCAGTTTCTAGCTAATTCAAAAATCTTTACTATCTTATTCGATTAAAATGAAAAGGGAATAGTTTCATTATGCTTTAAATGACAGCCTTATAATATAATCATAGTTTTCGCTCAATATGCAGCATTTTTTTTTTCGAAATCTATGGTCAATATCCTAAATACTGATTGCTTTGCATTCATATCTCTTACATTTTCTATACCCACATCACTATTCATCGCTATTCCTATCTTTTTCATTTTGTTTGTTTCTCATAATTCTCAAAAAACATGATAACTTGATATTTGTAAATATCATACTTTATAACGTAAATAAGAACCTGACCTATTAAGAAAAGCAGTAATGAAAAGAAAATCTGAAATTCATAAAAATTACAAGTTTCTGATGACAATTAGCTTAATTAAACCAGGTACAAGATTATATAATTGTATTTTCTATCCAATTATCCATATAATATCTTATCCAGAAAAAATAACTTGATCAATACCAAATGATTTTTTAACTAGTAAATAAAGTATTTTCTTTACACACACATTGTATATCATAGTTTTTTTTTTGGTTTCGCAAAACATCCAAAAACAAATATGCTATAAAAGGGGCGCGTAAAGGGTTGGCGTCCTAAGGCGTCCTGATGTAAACTATTCAATTTTTGAGAAGTTTACACCATAATTGAATAGTTTATGGCGTCCTGAGAAGAGATTTCAATGGGTATGGCGTCCTAAAAAAATAGAAGAAAATGATTTTTTCTCGATTTTTCTAGAAATTAAATTTTTTAAAAAAGAAAAAATCAAAACGTATACATTCAAGAAAGACTATAAATGAAGATTTTTCTATTTTTTTTCATTCTAAAACATCTTTTTTGGATAATTTTTTTTAATAAATATGTAAGAAAGATTGAAGAAAAAGTAAATTTACTTTAAGAAAATTCGTTTTACATGATGTAAGACCCATAACAACTATAAATATTCAATTATTTAAAATAAAAAAAGAAAAACAGATTAAATGTATCTCACATCAAAATCCATTGACCTAAGGATGTTAAGTAAAAAAAAAAAAAAAAGGTAGTGGGGCCTCCAGGCACTTCGTGCCCTCTAGCCCTGAAGATGTTTAGTATAAATGAAGTTTTTATTCGGAGGGCCTCCAGGCGCGTTGCGCCCTCTAGCCCCGAAGATGTTTAGTATAAATGAAGTTTTTATTCGGAAAATTGTTAGTCTTCTGGTGTGAATTCGGAGGACTCTTCTTCTTCCTCCATTGCTTCTGGGAAGAAGCCTTCTTCTGGGTCGAAAACATTATATAATGTGTCGCTTTTCACAAATTATATATGTTTTCATGCTTTGTCACTTTTCTGTCACTTTTCGGGAAAAAACATTTTTATTATTATATATAAATGAATTTTACAAAACCGCCGTTACCGTTCTTTGGAAATAAGAGTAGATGTAAAGATATTATATTGAGAGAACTTAAGAAACTACCGAATGGTCTAACATTTGTAGATTTGTTCGGTGGAAGTTTCTATATATCCCATTTGTGCCATACAATATTCCCAGACTCAAAGATTATATGCAATGACTTCGACAACTATATGGACCGTCTCAAACATATACCAGACACAAACAATATATTGAAAGAGTTAAAAGAAAAGATACCTATAGGTAAGATGGAACGTATACCATTAGATAAGAAAAATATTGTGAGAGAGGTTTTGAAAAAAGCAGAATATATAGACTGGGATAGTATATCTGCTAGACTATTATATAGTGGTTCTATAAGAGTTCATGACATTGAAACACTTATGTCAAAAGTTTTATATCTTAACTATACAAATGTTTTCAAAGAGGACATAGAAAAATATATTGAGGGTATAGAGTTTGTGAGATGTCATTGGACAGAGTTGTATGAAAAATATAAAGACAAGGAAAATGTTTCTTTATAGTGGACCCGCCGTTCTATAACACATGGATTTTCAATACCAAGTAGACTGGACTTTGAGAGACTCTTTAGAAACTTTAGACGTTTTACATAACCATCCATGCTTTTACTTTACATCCGATAAAAGTGGTTTGGAAACCGTTATGAGATGGTTAGAGGTCATACATGACTATGAGTTTAGATATGACAAGATAGAATATGAGAGAGGTCCTATAAACCGGAGAAAGTGTCATAACAAAGAAATTTTATTAGTAAGTAAATGTGGTTTGAAATAGGACTACTTGTTTTAGGTTTTTTCCATTGTGTCATTTATTTATTTGACGTGGCAGAAAAGTACAGAGAATATGAAGATGAACCAATGCCTGCAAATGTTCAGCATATGTACTCGTAAGAGATATTTTTATCTAATATTAAATGGACGCACAGAACTTAGCGAATGCACAGCAACCTGGACAACCAAACCCAGAGAATATTCCAAATGAAGTTAGAATACAAACTGCAATGGCAAACTATGGTCAAGTGCCAACAGATGTACAAATGCAAACTGCCATGTCAAATGACGCTGCGTTAGGTTTGCCACATGGTATGCAAATATGAGATGGAAAGAGTTTTATACAAACCCTGAAGTGGGATATAAACAACTTTATGCAGATGACGCGAACACAGGAGTTGACCCAGAATATGTTTTCTACCAGAGGAGAAACAGAATGTATGAGCTCCAGTTAAAGAATGCTATGGAACTCAACAGGAAACGTAAGAGACTAGGCGGACATTAGATTTTTACATATAGTAAAATGGGTTTCTTCAGTAGTATTGGAAACTTCTTCAGAAGAGTTGGAAGAGGTATATGGAATGGAATAAAAACCGTAGGAAGAGGAATTTGGAACGGAGTCAAAAATATTGGTAAAAGAGTAGGTCAGTTTGTTGGTATTATACCTAAAGACCCTGAACCAGAAGAACAAGCTCCTGTTATACAACAGCCTGAACCTGCACCACAGTCTAGTTGGCAACCAAATCCAACACCTCAACCGTATTAAAAAGTTATATTTTTACCGTTCGATAGTAGTTGTATATGAAACTAAGTTCTAAGTAAAACGCATGGTATAATGGAATTATTCTTTTTCTTCCATCTGTTGTAAACCATACTTGAAAGTCTGAAATACTTCCACTCGGCGGTTCATATAACTTTGTAGGTTTTTCGTAAAAGTCATTCGTCAGGCATAAGAAAGAGTTTTGTGCACCAGAAAATGAAGCATGAACAATAATAGCATCTGGGTCGAAAACATTTTCATATGTTCCATTAGGGTTTTCGACTTCATAATAGTCCGGGTGTACTGGATATTCTGCAGGCTGATTTAACATCCTCAAAAATCTATACCATGCCAAGTTGTTATATTTTGTAGAAATATAAACGTTTTCTCCAAGGTCTTCTATTCTATTGATTTTAACAGTTGCATTTTTCCTGTCATAAATAATATCGAGATGGTATTCTCCTTCGTCAATGTTATACTGCTTTGCATATTCGATATAGATATCGTTTATTTTTTCTTGAAAAGCTTGAAGAGTTGTTTCTAAGTTTACAAGCAAACTAACTTGTAAAAGTTTTCCCTGTTCAAATTTCTCATACATACGTTTTTCTTTGTTATAGTATCGAACTTCAAAACCGACCGTAAATGGGAAACCATGTATGGCTTCTGAAATGAACTTCATTCTACGAAAGCCAATAGCTTTTGTGACGGATGGGTCTCTTAACCATCTTAATGGGTAGTCAAAACGATAGCCTTCATGCTTTACGGTCTCTGTCTCAAACTTTTGACCGACATTAGTAAAAAGTTCATCTAATGGTTTAGTTGTAGCAACTCTAGAATTTTCTTTTTCTATTGAAAGCATATTTTATCTAGAATAAAAATGTCAAATGAAACAGCGTCTATGAGAGAAATACAACACAACCGACAACTCATTATACAAGCTCTAAATAAGAACACAACAAACTTTTCAAACTATTCTAAGATATCTGAGTCATTGAAAGAAGGAAACTTAAAACTGACATTAAACCCAATGACAGATGAGTTTCTATTTCAAGACAAGAAGAACAATACTGTCTGTATAAATCCAACAAAAGGAACTTTAAACGAGAAACCTATAAATGAACTTCTTTTGAAAGCAGATGTTGACAACAAAGCTGACAAAGAATATGTAGACGATGCAATAGCAAAAGAAGAAGAAAGAGCTAACAAAGCTTATGCAACAAAAGAACATACTCATCCTGAACTAGCAGACAAAACATATGTTGACAATAAAATGTCAAGTGAAGTGACAAGAGCTGAAAACGAATATTCTAAAAAGACTCATATACATTCTATATCTGATATTACAAACTTACAAGAAACCTTAAACAGGAAAAGTGCCGTTGGACATACACATACCATTGCAAATATTACAAACTTACAAGAAACCTTAAACAGTAAAAGTGACGTTGGACATACACATACCATTGCAAATATTACAAACTTACAAGAAACCTTAAACAGGAAAAGTGCCGTTGGACATACACATTCTATATCTGAAATAACAGACTTAAACGTTAGCCTTGAAAAGAAAGCAGATAAGAACCATACACATACAAGTTTTACAACTGTTGCTATAGAAAGTATTGAAGGAACGGTTGAAGAAACTGGTGGGGATGCATTATATTGTAAACCTCCTAACTTTCCACAAGGTTTAACATCGGATGACGACATAACGACGATGAGAAACATTAGATGTAAAGATGTTTATGTCATGAAGGATGAACATAATATTAAATTCACTGCTCAAGATTTATATGACAAGAAAGCAGACAAAACAGAGCTTCAAACATTAAAGACAGAAATACTTCAAACATTATATCCTATAGGCTCTATTTATACGTCAATGAACTCTACCAGACCAGAAACAGTTCTGGGTTTTGGAACTTGGACTCAAATAGTCGACAGGTTTTTGTATTGTGCAAACTCTTCAAAGGAAACAGGTGGAAGTAAAACGATTTCAGGTGAAAATTTACCTGCACACAGTCACTACATAGATTTAAGTACATCTCAAGCAGGTTGGCATAAGCATAAATTTTGGGATTGGTCAGCAATGACAAAGTATGACTATCTTGTGTACGGAGGCACTGCGAGCCTCCTTACCCATGATATGTGAATTTGACACTTTACAAAACCGTTAACGTATATTTTACAACACAAACACAAACACCAACTTAACCTTAAATATTTATAAAGCCGCCAACCACTTCACCTCACTAACGTTTTCACAAACGACTTCACTACTGTAAAAATAAACGTTCTCATTTACAAAAGTATTGCAACTCTTCCCATTGCTGTGCTTCACACAATAGTTCATATTCTTCAGTATCGCTGCTGTCGCTCCAATCGTCAGAGTCAAAATCACTGTCATAGTTTATACCTGTAAGTTTTGACAAAGCTAATGAAACACGCTTACCGTTTGTATCGTATGCTTGTATAAACTTTCCATTCTTCATTCCTTCATAAACGCTCAAACTAACTTTACCCTTTCTCCCTCGTATCTGATAGAATGTATTTTCACGAGGAACGAAGAACAAATTCTTGAACTCATGACCGTTGTAGTTTGTTATCTCAATAGTTTTCGTCATTTACATCCAAATAAAATAAAAATAAATGATATCACCACTCCCACACGTATGAAAACATAGCGCAAAAATAAATTTAGGTGAAGTGGTGAGATCTCACCTCTTTTTTCACCTCTTTTTTCACCCTAGCCGCAAAGCGGCTCTGACCCTTTGGGTCTGTTGAATTCATTGCTTTATAACTCACTTCCTTGGTTTCTTTTTAGTTGCTTTCTTCACGTCTGTCTCCAACTTGACTGTCTTTCTTCTTCGTCCGTAATGATACCAGTTACTTCCACCAGTCAATGGGTCAAATGGTCGTTCATAAGGGTTTCCATACATTCCATAGGGACCATACGGAAGAACTACTGGTGGAGGAAGAGTTCCATCGACTCTATTTAAATGCATTGTTTCACCTTTCATCTGGTCATTAAAGTCTTTTGCGTGTTTTGCAAACTCGTCGTCCTTTCCTAAAGCATTTTCTGACTCAGTCGCAACCAAATTGGATGCTTTATTTATGAGCCCTATTTTATTTAATCTTAACTTCTTTGCAACCCAGCCTCCAATCTTCCCTTTATTTGCATCTAATGTCTTCGAAACCCTTCTCCACTCATTTTATTTACTGCGTCATAAGCTCCAAGTGCTTTTGCTCCAAATGCTAATGCTTTTGTTCCCATTGCGCCTAAAACTGCCCAAGCTACCATTTACACCATATTAAAATCATCTCTCTTCAATATTATCTCATAAAAGTTCTCGTTACTGGAGAAAGTCAATGAAACATAAGCGTTCTCACGGGCTTCGCCCTCACCGCTTTGCGGTCTATCTAACTTATTTCTTATATCATCTATACGCTTCAAAATGTCTGAACAATTGCTAACATCTTCTACAACAGTTATTTCATCATGAATGACCTTTAAAAACAAGCTCATTTAATATGCTATTAAAATCATCTCAATAATGAGTCCATCCTTTCCGTCTTTGGGTAGCACAACATCTTTCATTGAAGAAGGTTCGACAAGTCTTATGTTAAACTTACTGACAAAGTTTGTTATACTATAATGCTTCGGTGGCGAATACATGTAGTTTGAAAGACATAATATAGATTCTTCAGCAAATTCACTTATACTGGATTTATATAACAATGTTCTCACGAGACCAAATACCACCAATTGACAATCTTGTAAGCAATCCTGCTGAGCCTTCAACTGTAAACGTCGATGGTAACATTCCACGAAGGTCATCTATTGACATCGTTGAGTCACTGTATTTAAATATTTCTTAAAGCAATCGTCATTATCTAACATGCAATAGCTTTGAAGTTTTCATTCGATATACATCTGCTTCATTAAATGTAAAACCTGACTTCTTTGCAGAGATGACTTTAAAATCTATTGAGTTTGTTTCAAAATTATATACTATGGTAACTTCTGAAGGTAATGGATGTCCTTCCACAGTCAGTGTTCTCTCACTACATTTGAAGCTTTGTGTTAAAACTTTCATGTCATCTCCTGTGTCTAGGTTCACATACACAGCAACAGGAAAACTATCTTGCTTCTTTGTTTCATCATTATACCTCAAAACATTAAAGTTCTTCAATAATATTGTTCTTCCTGCTGGAATACTTCGAACCTGTCTGATTTCAATAGCTTTCTCACCTCCTACATACTCTACCCAGTGTCTTGGATATTCATAAGTATACTGACTTTCTTGAATTTTGGTTGGTTTCATCATAACGTGTTCATAGTATATCTTTATACTCTTGTCAGTTAGACTCGGTGCTATGTTCTGAATATTTCTGACTTGCATTTTTAATGAGATAAAATGAAGCATTTAATACATGACGTAGATGAAGACATGAATGAAACTACAGACAAACTTAACTCTTCTCTTATTCTTCCTTTCAGCAAAGATTATGAATTCTGTTCAAATGGTGTGTATTTCTATTGTGGAAAGATGGGTTCAGGTAAGACATTTAATTTAATTCGTCATATACTCATAACAGAGCGTTTAGGAAACGACTCTTACTATGACCAAATCATTATATCAGCAACTTCAGACTCTATGGACTCAACAGCGAAAACATTTATGTCAAAAGTTCAAGCCTCTGTCGTTAAAGTTCCAGACAGTGAACTCATTGAATTTCTTCAACGTTACATTCGACGTAAGAGGAAATATTATGCCATCGTTGAATTTATACAGTCAGGAATGCAAAAGACTTCTGAGGAGATGGAAAGAATTATTGACAAACACCACTTACGTCAGTACTCAGGAGTTTACGATATGAAACGACTTACAAACTACATTCTGTCAAAACTTTCAAAATACCCTTCAAAAAGTATCCTTCAAATACTTGTTAGTTTGTGACGACTTCGCCGGAAAAGGTTTAGTGTCAAAGCCTGACTCACCATTAGCTAACATCATTACTAAAGTCAGACATTACCACTTAACTGTAGCAATACTTATGCAAACATGGCGTTTCCTTGCTTTAAACATAAAACGTCTCATAACTGACTTCGTTATCTTTCAAGGTTTCTCACGTTATGATATTGAACTCATTTGGAAACAGTCAGGTATAACATTACCTTTTGAAGAAATTTGGGAAGCATATAAGTCTCTCATCTCTCCTCGTTCATACCTTGAGATTCATATCATGACTAATACCATTAAAGTCAAAAATATTCCATGGGAACGACCAACATTGTTTTAAAGTTTAACCTTCAATTGACTGATGGTAAACAAATTCCATGCATCTCTGTCGCCATTTCTGTTAATATTTTTGCTGTCATTCATATCATCCACTTCCCCATCCGTTAACTTTTGAGGATATGCGTTAGAATAGCTGTTCTTAAATGAAGGCTTTTCACCTTTGAGAGCATAAACTCTATAACTTTCTGCATACTTTATGTTTGAACCTCCTGAGCCATCATTGACATAAATTTTTATAGGCTTCCACCCTTTGTTCATATTCCTGCTTCTTCCCTTTGCTCTTTTGTTCAGTAGTTCTACATCTTTATACACAGCTCCTGTCTCAGTGAATTCAACAATATTTTCATTCGTTAGCTTTACATTCAAACCCTTGTCGAGTATATTGTTCATTTCATACATATAAAAGGTTTTTATTCTATATGAAATGAGAAGCAAATCCATCTTAGCTGGTGCTGTTAATGTTCCAATTGAACCAACATCAAATGTTGACTCACGAACGACAAACAATATTGTCATAAAGAACTATAGTTCAGAGTGTTTGAAAGAAAAAGAACCAGAACTGAAATCCGTGAATTTAAACACAGCTTCAAACGCTAACGCTACATCAGATGTTAAGTTAGAGTATCCACCACTGGACCAAATTCTTTCAAGAGAAGCCAACGACAACCCTTACATAAATGTTCAAACAAATCCTTCAGATAACGTAGACCATTACCTTCTTCAGTTATACCAAACAATTTTACTCAAAGACGATAAGAAGCTTTTGATAAATCTTATAAGTAAGAACCAAATAATTCTAACAAAGGAGGACCTTGAAAATGTTATATCACGAATAACAGGAAAGCAATGTGTCATTGACTATCTCGACCCTGAAATCGAATGCTGTGGTCAAACGTCACCATTCATGAAAATAGGTAACATCCGCATCATTGAAACACCAGGAACTACAGGAGTTGAGTTTAAGTATAAATATTCGAACGAATATACAAAACTATCTACTTACTATAAGCTTTGTTTGAAATATGTTTTAGTAAATTAAAGCAACTTATAGTATCTATCCAAAACTTCTTCAACAGTATCGAACTCATCTTCATAATGCAAACCTAATCTTATTGACTTGGTGCAGTTTTCACTAACACAATATAGCGCTTTGCGCTCGGCGCCTTTGACGCCTTTTTCTGTTCTCTTGACTGACATAACTAACTCATTTGTTTCATCAAACAGCAACAACCAAAGTTCATGACCTAATACATAACATTCATACTTTATATTTTTAGCTCTGAGTTCTCTTGTAAGCTGTTGCATTTAATATTTTCTAAAAAGTCAACTTCAACAGTCATTCGCACTGGTGCCTTCAGTTCTACAGGCTCTCCTTGAAAGTCAACTAGTCTGAATTGCATGTCTTTCAAATTATGAGGACTAATGCGAACCCATTTACCTAAATGAGTTGCTATGACAGGAACGTTTGGAATGAACATTGAATTGACTGCATAACAGAAAGACTTATATTCTACTGAACCTTTACTATTAACTCCTGAAATACCTGTGACATTAGCTATTTTTGACTCAATGTATAAACAATTGCCATAACATACGTATGGAACAGATTTCATCTCAATCGTTTTGTCAATACTTTTCAAAGGAAATGTCATATGGTATGCTCCCAGAAGCAATTGAACTCTATGACTCATTCGTGTTATCTTAAACTCCTTCGCATAACTGAACTTCAAAACTCCTGCAATAAGTTTAACATTCATTAAGTTTTCTTCGTTATCCTTGTTTATTGTAGTATTTATGAGCGCATTTAACACTCCAGCTAATGTTTCCATCTTATATTCTACATTATTGTGAAATCTTATTTCATGCTTCTTTCCATCTATTTCAAACTCCATGAAATCTGTTTCATCTGTTATAACGAATGAAGCGATAGTATTGAAGTCAACAACTCTGAAAGCAAGCGCTTCATTCTGAAGACCTAAGTTTGTTTGTAGCTTTACTGTCCCGTATTCGTTTGGGTCTGTACTTTGCAAATAGAACAACATTTTATTCTCATTAAAATATGAGTTTAGCTGCATATGCGTATGAAGCTGACAGAGCTAAACGTTTATATTTTGGTCAATACTCTCTCACACTTACTGACAAATATATTGTTATCAGTGATGGAAATACCGAGAAATACATAACATGGAAGGACTATGAAAAGTTTGACCCTATTTTAACTCCATGTACAATGCCATTCATTGTAAATGGTGAAGTTGTCATGAAGAACGACACAACAGTATATAAGTCTGTATATGAAGCATTAGAATATATGTTGAATTATAATCCCGAAAGATTTGACCCAAGCACTACACCATGTGCAATGCCTTTTATTAAGGACGGTGAAATCGTAAGAGTTCCGGATTCAACGGTTTATACTGCTGTTCAAAACAGTTTACAAAACATTTTAGCGAATATCTTTAATTCAGAAACTACAGAAATAAAATTACCATATATAACAGATGCTAAAGAAATTAAATCAAAAACGACAACATTATTTACGTCACTTAATGATTTAATGACTTATATCATTAATATTCCTGCACCAACTACAGCATTTGATCCAAACTCGACGGTTTGCAGTGTACCTTTCATAAAGTCGCAAAGCGACCAGGGCGAAGCCCATGACAGTTCATTAATTACTTTAAGGGATTCAACAGTTAATGAATCATTAAAGGCGTCATTAATGAAAATCATTGATTTTAACTCATTCACGAATACATATAATTCATTCATTAATGTTTCATATGCTTCTAAAGAAGGTGAGCCAAAAACTATCGATAAAGCGGTGTATGAAATAAAAGCATCAACGACGAAATTGAATTCGTTAACTTTTGACGGTGATAGTTTCGTTAATGACATAACATCGGGGAAAACAATTTTAACGAAAGAATATTTAAAATCTCATGTTAGTGAGTTCGTTGAAATTGAAAAAGAAGGTGGAATTAAGTTCGATCCACTGAATTTCATTTTCAGCTTAGCGAATGCGGGTGTTAGTTTCGCTGAATGGACAACTATACAGAGTGAAATAAATGCAATATGGACGTTTTTGGGGTCAAAAGCGGGAATGGGTGAGCTTGTAAATGCTGCAAGAACATTAGGTGAAACAGGAAATTTTGTAGATGGTTTTAAAAGACTTGTTTCAAATGTTTTAACAAACACAAAGAAATTATTTAGATATACCATACATAACGGACGGATTTTCGAACAGGTAGCAACAAACCCTCCGGTTATGGCTGCGTTGATGATGGTTAGAGATATAAAACCACGTAACGACGGGAACGAAGAACATGAACAACAGGATACTGGTCGGGTTATTCAAGACATTAAAAACGTGTATCCTGAAGTTATTGATTTATTTAGAGGAGTTAATGATTCAATTTCAAAACATTCTATAACCCTCGATGAAGAGAATAAATTAACAGATTATATATTCGTCATTATTGCAGAATTAATGAAGAGAATAAATGAAAAAGGAATTGGTGATATCATTAATGTCAGCGATGTAATGATGAAAAGAAATTTTGACTCATTATTTACAAAACCGAAAACAGAATATAGTCTTTATGACGTAATTACCGAATTAATGAAAAAGATTAATGATAATAAGAGTTCTGGCGGAAGAGTTGAATTAGAAGTGAATGATGTTAATGAGAAATTAGCCGAAAAAGCAAACAAAACCACGTTCATTATATAACTTCAGACGAACAGATTATAACGGACTACCATGGATATTTAACACGAAGTGATGAAGCGAAGACAAAAAATGTTAATGAAAGAAGATATAAATACATTCGTGCTAAAGGTTATGACATAAGCTGTACTGTACAGTATGATGTAGCTAAAGCACCAGAAGCATTTGGTTATACCGGTGAAATTTATGCCTCTACTTTCAATGTTAATGGTGTATTAGTTGAACCAAGATTTACTTTGAGAGTTAAGTCAAAAATAACGTTTGAAGATGCTATTAAAAGTAAAGCTGACAAAGATGAACTTGACGCAACGAACAAAGTTTTGAAATCTCATAAACACAACATCTCCGATATAAATGAACTTCAAACTTCTTTAGACAGTAAAGCTGACAAGAACCATACACATAAATCCTTCACTACTGTTAGAGCAGACGACATAATATTGAACTTTGACCTTGGTTCAAGTGCACCTTTAGAGAATCCAAGTACAAGCGTAAAAGATACACTAAACTCCTTAAATAGTAAATGTATGAACATTGAAGGTCATGTCAGAAACTTTGAAACACATGAACTACCAGCAATGTTAGATAAGAAAGCAGATAAGAACCATACACATGATTTCTTCACAACTGTTGGTATAGAAGTATTGAAGGAACGGTTGAAGGAACTGGTGGGGATGCATTATATTGGAAACCTCCTAACTTTCCACAAGGTTTAACATCGGAGGAAAACATAACGACGATGAAATACATTAGATGTAGAAATGTTTATGTCATGGAGGATGAAAATAATGTTAAATTCACTGCTCAAGATTTATATGATAAGAAAGCTGACAAGAACCATACACATAAATCCTTCACTACTGTTAGAGCAGACGACATAATATTGAACTTTGACCTTGGTTCAAGTGCACCATTAGAAAATCCAAGTACAAGCGTAAAAGATACTCTTAACAATTTAGATAAGAGTTGCAGGAATACCGAAGATCATGCCAGAAACTTTGAAGCATATGAACTACCAGCAATGTTAGATAAGAAAGCTGACAAAACAGAGCTTCAAACATTAAAGACAGAAATACTTCAAACATTATATCCTATAGGTTCTATTTATACGTCAATGAACTCAACAAATCCAGCAACAGTTCTGGGTTTCGGTACGTGGGAACAGATTGTAGATAAATTCTTATACTGTGCTAGATATTCAAAGCAAACAGGAGGTTCGAAGAAAATTACTGAAGCAAACCTTCCACCGCACACTCATACAGGAACGACAAACTTTTCTGGCGACCATAGCCACTCATTAAGAGACCACCCATTATACAACTCAGAGTATGAAGCTGGCAATGACGTTTTATCTCCATCTTATAACAATGCAGCAAAAAAGACTTTTCGACCAACTGAACCAGGAGGAAATCATGTCCATACTTTCACAACAAATCCAACAGGCTCGGGTGCAGATTATATGCCACCATTTATGACTGTATTTGCATGGAATAGAGTTCAATGAACGCGCTTGAGCCTAGAATAAAATCTTTAACTTTACATAAATGAGCTTGAAAGAAGTATTCGAACAACATCCATGGAGGTCATTTAAGAAGTTCAATGAAGCTGCAAAGAGTTCGGGATTTACTAACAGAGCTGAAGTGAAAAGGTTCTTTGACAAAAATGTTGTACATCAAACAAAAATAAATCCTTACGACTACTTTTTACCAATTTACTCCAACACTCCTGACGCATACCAATTTGACACTCTCATTCAAAGCAGAAAAGGAAGACATAAACCATTCCTCATCTTCATAAATGTTAACACTCGCAAAGCTTTTGTGTATATAATGAGAAATAAAGGAACTCATGAAGTGTTAAGAGTTTTACAAAAGTTTGTAGCAGAACATAGCCCAAGTATTTTAACATCAGACCAAGACGGTGCATACCTCAGCAACGAAATCACAGAATTTCTCATTAAGCATAACATAACTCACTACACTACTGAAGACCATAACCATAACATACTCGGTATCATTAACCGCTTCATAAGGACTCTCAGAGATTTAAATCAAGAGCGAGACTTTACCGAAGAAACAATGAAACATTTCATCGAAGTTTACAATTCCTCAACACATTCTACAACAGGACATACACCAAATTCAATGACACAACAACAAGAAGAAAAGTATATACAAAAGAAACGAAGTCAAACACAAAATATCAGAAATTCAACACAATTTACTCTCATTCCTGGAACAAAAGTTCGTGTAGTTCTTGACGACAAACCGTTGACAAAGAAACGTTTAAGGTTAAGTCGAAATTATTATATCGTAGACTCTACGCAAGGTAATGGATATCTTATAAAAGCTGCTGACGACTCCATAGCATTTTACCCTCGTCATAAATTAGTTGAAAGTAGTAATGGCGAACTTGCTGAAACCATTGACGAAGCAAAGCGAGGAGTGGTTATTGAAATACTTGACTACAACATAAACGATGACACTTATAAAGTAAGATATGAAGGAGGCGTTGAAGATGTTATACCATCTAAGAACTTGAGAGAATCTAAACCAACTCATCTGGGACCATTAGAGCGGGAGTACTGGAAAGATAAAAACATGCCAGAAAGAATAAGAAAATTCTTCTAAACTTTTTCGTTGGATGTAAATCAGACAAAAATATATTATAGGTGAAGAGGTGAGATTTCACCTGTTTTCTCACCTGTTTTTTCACCTCTTGAATTTTCATGAATTTTCACAAAAGACCAAAAATAAAGTTAGTTTTATTTTTATTTATTTTTTATTTTGTATGTAAAGACAGTAATGTCAGTCGAAGCAAAAACATTCACTAACAAATCTAATGGCGAAACATTCACAAAAGGCACTTATAACGGTATTGAAGTCTTACGTAGAGACAAGGATGGTTACATTAATGCAACAAAGATGGCAAGAGAAGCAGGAAAGTTAAACCATTTAAACAGATTTCTCAATAGTGCTAAAATGCGGGAAATTCTTGAGTTTTGGTTGAAAGAATACGGTCGAGCCAAAAGTGGCTCAACCTCAAAACAAGCATTTTATGAGCTTACTAAGGGCGTTATGAATGAATTCAAAGGTATTTACATACATGCTGACCTCGTTCATTTTGTTGCTGAATGGTGCTCTGTAAAGTATGCATTTTATGTCAAAGATATTATGGACTCCATAGACAAGAAAGTTCATGAGAAGTTAGATGAAGAAGAACTCGAAGATACAGTGGAGAATGCTAAACCTTTGTTCGAAGAAGAAGTTGGAAAAATGTGCGGAAAACAATTAGAACATGAACGTGAGAAATGTTATGGTTATAGAGATTCTCCATACGAACTAGACCAATGGGAACAAGAAGATTTAAAGAGAGAATTTAGAGAATATGAACTCGCTAAGATAGCATTTGAAGCTGCAGAAAAGAAGTTAAAAGTTTGGGGTCGTTTTGTACAAAAATATTGTGAGTAAATGAACCATTTATTTTTGTGCAAAACGACCAAAAATATATTTTATCGTTAATGGTTTTTAGGTGTCACCACGTCACCATGTCACCAGGTTAATTAACTTCTCTTAAAATTACTGACAACATGACATTTTGACAACAGTCCCGGAAATATATTTTATCGTTAATGGTTTTTAGGTGTCACCACGTCACCATGTCACCAGGTTAATTAACTTCTCTTAAAATTACTGACAACATGACATTTTGACAACAGTCCCGGAAATATATTTTATCGTTAATGTTTACGTTAATGTTTCGTAAATGTTTCGTAAATGTTTTCATGAATGTTTTTAGGTGTCACCACGTCACCATGTGTCACCAGGTTAATTAACTTCTCTTAAAATTACTGACAACATGACATTTTGACAACATTCCCGGAAATATGATGCAGTCCAAAAATAAAGTTAGTTTTAAAATTATTTTTATTTTTTTATTCCTATATAAATGACAGCAACAAACAACAACAGCAACTATATCGTTTCTGATGAAAAAGTTATTGATTCATTAGCTGAGGAATTAGTTACGGCAGAAACTAAAACCCTCAACGAAAGAATTGGTGAAAACAAGATTGATTTACATAACTACCTCAAACACGATGGAGGAAGAGGAAGGAAAACTGGTATGGCTTTATTAGTAAATAAAATTTCAAATTTAACGATTATAGATGTTGATATCAATAAATCGTACAATGATGAACTTAAAGAAACAGTTAGAAAAGACATTCTATCAAAACTTTCGGATAAAGATGTTATCGTTAAAACCGCTTCAGGAGGTCTTCACATTTATTGTAACACTAATTTCTTCTATTCAGTTTCGAACAGAATGATTAAATGCTATTCCTGCAATGATTATGATATTGACATAATGACTTCTATGGATGATTCAAAGCGTTCTTTAGTAGTTATGGCTGATTCAAGAGTTCGCAAGAATGCAACAGAACCAATCAATACATACTCATTCATTCGTGGAAGTTACGACTCAACATTAACCAGAACAGTGAATGATATATTAAATGATTTGAATATTAAGGTAAGAGTTGAACAGAAGAACGAAGAAATAAAGAGTATAATGAATGAAAACAAAGATGTAAACATTGACGATAAACTTGCCCAGAGCATAGTTGATGGCATCTGTGATTTTGAAGTACATAATGACGGTGGAAACATGAATTTAGAAAAAGAAATAACATTATTCACACTGTTTCAAGCTATTAATTCGTTACCTAATCATTTAATTAATGAAGCATACGATAACGTTTATAACTTCTGCAGTTTAACAGAAAATGCAAAAAGTAATTTTGAAAAAGCACGTAGTAGATACGCACATTTAATGACTTCTCCATTTGTTTTAGTGAAGATTCTAAAACTATATCAAAAAGAATATTATGATGAATACGTTTTACCTTTATTACGTAAGCCAAAAATAACATTTGATATAAAACTTGATGACTCGTTTTTGATAACAGATATTAGACGCAAGGCTGAAAATCATCAGTATAAAAACAGTTCTGAAGTAATTGAGGATTTATCACGTGTAATCCGTTTTGTAGATTGTGGAAATAAATATTTCATTCAAAAGGATTACAACATACACGACAAAATGAATCAAATATCATTCGTTCTTCAATCAGCCATGAAAGAGTCACTCAAAATGATTAAATTATTTAAAGAAGAAGGTAAAACAATAACAGCATGGGACGTACTACTAAATCAATTGTCTTCATTAACCGTTAAGGGTGTTTGCTTTAAATCTGATTCCCCAGATGTTTTCTCAACGTTTCAAGGTTATAAATACAACGTTCTTGAAAAACCAGATTACTCAAAAATTGAGATGTTTATGAATTTCATTAAAGAAGCCATTTGTGATAATAACGATGAAGTGTATAAATACCTTCTCGGCTGGATTGCATCAATGATTCAACATCCTGGTATCAAGAATGAAACAGCAATTATTTTGAAAGGACTTCAGGGAACAGGCAAAAACAGATTTACAGACATTATTTCTGAACTTCTCGCCGGTTATTCATGTAAAAACATTACCGAAATAGGTGAGCTAACGGGTAATTTCAATTCAGTAGTTGAGAATAAAATGTTTCTTGTACTTAATGAACTCAAGAATGTTGGTGAAGACAGACTCGCAAACTTCAACGCTTTGAAATCAATTATAACAGATAATGAGATAAGAATTAATGAAAAGAATCAACCCAGAAGAACTGCTCAGAACGTTGCAAACTTCATTTTGGTAACTAATAACGTCTACCCTGTCAAAATTGAAGTTGGAGACAGAAGATACGTAGTTTTAAGAGTTAATGGTAAATTCAAGGGTCAATTTGATTATTTCAAGAATTTGATGAATTCATGCACTAAGGAATTTTATGATAATTTACTGACGTATTTTATGCAATATGACCTTTCATCATTTAATGTACGAATCATACCGATGACTGAAGCCAAACAAGATTTAATAGAATTATCAACAAATCCTTTAGATGTATGGATAAATACACATTATGATGAATTGTGTGCAGGTATGACGTGTAAAAATGCTCTATTCTGCAAACCATCAGACATGAAAGACAAAAACTTTCAAATGAGCATTAAGGATAAATGTGATAGGAAACAGAGAAGAATAGATGGTAAACAAACATGGTGTTATGTTTTGAAAGAAGAAATGAAAGGATTATATAAACAGGTTGAACCAAACGATAATGAGGATTCATTTACTGATGATGAAATACCTGTAAATGAAGCTTTATAAAGTATGATTGGAATTTATTTTTGCATTAATCCTGCTGTGTTGTCAAAATGTCATGTTGTCATCATTTTTAAGAGAAGTTAATTAACCTGGTGACATGGTGACGTGGTGACACCATCAGTTATTCAAAAATGTAAGACATGAATGCCTTCCTCCTTTCGTACCTGTTGTCAAAATGTCATGTTGTCATCATTTTTAAAAGAAGTTAATTAACCTGGTGACATGGTGACGTGGTGACACCATCAGTTATTCAAAAATATATTTTTGCTTAAATAGCTTCAGGGTCAATTTCTTCAACCATTTCACTTCCTTCGTCAATGTCAATAGAAGCTTCTTCAACCTTTGGTAAGAACTTTTGTATAACATCTTTGTTCGTTATTGTCTTCAGAGATGAAGGATAATATTTCACATTTATTTCACCCTTCTTATATTCTTTCTGTTCGGAAAGATTTAAAGCAATACTGAAGAAGTCAATGTTGGAGTTCTTTATAACAGTATAATGAGTATCTTTGACATTCACGAAGAAACCCTTTTGTTTCAAAACTACTGCTAACTCTTGTGAAGTATAACGTTTGCGGTCAATGACAATAGCTAATGGTCTGACATACTGACCGAACTTAGATTCTTTCACAAACTTCTTGTTAAAGATAACATTGACGTTTGAAGCACCATTGAACTCATTCTTGATGGCAGTAGCGAGAGCATTGTATGAAAAAGAACTTGCAATCTTGCATGTGTTTCATTAAAATAAAAATATTAAATTATTTTGAAAAATAACTTAAAAAATGTAATCTAATTTTTTCAAAAAATATTTTTTATCCGATAGAAAAGATGACAGAAAAATTAACTTTTTACATAGCGCCAGACCCTTCTTGCCCACATCCTTTTAAGCCACAATATATAGACATAGAACTAAATAGAGAAAGCGAAATTCCACAATATATATACATAGAACTAAATAGTGAAGGCGAAATTCTACAAACAGAAGAAAGCGAAATTCCACAAACATATAGAGACCTAGATAACGAAAATGGATATGCGCTATTCTGGTTAGATTGTCCTTATAAAATGTATGAAAAAAAGGCTTTATATGAAGAATATAGAAAATATTGTCATGAAAACGATATAAGACCAAGCTCTAGAGAAAAATTCTATGCTGGTATAAAACATCTTTTCGAAGTTCGGAATGGCAAATATATAAAGAAATAATTTTTCTAAGTTTATTTTTTCGAAAAAATATTTTTTTTATTTCCTACTAAAGATGTATCGGAAGTTGTCTAAGTTAGAACACTCGGAAATAAAACAACTTCTTACAGAAGCTAATATAGATGTTGCAACATTACGCGAAAACAAAAAAGCACTCGCTGACTTCATTAAAGACTACAATGGTGCAATAAGTTATGATAGAATTCATGAGTTCATAAAGCCGCAACGCGGCGAGGACGAAGTCCATGCAAGAGCATTTCCTTTAAATGACATTGCTATTGACTTATATCATAGACGTTCAGTACCTCATGAAGTAAGAAGAGAAATGTTTGACATAACAAATGCGAACGTTGGTCATACTCGTAAAGCTCTTTCGCATGATGTTCGTCAAGAAATGTTTGACATAACAAATGCAAACGTTGGTGAAACAAGAAGAAGAGACGACACACTGAAACAACAGAGAAGAGAGATGTTTAAAAGTGCTATAGAACAAGTTCGCAAAGCTAACGATGTCATTCGTTCCATTGACGACAAACCAAAAGAAGGTGAGAGATGGTTAAAGAAAGATGAAGAGAATAGGAAGAGAAATGTGAAGTCAGGCAATAGACTCATTGACTTTAACATCGAAGCTTTAGATGAACCAAACAGAGAATATTTACACAAACATTTCGGTAAGGTTTTCATGAGACTCTTAGAGAAAATTAAAATAAACTCGCAACAAAGATGGATGGTATGTTATAAACTTGGTGGAAAGTATGAATGTTCTACGTTAAACCTCAATAATATTGGAACACTACTACATCAGCTCTTGAAGGAGAACTTTATATCAGAGATAGAAGCAAATGCTGCAGGTATTGTTGAAATGCACTATGACTTCTTCTTGACAAACATAAAGAATCTTACTGAAATAAAGATGTATGATTTAACAGAATATGAAGGCTTAACGATGTCAGATGTAAAGAAAGGCAAACCAAAAAAGAGACCATATAGAGATGAAAGCACACTGACAAATGACCAGAAAGCCATTTTGGAAGCTCTTAAGCAAACAGGAAACCCAGCACTTATAGAAAGCTTTTGGAAAGATAATGGTGAAAAGAAGTTTTATAAGAAGAGAAGCGGTCAGTTATGGAAGTATCTTTGCACATTACCTATAAATCTTGAACGCTACCAAATCTTCAATGAACTGAACAAAAGAACTGCAATACTTATGACAGAGGACAATTGTTTCGTTTATGCTTGCATTCAGGCTGGAGTAAATGAAGAAACTATTGACCACATGAGAGAAGTCATTCGTGTTAGAGACTTTCCTCAAAGTAAAGTACAAGAAATTTCTGACGCAACAGGTATAGCATTTAATGTTACCATTGGTTATTTCAATGACTCAAGACATAATGAAATAAAGAGATATATACCAAAAGAATGCGAAACTGTTAGAACTATTGACTTACTTCTTGTTGAAGACCACTACATGCTAAATGAAAGACTTCCAATGACAACATATTTCATTCGCAACTATATAGAAATTCTCAAAGCTTGTGGTGGAATGAACATTGAAAAACAGATGAAGATTTATACAAAGAGAGAGAACAAATATGTAGTTCGTTATGATAGAACAACACCGTTATGGGATGTTATGAAAACATTGTGGGAGTGCAAATATTTCGAACCTATTTCTTATGGAGAACTTTTCACATATACGACTGACTTATATAAACAGAACCTTGCACCATTTAAAGATTTGACATATGCTCCAAAGTATTGTGTACAACTGAAGAAGAAAGCCGAGTCAAAAGAAGTAAATAAAAATAAGTGCAAGTTCATTCCTGAGCACGTTTTCTTTGCTGACTTTGAGTGTAGCACAGACGGCTTTCATAAAGCTTTTAACATATGTTACGACAGTGAAGATGGTTCAGTGAGTGAAAGCATTTGGGGTCAGAACTGTGCAACAGAATTTTTGGAACGACTTCCTGACAAGAGTTTAATATATTTCCATAACCTCAGTTATGATATAAACTTCATCTTAAGACACATGACAGAAGTGAAAGGAACTCCCATCATTAAAGGTTCACGAACAATGCAAATAACTGGCTTATATAAAGGAAGGTCAATTATTATAAAAGACTCTTACAGTGTTATAAATAAGAAACTTAAACTATTTCCTGCTATGTTTAACTTACAAACAGGACCGAAAGAAGTATTTCCATATAACTACTACAGCAGTGTTTTGTTAGCAAATGACAACAGAACTGGTGTCATTTCTGAAGCATGTAAGTTTATCCGGGATGCAGATACATTCATGAAGAACATAGATTCCATCAAAGGTTGCAGAATAGATGAAAACCACTTCGACTTAGAAAAATATAGCACGTTTTACTGCAAACAAGATGTAAGAATTTTAAGAGAAGGTTTTGTTAAGTTCCGCAATGACATATTGAAAGAATTTGATTTAAACGTATATGACTACGTTAGTATTTGTTCTATTGCTAACAAATTGTTTGAGAACAGAGTGTACTTCCCGAATGGAAATTTATATGACCTCTCAAATAAACCAAGAGAATTTATTTCACGCTGTATTCAAGGTGGAAGATGTATGTTGTCAGATAACATTAAACAAAAGAGCGAAAAGAAACTCATTGCTGATTTCGACGCTGTTTCATTATATCCATCCGCTATAGCAAGACTTTATACTTTAGAAGGTATTCCAAAGGTTATGAAGAAAGAAATGTTAAGCACAGAGTATCTCATGAGACATTTATTTGATGACGACCAAAAGGAACCCATTGGTGAAAAGTTTATGTCTGGCTTCTTTGTTCTCATTAAGATAACAGAGATTGGAATACATAGACACTTTCCTTTAATAGTTTGTGACCCTGAACTAAATCCAGAACTTAATGTTCCCAGAAGTTCAAACACTTGCTGTCTCATGTATGTTGACCATATAACATTACAAGACCTCATAAAATATCAAGGTGTCAAATGTGAAGTGTTGCAAGGATACTATTACGATGGAAACAGAGATATTAGAATAAGAGATGAAGTAAAGAAGTTGTTTGAGTTAAGGTTAAAGTATAAGAAAGAAGGAAATCCTTTGCAAGAAAATATAAAGCTCATTCTGAACAGTATTTATGGCAAAACTATTCTATCTCCTATTGAGTCAAAAATAACCATAGTAAATGACAAAGATGCTATAAGATATGCCATCAGAAACTACAACCATATAGTGAAGTTCGAAGGTTTGGATGGTTCAGATAAAACTATTTTCAAGCTAACGAAAAGCATTTGCAGACACTTTAACTTCTGTCCACTTGGTGTTAATATTCTATCTATGTCGAAGAGAATAATGTGTGAAGTATTCTGTACTGCTGAAGACATGGGTCTTCAAATATTTTACCAGGACTGTGATAGCATGCATATTTTCAATGAAGACATTCCAAAGCTTGCAGCAGAGTTTAAGAAGAGATACGGTCGCGAACTTATTGGTAAAACATTAGGTCAGTTCCATTCTGACTTTGCAGAAATCACAAAAGATAAACAAAGTTTAGCATACAAGTCAATATTTTGTGGAAAGAAGACTTACATAGACTTACTCACGAATGATTTAAATGAAGTTGCATTTCATGCACGTTGTAAAGGTGTAAAACAAGACGTTCTTGCTTTAACAGCTAATGAAATGTTTCCTGAAGCTATACAATGCTATTACAATGAAGATAAGAACATTCACATACCTGTTGGAACATATGACAAAGACTCTGAGTTCAGTTTAATGAAACTTTACAAAGCACTTTATGATGGTCAAGAGATTGCATTCGACTTATGTAAGTCATGTCAACCTTGCTTTGCTGAAAAGTTCAACTTTTCAATAACGACTAAAACAAGCTTTATTCGTAAGTTGAAGTTCTGAGGTCATTTATTTTTGTCAGCAATGAGGTCATTTGTGATAAAAATAAGCCGCTAGCGGCATGGGCGAAGCCTATGTGGTCATTTACAATACAGCTATTGTAGAGTTTAACAATTGTGCTTCAATGTATAAACAATCTTTCCCATCTGGAGGTAAGAACACTGGGCACTTATGGTCATGAGTGGAGAACATGTCTATCCAAAACTCACGATTGAAGCCAGTAAGCTTGTAATACTTAGGATTTGGCAGTGGTGAAGTTCTTGTATGACCAATGAACTCATTTTCAACTCCCTTACTTAAGTTTGAATATAATATAGCTTGCTTTCTATCCCAAATGCCAGGTGTTACAATCTTTGAAAATTCATTTTTCCTCGGAAGCATTGCATCATAATTGAAAACATTTTTGAAGTCATCATTGGTTCAGAGATTTGAAATCTTATACGTAATGGATTTTTTTCTTTTTAGCGACTTCATTGAATGGTGAGAATACAATGAATTGACAGTCATGAGTTCCATCTTCATTTTCATTAAATTCATAATGAAAGTCTATAAGTTGTGGCTGACTACCTTCTTCTTTCAGTTGTGCAAGAAACTCACGTAAAGGCTGTAAAGTTTGTACTTCAATGTTAACTTTTTCTCGAACATCTCATTAAATGAAATCATACATTGCAACAATGTTGTATCGTCTTTAAAGTATTTGTATATGTGAATGTTTTGGGCGCTTAAAGACTGTTCGTCATTTTCTATCTCGACTTGAAGTATAAAGTCAACCTTTCTGAAAGCACGTGTTATATACATAGATGTTATGCCAATGTACTTCTCTTCATTTATGTTCACAATCCAGTCTGTTGGAAACTTAAACGTTACTCTGTTCCCCTTTATTTTGACGTCAGGGTTTTCACTACTGAACGCAACAGATAAAGGTATTTGTCTATACATTTAATTCGGATAAAAATAAACCATTTACTCTTTCTTTGCTTCAGCTTCTTTAGCTTTTTGCTTCAGCTTCTTCTCTAGCTTTTTCGCCAGCAAACGTGGGTTTTTGTCTTCCAGCAGCTAATGCAGCAAGTTGTTTTTCACTAAGTTTTCTCTTTGGTCTCTCTGGCTTTTGTTCTTGTTTTTGTTCCTTCAGTTCGGATAAAATTTGCTCACGAATTTCTTTCTTCAATGCTTCAACATCTATGACCCCTTGGGTCTTGTCCGTAGGGCTTGTCTGAGTCATTTGACTGCAGATAAAAAACTAAATTAAAACTTTAACCGATGTAAAATGAGCTTGTCAAAATCAGAACGAGAGTCTATTATATTAAATGACGCCAGAGGAATACAACATCCTTTCTATTACGTAAGTCAGAGTAAAGATGGTAAAATATACGTAAGAAAAAGAAAGGTTCCATTAGCGAATGCAGAAGCGACAACATTAAGGTGCATGGCAAGGGCGAAGCCACGAAGCCCATATAAAACCTTCTGTTCAAACTGAAAAGTCAATAGAACAGAAGAAAAGAAGCCAGATGTACTTTCAATAACGAACCAAGAGCTTATTGCAAAGTTCGTGAATTTCATTGAAAAACAAACCGAGTCAAAGAACCCTGACCCGCCAGTGAAAGAAGTTGAGACAAAAGAGAATGTACAGTTCATTGAAAATGTCAAGAAACAACTTCCACCACGAATGCCAAGAAGAAGAGTGAGAATAATGAAGTAAATAGATATTTTTATCTGAAGTAAATACATGCAGAACGAACAGTTAAACGAATTTACTCCAGCAGAGCATATTCATCAGATTCGCTCATATTTCGATATCATAGACAATGCAGTTCAAATTGGTGACACTAATAGAAAATATTCTGACGCAAAGATTCCATCACAACCTGGAACTGCTAAAGATAACACATGGGTAACATTCAATCTCTCACCTCCTGGTGAAAATATGTTGGACCTTTACAATACATTCATTACGTATAAAATGGAAGGTCAATTTATTGTAGATAAAGAAATTGGTTCAGGTTCCAATAAAACAAACCCACCAGGATTTTGGATTGGTTTCGATGACGCTTTCTATGCAGTTGCTGGATATCAAATCCTTGCAAATGGTCGTATCGTATATTCTCAAGACAACGCAAGAGAAGAAGCATATATAACTTCAAACTCACAAACTACCGAACAAATAAAGAAAGTAGATGTTTTCTCAAAGACTCGACATGAAGATGTATGGAGTCATTCGGGAACATGCAGAACAGGACAAATTGTTAGTGGTCCAATTACAGCAGGAAAATCATTTGATTTTAAGCTTCGTTTAAGAATTCCTGTTAGAAGATTCCTTCCATTAGAAGCTATTCGATTTATTCCAGCTTTTGCAGGAAACATTCAGCTTAAAGTAAAGTTCAGTAGCGACGCCTTACAATGCACATCTATATCTGTAAATGATATCATTGCTTTCAATCCAACTCTTAAAGTTGCATTTGCTTCAGATTCAAATCCACCGACAAATAAATTTGTTCCATGGAATGAACCATTCACTATGATAACGAAGGCAGTAGAAGCTAGTGGAACAGTTACTATTACAACTGTAACCCAGCAACTATTTCGAACAAAGATGGATTTTAATGAATGTTTCATTCATCCAAAGTCATTCTCTTTAGACCCTAACATTTATACAGAACTTGTAGAACATTATACAAACGAGGCTTTATGTTTTCCTGTTAAAGTTATGGATTGGATTCCTATGGATGGTTCATTCTCAAAGAATACAGATAGTTCAAGTGCAACATTTACAGCAGCTTATACGCCTATTAATGTTAAAAGTATTTGGGCACTATTTAGAAAGAAAGACAACTATTATGTTAATTTTGAGAACCCTAAGTTTAAATATCTTCAGCTTTCCATGGGAGCTTATGGAAATATGCCTGCAGAACCTGAAAAATCATATGGACCTGTATTTTATGAAATGGTTGCGAACGCTTGCAATACAAACAATGATATGATGGATTTAATGAAGATGTTATGAGGTCATTGGTGGATGATGGTAGTGTGGAACATAAATGGGATAGCTATGACAACACACATTTCTTATGTGGTTTTCCAACAGAAGTGGACTTTTGCTTCCAGCAAGGTCAAACATCTACTGCTCCAATAACATACAAATTGTCTGTTAAAGGACCTATTGAACTAGCAACAGAAAATGTACCAAAGCCACTTATTGGATTTATGAGGGATTGTTGCTTTGCAATACAAGTAAGACAGTCAGGCATACCAATAATAAGACTTGACGACTATAACTTAGCTACGGACGACAGTGAGGAATAAAGGATGAACGTTTATTTTTAAAGCTTATAAATGAGTTCTTCATCAAGCTCTCGTGAACCTTCACCATCTGTGAAACAAACTTTACCAAACGATTATGGAGCACCTATTGAATATTTCTTACGAGCTGCACAATGGCAAAGAGCAGTTTCACCAAGGTTAGGTGTTCCACCAGCTCCTGCCAAAAATAGCATTTGGTCAAGTCCTTATATAAAATATGGTCTCCCACTAGGTTTGCTAGCTACAGCAGGAGCAGTAATGATGTTGAAAAGAAATAAAGCAAATGTTGTAAATAATACTGAAGTAGCTGAAGTTAAACAAACTCCAACGCCTTCACAAGCAAAACCTTCAATGACTCCTGAACCTATGGAAGTACAAACTCCTGTTCAAAAGTCAACTCCTAAACCGACTCCAACATTTAAACCAGAACCTACTCCTCAAATAAATCGTAAAACTCCTGCGTTTCCTTACTGAAAAAAATAACGTTATTTTTATTTAATATTAAAATTTTTATTTGATTGAAATGACAAATAAAGTCACTGAAGCAATGAAACAAAAGTTTTTGGTAGAATACATTAAATCAGGAACTATTCCAGAAGGTTTTTACATTCATACTATGAAGGATGGTAGAGTTCAGTTTAGAAAGATAAAGCAACCATTAGATAAAGAAGGAATTTTGAGAAAGATTAAACTTCATGAGGACAACATTGCTGAACTTAGGAAGAAGTTAGAAGAGTTGGAGAAAGGAAGTGAGTTATAAAGCAATGAATTCAACAGACCCAAAGGGTCAGAGCCGCTTTGCGGCTAGGGTGAAAAAAGAGGTGAAAAAAGAGGTGAGATCTCACCACTTCACCTAAATTTATTTTTGCGCTATGTTTTCATACGTGTGGGAGTGGTGATATCATTTATTTTTATTTTATTTGGATGTAAATGACGAAAACTATTGAGATAACAAACTACAACGGTCATGAGTTCAAGAATTTGTTCTTCGTTCCTCGTGAAAATACATTCTATCAGATACGAGGGAGAAAGGGTAAAGTTAGTTTAAGCATTTATGAAGGAATGAAGAATGGAAAGTTTATACAAGCATACGATACAAACGGTAAGCGTGTTTCATTAGCTTTGTCAAAACTTACAGGTATAAACTATGACAGTGATTTTGACTCTGACGATTGGAGCGACAGCAGCGATACTGAAGAATATGAACTATTGTGTGAAGCACAGCAATGGGAAGAGTTGCAATACTTTTGTAAATGAGAACGTTTATTTTTACAGTAGTGAAGTCGTTTGTGAAAACGTTAGTGAGGTGAAGTGGTTGGCGGCTTTATAAATATTTAAGGTTAAGTTGGTGTTTGTGTTTGTGTTGTAAAATATACGTTAACGGTTTTGTAAAGTGTCAAATTCACATATCATGGGTAAGGAGGCTCGCAGTGCCTCCGTACACAAGATAGTCATACTAACTGACAAAAGGTAAAGGATATGATGTTAAAGACAACGTTCAGTTTGCTATAAATTGTTTCTGGGGTAACACTCAGGGAGATGGAAACCATACACATCGCGTTTCGGGATATACGCAAACAACGGGACAAAGTAAAGAATACATGCCACCTTACATGACAGTTTACGCATGGTATAGAAATGCTTAGTCGTCATTTTCAACTTCTTTAGCATATTCGTCAGGAGTTGTCTTATATTTGTTAGGAACTGTCTTTGAAAGTATACCACCTTGAACTTTGACAAGTTTGAAACGAGGTCTGACAATAGTAGTTTTATCTTCTGCTTGCAGTCTGTACATTTTGCCATGTTTGCCTAAAACTTCATAATATTCTCTTGTATACTTTCTTCTATTTTTACGAACACGAATGTGAGTACCTGTCGGGTTCCCATTGTTGTCATAGTCAATAGTATTTTCATATGGGTCGCGTTTGGGTATTTCTATTTTTACTTTGTCACCTTTCTGAAGTTTGAAGCCCGGCATTCTTTCTTGTTTGTCTCTTTTGACTAAATTATTAAATATATAGTCTTTCTCTAAGTCAGGGTTGTTTTTCATTTCTTCAGGGGAGTGGTTTCCCAAACCTTTTTGTTTACGGTTATTGTAAATATTTAAAACTTGTCTCATCTTTGCCATGGAGAAGTGTCTATACTTGTCGTCATATGACATTTCATTTGCTTCACCACCTTGTGGTTGGTTTAAGTCTCTTAACATTTTTATACAACCGTCAATGACACCAAGAGCAGAATGGTTTTGGTCGACAATGAAATATTGGTTTACATTTTTTGAACGCAGATAGTTTTTAATATCGTCTGATTTGAAAGAACTTTCACAGTCAGATGTTAGTTTTGTTGGATGGTATTTGTCAACGAATATTGTCAAAGCAGTTTTCACATCTAAAATATTTTTGGACCATAATGGTATGGCTTCACAGTATCTTGTGTTTTGACCGACAAATATTAGCCAGTATGGTGGTCCATCTGTTCTAACTCTCGGAATGTTTTCCAAGATATCCATAAACCAAGCATTTGGTGTTGAACTAAAGATTTTTATCATGAGTGCTTTCTTTGTCGCTTTAGAAACATAGGGGTCCTTGTTTGGATTCGTCATTTTTTAACCCATAAGAAATGGGTTTATTTGGCGCATTAGCAGGAGTCGCATCTAGATTTTTACCCGCAGTGGAACAATAGCCAGAGGTGTATTTGGAGTTGGAAGGAAGATTTTGAGTACATTAGGTATACTTAAAGAGAAAGCACAACCTATTATACAAACTGTACAGAAAGGTTGGGATGTAGCACGAGATGCAACAAATCTTATTCCAAATCCTGAAACAAGAGGAAAAGTTCAAGGATGGATGGACAATGTAGGAAGACAAGCAGGAAACTATTATAACAAAGCAAATGACTACTATAACCAAGCAGGACACTATATGGACCAAGGTGAAAGATTCTTTAACAGAGGATATAACCATGCACAACAGTGGGTAAACAATAACCAACCGCAACCACCTCAAACTTGGGGAATGTAAAATTTTTTACTGAGATGAAATGAACAATACAGCATTGAGACAAATGGGTTCAAGATGGATTTGTCGGCTTCCAGCAGTTACACAACGTGTTTGTCAAGTTCTTCCTATACCTCAGGAAGTTTTAGACCGACTTAAAAAACCTAAACAACCAGTTGAAAACAAACCAAACTAAAATTTTTTACTGAGATGAAATGACCGAAGAAGTTGAAACGGTAGATTTGACACCACAAACAAAAAGTTCAGAACCATTGTCAAAACCTGTCAAAGAACTTACAGATGAAGAGAAAAATTCAATAATAGAAAGTGCCAGGTCTGGAAATACAAACCCTAACTATAAAGTCACTTTTCATAAAAATGGAACGGCTAGTATCTCAAAAAAGAAACAGACTCTCACAAATAAAATATTGAAGTCTGAAGGAGCTTTCGAGACAACAGATGGAAAAGTTTACTTCACTGACCAACAGTTCATTATAGAACATCTCATTGACTTAGAGTCGAAATATTCTAAACTTTACAACAAACACAAAAAGTTGAAAGGAAAACAAAAACAAATGGCATATGATATTTATGAAGATGTTGACGACACAACTGTTCCTGCAAGTGAAGTAAAGTCAGAGGAACCGATAGAAGAAGAAAAACCAAAAACTGAAGATAAACCAAAACCAAAGTTTAGTTTCCAAACTAAACCAAGTCAACCTTCATTAGCTGGTATGGGTTGGCGTCAAAGACTTATGGCAGCAGGCGGTTATGTAAAGTAAAGAAAAAAAATATTTTTTTATTTTATTTGAAATGTACGCTGAGTTTGTTGGAGAAGACCGTTGGGAAACTTGTTTGTTAGATGAGAAATATGAAATGGCATACCATTTTAAAACAATATATTTTTACATATATTAAATGCTTCAGGTTGAAAAACAAAGAACAAAAGTAACAGATACAAAACTAGGGTTGTTAGATTCCTGACGATAGGTGTCTTTGAAGATTTGCCTGGTGTCATCACAGTGTCTTTAAATCAAAAATTTTATTTTTGTTACATATTAAGTTCTGTCAAAATGTAAGCTATTGAATTTTTTGAGAGGGGAATAATCGTCGAGGAAGTAAAAAGTGACGCTTTAGGAAATATTATTAGAAATATGATAATAAATATATTTGGAAAAAATATGTTTTTTTCAAAAATTGAAATGCTCATAGAATATTTTGAAATATGTAGGGAATTGAATTCGGTAATATATAATAAACAGGATTTTTAAATTTCAAGGAAAAATAGCTTTTGTGAATACTTTTGAGAACTCTTCTCAAAGATCATGATTCAAATATATTAAGGAGCCAAAATATTAGAGATGAGTTCACAATCAAAATTTTCTCACTTTTCTTCCAAATTGACATCCTTACTCACCACTTTCAAGTTTTTCATACATATATCTTACCCATTCATTTGGAATACGAGGTCTCGAGTTTTCGTTCATTTTTTTTACTTTACAAAACTGTTTATTTTTCAGAATTTTTAAATTTGAAAAAATCCATTCTATATCTGATAAATAATATATTATTTTTCAATCAAAATATTTTGATTATCATCTCAAAAGTGTTCTCAAAACCTAGTTTTTCTTATTTTGGATAATCTTAATATTTATATTATTATAAACTAATTGAACACCATATGTTTTTGTATACTTTTACAAAAAAATTGATAGATTTGTGATACTTCCCCCGACGATAGAATTGAATAGCTTACATTTTGACAGAACTTAATATGGAACATTTTGAAGTTAGTTTTATTGATTTTTCAATAAAAAACATTTCTAAAACAAGAAAATAAAACGATAAAATATTTATATTTTATATAAGGATCTTATATATTTAAAATAAATATCATTTTATTTTTTTCATTGGTGTCTGTCAAACCATAATACACTATTCAAAAATTCAATGTGTCTTGCGGTTTCAAAAGACACCTTCAAATTGAACGATAGCACAGACACTATTGAATTTTACCCATTGTATTTAGTTTTTACCCTTTTTATTTTTAAGAATTAATGACTGAAACAGCCGTTTTGCTATGACCTCAATCACTTTTATTTATTATTTTAAATATTATTTAATTTTATTATTTGAATAGGCCAACTTATATTTGAGAAGCTCAATTTGAGACCACTTAATACATTGAAATATCATAAATATTGAAATATTAAAAAGTGTATTTCAAAATATTGAAATTATAAAAATTTATAATACTGAAATTGAGACAAATTAATAAATTCAATGTGTTTTTTTTTGAAATAACTCTCAAATATTATTTTTTGTTTATTTAATGATGAATAAATATGATTGCTTTAGTCAATCATAAAAACTAATTTAAGTTTAAAATAATGAAAGGATAATTTGATCATTTTTTAAAATACAATTATTTTTGATGATTTGCAAGAATCTTTGAAAAGAATATAATATATGTTCTATTTTTGTAAAATTTATCCAAATCATGTATTACATAAATTACGATTAAAACGATGAAAGAACCAAAAAGTGTGTTTTGTGTTTTGTTGTTGCGTGTTGGATGCGGGATCCTGTTATTTCAGAAATTGACAAAAAATTTGGAAATTTAATTTCCGAAATCGAAATAATATTAATGTTTTTAATATTCTTATATCAAAATGATTAAAGTTCATTAAGAGAAAAACAATTCTTCTTCTTCAATCTATTGGCGCATTTATTTCTACACGCCAATAAGGAAGGGAAAATTATAAGACACCATGGTGTCTTCAAAACGCTAATTTTTGATATTTTTAACAACCCTATACAAAACCGTTAGACTATATCTTTACAAATGCTGGTAGGACTATTTCAGATGAAGAAATTTCATCCCGAGCATACAGGTTTGACTATCCAATTCGTTGGCTTCAAAGTCCTTCAGATGCAAAGGCAATAGGATTTAGAAGAGTTTTGTTTTCAAATAGAACTAACGCATTTATGTTCGCAGTATATTTTCATGGGCAGTATAAAGGTTCTGATGGTCTAATAGACAAATTTGACGAAATGAGAATCTTTACAGTTCGTTCAGACGAAAGTCTTGAGAAAACTCTAAATGACTTTCAAACTCAAATGAACAAATATTATTGGGAATTTCAAGAAAAATACGACTCTTTACTAAATGGAACATACTATCTGAAACTAGAATATGACAAGATGAACTCCACCGTTTCATTTCAAAAGATTGAAATTAACCCTCCAAGAGATACAGAGTTTTTATTTTGGAAAGTAGACAAACGTTCTTGGGCACAATTTCTTCGGTTACTAAACCAGAACGAACCATTACCACCAGATGGTCCATTTAAATTTATACTTCCACCAGCAGATTTGACAGTTTATAGAAACGTGTTTGACCCTCAAAATGTTATGTGTCATGCAAGTTTCAGTTCAAGCAACAATAGTTTTCTATGTATTGGTAAGGACTTTTATGACTTTGCTTCTAAATTCTACGAACCACCTAGTAACAGTTTCTCTGACTTTCAAGTTTGGTTCACAACAAATGGTGTGCAACATATTATTCCATTGTACTATGACTTTTATCTCGAATTGTCTTTCATATATAACTACGGAAAAGTGCTGAAAAAGTATTGAAAAATACTTTTAGGGTAGCATGTTAGATCTAACACGTTTTCTAACCTCATTTCTAACATGGTCTAAAACTCTCGAAAACAATTTATTTTTGACACTTTCACAAAAAAACATAAAAAAGTGAAGTTAAACGTTAAGGTTTACTGAACTGGTTGGATGTCGCCTTCACAGGTTATGTAGAACGGCTGACCCGAGAAGCGAAGGAGAGAATGAATTGCCAATTTCATATGGGGTAGGGGGTTCTCCTTGTTTGGTATTTTTATCCAAGGACGTTTGTTTAGGAACTTAACAAGAGCTTCTCTTTTGGCGTCCTTTATGTCGTCGAAAGGAGTGTTTTCTGGTATTTGAATTGGAATTCCGGTCGAAGTCTCGAGATTCAAGACAGCCCTTCCAGAAATAGTGGTGAACTTGACCTTGGGCTTCATGACCTTGCGCAAGTAGTCTTTTACGCAGTCGTTAATTTAAATTAGGTAAATTGCCTCGTCAAATCCTTCTGGCATTCCGAGTCCTTCCATCCGACAGGAAAATATTTTCCCGACAACTGGAAAAAATTTTCCGGACAAAAGGAAAATTTTCCCGACGACAAGAAAAAATTTTCCAGTTGTCCGTCCGTAAACCATTCAAATTTTCGAAAATTGAGAACTTTTTGGTCGAACTTCAGAAAAAGTTTTTCCTTCCGACAGAAAAAGTTTTTCCTTCCGACAGAAAAAGTTTTTCCTTCCGACAGAAAAAGTTTTTCCTTCCGACAGGACACAAACAGATGACTGACGTCCCACCAACCGAGTCCATTCCCAAACCAGAGGAACCTAAAGAACCACAACAGTCTCCTCAGCAACCTCAGTTCCAGCAAGTACCTCCGAATTTCTACCAATTTCCACTTCAAGGTTACTACCCACCACAAGGCTTCCCGAACTACCCTCCTCAGCCTATGCCTTACTTCCCCAACCCTTGGATGTTCCAGCAAGCTCCACCCCAGCAATTCCAATCTCAGTCCAAATCGAAGAGAGACCAAGAGTTCGAAGAAGGTCTGAACCGCTTACGCAAAGAGTATGCTACAGCTCCAATTGAGAGAAAGTTGTTCCCGGACCAAAAAATATAATTTAGGGTAGAAGGTTAGATCTAACCTGTTTTCTAACCTCTTTTTTCACCTCGTGAATTTTCATGAATTTTCATGAATTTCCTTAGGATAGAAAAAATAAAGTTAGTTTTATTTTTTTATTTTTTTATTTTGTATGTAAAGACAGAAAATGTTAAAGGTTGAGTTTGAAACAGTTAGAAAGATAGACAATGACACCAAAGTGGTTAGAATAGGTGATTTAAACGTAAGATACTCAAAGAAATACAACAAATATTCTTTGTCAGACATTTTATCTCCATCTGGAAAGAAAACAAAGGACTGGGTTAGAAATGCTTCTACTCAGAAAATTTTGACAAGAAATCCTGAGCTTATGATATCGGTAAGATTCTATGGAACTGCAGCATATCTTATAGACAAAAGTCTTATACCAATAGTTTTGTTATGGTTAGACCCAGTTGTTGGATATAACTTCATAACATATGGTTCATTCGATACGGAACGTTGCAGTGAAGGCTTACTTTACATCGTTCAGAAACCGAAGGACTTCAACACAAAAAGATAAGATAGGAAGAACATATAATATAACTCAAAGATATGACAGTACAGTCAATATAGTCAAGGTTGTGTTTGCTAATGATATGAGAGCTGCAGAAACAGAACTACTTGAAAAGTTTGAGAAAATGTATGGTGCTCCCATAAAAGGTAAAGAAACGTTTGAAGTAGATGAGATAGATAAAGCTATAAAATTATTTGACGAAGTTGCTGAAAAATACATGTAAAGCGTTTATTTTTGGTCTTTTGTGAAAGTCAGAAAATAAAGTTAGTGTCATTTTTTGTATTTTTTTGTATAAAAGACATGATTTCAGGGATTTTTTTGACGAAGTGTTAACGTTCACTTCGTCAAAAAATAACAGTTATCTAATGAAAAAGTGTCATTTTTTGTATTTGACGAGAATGTCGGGTAGAAGGTTAGATCTAACCTGTTTTCTAACACGTTTTCTAACCTCTTGAATTTGTCAAGACTTCTTCGTAAATGTTTTGTCAAGACTTTTCGTAAATGTTTTGTCAAGACTTCTTCGTAAATGTTTTGTCAAGACTTCTTCGTAAATGTTTTGTCAAGACTTCTTTCGTAAATGTTTTGTCAAGACTTCTTCGTAAATGTTTTGTCAAGACTTCTTCGTAAATGTTTTGTCAAGACTTCTTCGTAAATGTTTTGTCAAGACTTCTTCGTACATGTTTTGTCAAGACTTCTTCATCGTAATGAGTGTAAAGGACCCAAAAATATAATTTAGGGTAGAAGGTTAGATCTAACCTGTTTTCTAACCTCATTTCTACCCTCTTGAATTTTCATGACTTCTTCGTAAATGTTTTGTCAAGACTTCTTCGTAAATGTTTTGTCAAGACTTCTTCGTACATGTTTTGTCAAGACTTCTTCATCGTAATGAGCGTAAAGGACCCAAAAATATAATTTAGGGTAGAAGGTTAGATCTAACCTGTTTTCTAACCTGTTTTCTACCCTCTTGAATTTGTCAAGACTTCTTCGTAAATGTTTTGTCAAGACTTCTTCGTAAATGTTTTGTCAAGACTTCTTCGTACATGTTTTGTCAAGACTTCTTCATCGTAATGAGCGTAAAGGACCCAAAAATATAATTTAGGGTAGAAGGTTAGATCTAACCTGTTTTCTAACCTGTTTTCTACCCTCTTGAATTTGTCAAGACTTCTTCGTAAATGTTTTGTCAAGACTTCTTCGTAAATGTTTTGTCAAGACTTCTTCGTACATGTTTTGTCAAGACTTCTTCATCGTAATGAGTGTAAAGGACCCAAAAATATAATTTAGGGTAGAAGGTTAGATCTAACCTGTTTTCTAACCTCATTTCTACCCTCTTGAATTTTCATGACTTCTTCGTAAATGTTTTGTCAAGACTTCTTCATCGTAATGAGCGTAAAGGACCCAAAAATATAATTTAGGGTAGAAGGTTAGATCTAACCTGTTTTCTAACCTCATTTCTACCCTCTTGAATTTTCATGAATTTTCCCGAAATAAAAAATAAAGTTAGTTTTATTTTTTTATTTTTTTTATTTTGTATAAAAGAACAGAAATGTCAGTCGAAGCAACAACAATTCAAACAACAGCACCAAACTCGTTAGTCATGAATCCAACATCTATGTTAGTAGAAATGAAAAGCTTCATTCCTTCTTCATATACTTTTGAAACAGAAATCCAGAAGATAAAGCAGGAACTTTTAACAAGTACTTTGGACTGTTGTGCGAAAGATGAACAAAATGAACAGTATCTTTACGACATGCAGGACCTGGTGGAACATTTACCCAAATTGCCTGAAATCCAACAACAAAAGCTCACTATTCCTGAATTCGATGAAATTGAAGTGAAACCAACTGACTCAGTAGAAATAAAGAAGTTCATACGAAAGGTAAACTATGAATTCCTTGGATTTCATTGCAACCATAAGGTTATGGACAAAGATTGCGACATGGTATATAAGAATGTTTCTGACATATATAAATCTGAAGAATTTAAGACCTACGACAACTTTGTTTCGTTAGTTGCTGAATGTGTATGGCAGATAAGAGATAAAGATAAAAGATGTAAAATATGGAACAAACAAATAAAACCAGCAGCTTTTGAGTTAAAGAAAACCATTGACGCCTTAGTTGTTTTAGCAGGTAAGGTTTCAGAATATAACGCAAAAATGAACCCGCAATGTTCAAAATGTAAGGCAGCAATGAGGAGATATAACTACTCCGTCAAAGAGATAGAACGTATGAGAAACGACTATGCAGATTTAAAGAAAGAAGCAGAAAAGCCAGCAGAAGATAAAATGGACATGTTAGAATTTCTGAACAAAAACTATCCAACTGCTGACGATTTCCTTCTATCTGACGTCAAGAAGAAATATAAAGAGACTTTCGGCATAGTTAAAACATTCGATATCCTCAGCGAAGAAATAGAAGCTACAAAACTGTTTAGAGTCTCACGAATTCATAACGTTTACCATGTAAAACGCTTATAAAATAACTGGGGTAGAAAAGAGGTTAGAAAACAGGTTAGATCTAACCTTCTACCCTAAAATATATTTTTGCTGAAAAATGACCAAAATTCTGAGTAAAATAATTTTTAGGGCTTGTGTCAAACCGTTGAGTTTTCACAAAATTTAAAAAATAACGTTTACCATGTGAAACGCTTATAAAATAACTGGGGTAGAAAACAGGTGAGAAAACAGGTTAGATCTAACCATCTACCCTAAAATATATTTTTGTCTGATTTACGCTCATTACGAAGAAGTCTTGACAAAACATTTACGAAGAAGTCTTGACAAAACATGTACGAAGAAGTCTTGACAAAACATATACGTTCATGTTTGACAAAACATTTACGAAGAAGTCTTGACAAAACATATACGATGAAATCATGAAAATTCACGAGGGTAGAAAAGAGGTTAGAAAACAGGTTAGATCTAACCATCTACCCTAAAATATATTTTTGTCTGATTTACGCTCATTACGAAGAGGTCTTGACAAAACATGTACGATGAAATCATGAAAATTCACGAGGGTAGAAAACAGGTTAGAAAACAGGTTAGATCTAACCATCTACCCTAAAATATATTTTTGTCTGATTTACGCTCATTACGAAGAAGTCTTGACAAAACATGTACGATGAAATCATGAAAATTCACGAGGGTAGAAAAGAGGTTAGAAAACAGGTTAGATCTAACCATCTACCCTAAAATATATTTTTGTCTGATTTACGCTCATTACGAAGAAGTCTTGACAAAACATGTACGATGAAATCATGAAAATTCACGAGGGTAGAAAACAGGTTAGAAAACAGGTTAGATCTAACCTTCTACCCTAAAATATATTTTTGCTGAATTCAGCACAAAAATCTGAGTAAAATGGCATAAGATTGCTTCCCTCGGAAAAACCGAGAGAAGAGATTCCGTATGAAAACAGTGAAGAACAGCGAGTAGGTAAGAAACCTTAGTCGCCAAAACTCTATGAAAATCATGAAGCACAGCGAGACCGACTTTTATCTGGGTCGCCTAAAACTCTATGAAAACAGTGAAGAACAGCGAGTACGTAAGAAACCTTAGTCGCCAAAACTCTATGAAAACAGTGAATTTCCTTAAGATAGAAAAAATAAAGTTAGTTTTTTATAAAATATTTTTTTTATCCGGAATATAAAGACAGATATGTCAACAACCGAGAACACAACAACAGTTATAGTCCATGAAGCTATAAATGAAGAATACGAGTACATACAGTATAACAAACAGTTACGTCTCATTCGTTCGGTCAAAGACGATATGTACCAGATGCAAAGTATTTTGAACGCTCTTCGTTCTACAAAGCAAGCATATCATTGGTTTGAAAACCAACAGACAAAAGAACTTTTAGAAGAATTTCCTCATATGTTTGCTACCCTCGAAAAACCGAGGGTAGAGATTCCGTACGAAAATCGCAAGAATTTGGCTCCTGGTTTGAGAGGCTGGTATGTACATAGACTTCTTGTAAATGCTGTTGCAATGTGGGCTTCACCTCGTTATGCTTGTTATATTTTCATGATGTTAGATGAAATTCATAGACAAGAACGTGAAGAGATGGAAAAGAAACTTCATGCAAAAGATGAAGTCATTGAATCCAAAGACAAAAGCCTTCAGAAAAGAATACCACGTTCGGTACCAAAAGGAAAGGAAAAGAACTATAAGTATATGATTTATACTGAAGAGATGGAAAATGAAGAAGACAGAGATATGGTTATGTTGCATTTAGTCAGAAGAAACAACAAAAGCTTTTACGACCTTGCTAAGATTTACAAATCTGACAGAAATTGGTTCTATCGCGAAAACTTACCGAGTTCAATGACTCCAAATGAAGATGTGAAACAAATAGTTCAAGATACGTTACCTCAAACACACTATGATATGAAAGGTTGTACAATACTTACATTCAAAGAAGATTTGCCATTGTTAAAGGAAAAAATAACAGAGTATTTTGACAACTTCAAACAAGTAGGGTAGATGCACTCTTTATTTTTCAAGCTTGACTTTTTACAATTTGAACTTTGTTCGCGTAGATATGAATTCTGAAAGAAGTATGAGGGTCTTGTATGACTTTGTACTTCTCCCATAGTTCATGTCTGTCAAACTTACCTGCCATGGACTCTTTCATAAGTTCCATGAAATCGTCTTCGGACAATCCGGGGAAAAGTACAATGTCAGTAAGTATTCTCTTTACATCCTTACTTAAACTCTTTGCTGTCTGTACACAAATGACAACTGAAATGTTAAAGTGTCTGAGCTTCTTAAGAATTCGACACATGTCTTGTTCTCTATTCTTTAACAAAGGATGAGAAGCAAAGTCATCTAAGATAAGAAGACATCTATGAGGGTACGTTTTCCAATCGTAAGATTGCAATTTCTTCGAAATGTATTCTATCTCTTTCTGTTTGTTTCTGAAGTGTTTCTTCTCTAATATTCTCTGCATTTCCTCATTTGGGTCTTTAAACTTAGAATTTATATACTCATTTATAGCATTATACTTCAAAACTCTTCTTTGGTACTTCTTTATCCAATCTAACAACTCAGAGTCTTTTATACATACTAACTTAGACTTCTTTATAATATCTTTGAACGAATTGACGGTTTGGTCAAATTGACCCGAAGTACTACAAATGACAACTAACTCATAGAATGGGTTCTTCTCATCTAGTTCTTGTTGTTGTGCAGCCATTTTAAGATAAGTGAAAGTCTTACCCGACCCAGGTGGTGCAATTAGACCTGTTATACCATTCTGAGCAAATAAGAACTTGTCATGTATGGGTTTTATCTGAGCATTTTCCAACTTCCTCTTGTTCTTATTTAAAACATTCTCAAATTTTTTGTCAATGTCAGCAAACTTTTTTTCTAACATATTTTTAGAAAAATTAAAATTTTTATCTTTTAGAAAATGTCTAGCGATTTCGCTATCTATATTCGAGACAAGCTTTTCGACAGCAAAACATCTGTCGACCATAAAATCTTACATAGTGTAAACAAGAAAGGTGAATTTGTTCTAAAGTTCTGTTTCTGGGAATATGACAAGAACCATAAAACATTAAGCAGAGCAGTCTTAAAATTTGTCAATGACAGACTTGTTGACAGAGATGACGCCTCTTGGAGAGATGAAGTCCAACAAAACTTCTTAGAATGCAAAGAAGACACATGCGCTGTTCTTGAAGATGAAATAGAAAACAGAATAGAAGAGCTATTAAAGGACAAAGAACTTTTACAAAAATATGGTTCTGAGAAGTTTGACATAACTCCACCAGAAAAGAAGAAGAGAGAAAAGAGAGAAAAGAAAGAAAAGAAAGTAGAAGAAGAGAAGAAAGAACCTGAACCAGTTCCAGAGAAGAAGAAATTTGACATGTAAAAATAAAATTTTATTTTTAGAACATTTCTGGGTCAATGTCAATGTTCTCTTCCTCTTTAGGAGTAAACACTGGCTTAGACTCTAAAATCTTTTTACCCAATTTACCTTGAACTTCTACAACTTTAGACTCATAATATTCATAGTCGTCTGCTTTCTTTGGTTCATAAGGTATAACAAGTTTGTATGCTTTGCCTTCTTTAAGATTTGAGAACCTTCTATCAAAACTTTCTTTGACTGTTAACAAACCTTCTATGTCTAAGTCTTCAAATTTCGCACCATTTTTAGTCACAATAGCAAACTTAACTGGTTCGATGTTCCAAACTTTGCTGAATGAAGACTTTTCAAAATGGTAGAAGTAAACATTCAAATATGTGAATGGGTCTAGGAAACAATAAGAATTACCGAAAAAGTGACAAAACATCAAAAACAGGGAGGGGGTCTCAATTTTTATTACTTATATTATTTTACAATATTTATATAAATACTCTTTATAATATATTTTACTATAAAATTATACCTCAAATTCAAATATTTAAAATATTATTTACATAATTATCTCAAAATTATATTTTTATATATTATTTTTCATATGTATAAATCATATAATCTATATCTATGCAAATCTCATCTAAAAATTTTTGAAACAAACCGCTACCATTTTATAATGGTCCATCTTAAATTCATCATAAATTCTGGTACATGTTAGTACCAGAGTCTTCAAATCTCAAACACTCTGGTACCAACATGTACCAGACGCGAGTTTCCAATGCCCTCGTACGATTTTCTATTAAGATCTTCTTGAATGAGAAGGTCTTCATAGAAACTCGTACGAGGGCTTCTCTTTTAAATACTCTGGTACCTGCTGGTATCGGAGTCGACTTTACAGCCCTTTCCCCAATTTTGAAGCTGGGGAAAGTTTTCAAGCAATGAAAGGGAAGCTCTCGCTATGAGGTGAAAATCTAGAATTTTTACCTCATAGCGAGTAATCCTTTGTTAATTGCTTGAAAACTTCTTCAAATTATCAAAATTTCGAGGAAAGTTTCCTTGCTTCAAAGAAGAGATGGAGCCCTTTGAGCCACTGCATATAGGTCAGTGACTCAAAATACTCCATCTCTACTAGAAATCGCCAAAATTTGGGTCGCAATCTTTGAAATGCGACGCAAGTTTGGGCAATTTCGCGAGGGACTTGCTCCATTTGGTGCATAGATTCACACTCTATGCACCAGATGGAACAATTCTTTCGCTGACAGCGGGAAACTTTGTCTGAATAGTTTAACATTCAGACAAAGTTTCCCGCTGTCAGAGAGGGAATGGAAGGGTAAGAGGTATATATTCATAATGTATACCTCTTACTCTTCCATTCCCTCAAGAAAGTTCAAAAACTTGGGTGCAATCAGAACTGATTGCACCCAAGTTTTTGAACTTTATATAAGGAATTGTTAGCTATGATGTACTGATCATGAATCAGTACATCATAGCCAACAATTCCTTCGCAAACAGTGGGAAACTTTGTCTGAATAGTTTAACATTCAGACAAAATTTCCCGCTGTCAGGGAGGGAATTAGAGGGTGGGAGATATATAGATAGACTATAAATCTCTCACCCTTTAATTCCCTCAAGAAAGTTCAAAAACTTGGGTGCAAACAGTTCTGATTGCACCCAAGTTTTTGAATTTTGTATAAGGAATTGTTGGCTATGATGTGGATAGCCGCTGCCAGACCAAATGAATTAACCGTTGTGAATAACGTTTCTGAATCTTTATTTAAAAAGATAAAATATCACGATTTTGGCTGCGTTAAAAATCAAAGAATTGATGTTTTTGTCAAAAATCTTTTAGAAGAAGTTGCACCCAATTACTTTTATCGTATTAAAAACGATTTACTTCAAACAGGTTTTATTTCTTCAATTAGAATTCGCGAGCCTCGATTGACAGATTATAAAACAAAATTGAAAAGAGAAGTTCAATCACGTTTATACCAAGTATTAAATTTTGTTCAGAATCAAGAAGCCAATTTGAATCCATTAAGATTTTTATTGGAAAATGCTGAAGAAAAACTTTCTCAATAAATGAGAAGATACAAAATTCAATTACATATTTAAGATCGTTTGAAATTCCAAATGAATTGTTAGATACGTATATGTTAGAAATTAATGAATTTTGTTATAATTCTCCAGATTATATTTTAGAACATTTCGAAGAATTTTTAGAGGATTTCAAAGAAAAGAATAATTTAATAGACTAAAAATTTATTATTTTTATTTATTGTGAATTTTAAATTGTCACTTTTTAAGTGTTACTCCCTATTGAAAGTATCACTTTTTGGGTGTCACTTTTTCGGAAATTCTTATATACTCTGGTTCGATGTTCCAAACTTTGCTGAATGAAGACTTTTCAAAATGGTAGAAGTAAACATTCAAATATGTGAATGGGTCTAGTTCTTCTTTAAGTCCTGACATGTACTTGTTTACTGAGATGAATTTTGTCATCTTTTCTATCGGATAAAAAAATATTTTTTTTTAAAATTTACTCAGAAAAATTTTTCTTTGTATATACACCATTCTGTACGTCTAAAAGACTTTTGACATTTGCCAAGAATGTTCGTTTAGACGCTGTCATATAACCATATTCTTGACAATATTGTTTATACGAATCGTACAATGACCTTTCATCTAATGACACAAAGTCAGTTTCATCTATGAACAGTTCATATACACTCTTGTTTGCTTCTAACAATGTTTGTCTCTCTTCGGTATGTGGAATTTGTCTTGGATTGAACTTTGAAATATCTAATGTCATAAAATATGAGAACAAGTGGTTGTAAAAGTCAGATGTCAAAGTTTCTGCTAAGTCGTCAAAATATTCTGTATCTTGCATATGAGAATCTGACGTTCTGACAACTACATATCTTCTGTCAGAACTTTCTAATTTCATCGGAACAGCATTGTTTGAAACCATAATGAAGTTTGCAACATTTTCACAAACTCTTTGGTCTTTATATTTTCTTTCAACAACTCCAACTTTGTCTGTTATAAGACTCTTCAAAGCATCTGAGTTCAAAACTTTTGTTGTATCTATACTTTGAAGTTCGTTACATACTATAAGTTTCATATTCTCTATTGAAGAGTTAAATTTACCGCAGATGTTTTCTAAGTTTGTCATATTCGGATTCGAATAACCTTCTAACAGTTTGCACAAAATATCTGTAAAGAAAGTGTTCTTACCTGTTCCTTGTTTTCCAATTATAATGAGAGCAGTTTCATTTTTAGCACTTGGATGTTGTAAGATGTTTGCAAACCAACATAAGATATACTCATAAACCTTTTCGTTTCCATTGCATATAATTTCTTTGACATGGTCTAACCAAGCTTCTATAATATTTTCTTTCCATTCTACTTGTTCATATTTATATCCAGTGAAGATAGAATAGAAGTTTGGAGAAGGTGTATAAAACTTTATACCACGAACTGAAAAATCTTCAAGTTTTGACAATAAGATATCCCAAGCATCTAACATCTTCATTCCAACTTGTACGACTTTTATTTTCTTAAGTTTCTGTTTACATTCTTGTTCTGAAACTATTGTCGCTTTAGGTTTGTTAAAGACTACATCCATTCTTTCATAACATAACATTCTGGGGCAGAGTCGACATAAATGACTAAACGTTTCAAATTCTCGACTGCTTTGTTATAGTCTCGAAATGGACACATATTTCTGAATGTTTGGAAGTCATAAAAATCTGAAACATCTATTCTGTACATTTTTATAAAAATAAAAAAAAAATATTTTTTTATTCTTGAGCTATTTGTTGCATTTGTTGTTCTTGAGCTATTTGTTGTTGAAGTTGTTCTTGTAATACATACTTTCACCAGTTGCATCTTCCAATTCGAAACTTTCTGCCGTCATTGACAAATACATAGGACATAAAAGTTTTACAGGAACAAAGTTTGCGTCAACTAAGGTTAAGTTTATGTTTGCTAAAGTGTTTGAGTTTACTAAAGCTGAAAACTCTGCATTCGAATGAACAATAGGCAAACCAGCAGAGAATGTGTTATTTATACGCATAAGTATCTTTTGGTCATAGTAGTTTCTGTCGACATTCGAATAACACTTTGAACCTAAGTTTGAAACAATATATAAAATAGGTGTACTTAAAGTCAATGGAACAGACATTCCTTGTATGACACCTTTTCCTGTTATAGGAAACTGTTGGTAGTAAAAACCAGAAATAAGTTTTGTATTATAGCTCATATCGTTTATAGTAAACTCAGTCGGACATCCAAACATAATGAAACCTGCTCTAGTTGCAGCACATGTTACACCCGTACTTAAAGTATTAAATAAGTCAACAAAACCTGTTGGTGGTATATCTGAGTAAGTATCTTCAAAGGAGTATTTTTTACCATTCACAACAATAAAGTCTTCTGGTGTCAAAAGAGCAAAACAGGCTTTAGTCGTCATTGTGTTTAAGGTTAGTTTACAATATCGTCCTTGAGGACTTTGTAAGTTTGTTGTTATAGAATTATATGACTCAGGGTTTTTAGTCGTAATAGTATAAACCATTATATCTTCTGCCATTTATATATATTTAAAAGTTTTTCTGAAAGTGGAGAAGAACTTCATCTAAACTTTCACATGGCGTTTCTTGAAGTTCTCTGTCTAAGAAGTTCAAATATTTTGTAAAGACATAGAACTTTCCTTTGTCTACACGAACAAACAAAACAGGGTCTTTCATATCGTTCAAAAGTGTGTAAAGTCCTTTACATGAAATAAAGTCTATATTATTTTTCTTCAAACATCTTTCAAGAAGTTTTGACATTTTTACTTAGCAAATAAATTTTAATGAAATGTTGTGGTCGTCAAATATTTTTATGACGTCTGGGAAACTATACTTTAAGTTCAACGTTTCACCTCCTTTCATAACGTATATCTTGTCAATGACATTATATGAAACACCACAGCAACTAATGTCGGGTTCTATTTCTTTGATGTTTATATCGTCTGCCTCTGTCAAAAGTTTCAATAGTTCTTTCAAAACTTCATGAGGTGCAATGACATATGAGTTCACTTTTACAGGGTTGTGTTCGACCAAGTTAACATTATACTTAAAGCTTGACAAATCTTCTCCTGAGTTTGAAGTTTGTCTTTCAGTTGTTGGTAGTCATTTCGAATATCTGCAACAGAACTTAAGTCTCTGCTAACTTCAGGATATGTTGGTTGTTCTTTTACAGGAACAATTGTTATACCATCTTCGTCCTCGTATGGTTTCCCCACTTCAACATCTCTGTCTTTGACATTGACAATAACACTTTGACTGTTTGTTTGAGTTGGTGAATTTAACTTCACATCTGCCACCGCCATTAAACCTTTTGAAACACTTACGCTTCTATTTTTCGGAAATGACATTTTACTTAGAATAAAAAGATGGACGTATTTGAGTATCTCTTCGAATTGAAGCAAAACAAAGTTTACACACACAAACAATACAAATACATTGACAGAATAGTTCTTTATACAAACAATGGAAAATGTTATAGAATAGCAGTCTTTGCTGAACCAAAATATTTTCATAAAGCAAAGAAAGTTGGTATAACTGAAATGGTGAAAGTTCTTGAAGCAGACAAAAATATAACTTCAAAACTTACAGATATTTCTAAAGGTAAGTTTATAATACAATATTATGTCAAAACTGGCGTACTGTCAATATTTGACGGAGAGAAGTCAGTTCAAGAACAACTTACTGACCTGCTGCCAAAATCTGCTCGATGGAAGCTGTCGTTATGCCAATCTGAGGAGCCCCAGCAGGTTTCATCGAACGAATCTTCAAAAGAGCATCTTCCGTGAAAAGTGCTATTGGTTTTGTAAACTTCTTTGCTTTCAATTCATCTGGACCGTCTCTGTCACCAGTATATTGTATTTGAACTGTACCAACAGTTGAAATACCACCCATAAAGTCTTCTGAGTCAGCAAATGGAATGCCAAGCCAAAAGTTTGAACGGTCTCCATTTGTATATTGAGTTTTTTGACTTCCTGTATGAGTCCATACTTTCACATATGGCATAATAGAACTTTGCATTTCAGGGTTAATGGTTGTTGTGAAGTTGTTGTTAAAGTTCATAGCATCTAATGTCAAGTTGTATGACCTCATATCTTCAACTGTAGAATATTCTTCTTTGGATAATATTTGCCATCTATGTTTATATGATATTTAATACCGGGTTGTAGAAACAAGAATAGTCATTTATAGTTCGTCTGAACAGTACAAACATAGTATCTGCATGTTTCATTGCAGTTGTTAAGGCAATATCTGTTCTTGCACCTGGGTCAGCACTTTGGTTTCCAACTTCACCTGCAAAGTCTTTGACAGATATTTGGTGTATAGGGAACATAAGTGGAACTGCAATATATTTGGCAGCTAAAGCATTTGAAATATCTGGGTCCAACATATAGACTGCAAGTCTGCTTTCTATTCTCTTGCATTCAAATTTTTCGCATGTGAACTTAACTGGGTCCCAAGCAGTTCCAGCAGCATTGAAATAATAGTTTACTTCAGTGTTGAAGTTTGAGAAACCAAAGTCTAAGTCAACTTTGTCTTTGCAAAAGTCACAGAACTTGGCTCCACCAGTTCCAGCTACAGTAATAGTGAATGGGTCTTGTGTTGGTGCAATGACTAAGTTATTTTTGCTTGGAGTAAGTTCGATAGAAATTTTTCCTGCCCAGTTTGGCAAGTATCTTAAAAACCTGAAGATGAGGAAAGATGACAAAGGAACTCTAAGTTTCAGTTTTACTTTAGTGGCAGCAGTTCCATCTGAACCAGAAAGGTTAACATAAACTCCTGGAACGTTAGGGTCAAGTCTTCTTATTTTCTCAATAGTTGCATATTGGTCTGTTTGTTCTCTAGCTTGTGGTTGTACTGAGTTTCTCAAAGCGAACCATTCATAGTTTGCCCATGTTACTGTTTGAACTAAGTCAGAGTTAGAATATATCTTATATCCCATGAAAACTTCTGGAGCATATTGGTATCCGACATAGAAAATTCCATTGCAACCTTTCTTGTCAGACAACTTGGCAGAAGGTTTTATTTCAATGTCTTGTTCCACGTATAAGAATGAGTTGTCAATAGAAATAATATGAAACCTGTCGCAAGCAATATCTACTGTTGTTGAAGAACCTTCACCAAACTCACCTACATTTCCATAAGAAACAGCAGTTGTATATTCGTAAGTTCCAGGAACTATTTCTGACCTTCTAATGGCATTGTCGCATTCGTTATACCATTCGGAAACATTTCCGTTCATGGCATCCAAAACTGTTGGCGTTATATTCTGAGCGGCGTACATTTCATATGGGTAAAAATATAGAATAGTTGGATTTATGTGTCATAATAGAACCCACGTGGACCAAGCTTTACTTTCTTCCTGGCTGAGTTTTTAACTCTTCTTTTTCCTTCATTGCCACTACTTTCACTAGATGAAGTTACTTCTTCACTACTTTCACTTTGTTCTACTCTTCTCTTCTTCTTTGGTAACTTGCCCTCTGCTTTAAGTTGTTGCATCTTTGCCTCATGTTCACCTAGTATGTTGTAAATTTCCCATGTCCTTTTTGCCTTTGGGCTCTGGTCGCCCATCTCAGGTAACCTATATCCTAGAAAGATTTTGTCATAGTTTGTATTTGAGTCTTCGCGTATTGTTTGCATGACTCTTTCCTGAGTTTCCGGTTCAAGCTCTTCAAACAGAGCTTGTCCATATGGAATAAGCTCGTTTCCAAATATATGTTTTTGTAGCCATTCTGGTTTTCTTTCCATGTTACCAACAATATCTTTTGTGAATGGGAAAGCTTTTACCCAATGTTTCAGTCTTGCGTCATTTATTTCTGTAGTTGGTTTTATTTTGTCAAGGAACATGTTTTTCAATACTAACATTTCATTTGGTACTGTCCATTTGAGTTTTCTTAAATATTCATCCCTTCTCGGTTCATTGTCTGCAAAGTAAGTTTTTATGACATTTTGTAAACTTTCGTTTGCAAGGTCATGTACAATAGGTTCTCTTCCTTCTGTCTCCCTAACTTTCTTTCTAAACTCTTCACCAAATATACCATCTTTATGGTTCTGTGTAGTTCTTTGAGATAAATGTTCTAGAACGTCAGGTGTTATATTTCCATCAGCCATGTTCATTTCATACTGGTCCAAAATATCTGCATGTTTCATATCTTTCAATGGCATTAAAGCCGCGCTGAAAATACCAGCTATATCTGGTTCACCATTCACTTCCATTGCGTCTACAACTTCTTGGAATTGTGGTTGTAAGTTTATGAACCACCTATCCGGGTTAGCTTTATGACCCCATCTCATTGTAGTTCCATAGTCTGCAGAAACAAAAGTAGGTTTGTTTCCATATTGGTTAGGTTCTGAATGAACTTTAAACAATGTTTCATTTCTATATGTTTTGTTGAAATTTAACCTTTTATTTTCACCGAGTTCAGCCAAAGATTGAACGTTATATGGTCGTAAGTAAAAAGGGTTATTGTATTTGCGTACATTTTCTTTCAGTACTTCCATTCTATGCTGAATATTTTCATCTGGTGTTGGAGTCTTTTGTATGTCGGCAAACATTTTTCGATATTCTTCTACCATGTCAGCCGAATTTTTCTTAGACTCTTGGAAAGATTCCATATTCACCTCATACTCTTGTTGAGGGTCAAGATTTTTCGGCTGTTCCAAATCTTCATCTAGTTCTGTGAAGTTAGTTTCCAAAGGAGGGACTTGTTCGTTTCCTTCAGGCTCTTCTAGCTGTTGTTGCTGAACTATTTCTTCCATGTCTGGTTGTATCTGAACTTCTTCCTGTGGAGTTTCTTGTACCTCATCTGCTGGCATTTCATATATTCCGAGACCGTTTTTAACAAGTTCCCTATCTAAGTCATCCGGACTCATAAACCTTTCTTCTTTCGTTCTGTCTCTATTTTTTACGCGTTTCATGAAGAGAGTTGAATTATCATTTAGCTCTGACACCAAATATCTCGGAGTAAATTCAGTCATGTCATTTGGATGATATGCTATTAAATCATATCCCTTAGCGAGCTTGTATTTTCCAGGTTTGAAATTATATCCCATTTGGTGCTGAGCCATAAAGCTAAATAGGTTCGGGTCAGTATTTCCTTCCTTGAACTTTCTAATAGCTTCTTTATATCTGTCACTAAAGTCAAGAGTATCTGGGTAACCATAATCTTCCTTTAGCATTTTTAAGAATTCTTGGTTTCCTTGTTCTCTACTTCTTTTATGTCCTTGCTCTGTTTGTGGTTGTTGTTGTGCAGGGTTTTGAACTGTTGGTTGCTGTGCTGGTTGTGGAGGTGGTTGTTGTGCTGGTTGTTGTTGTTGTGCTGGATTTTGAACTGTTGGTTGTTGTGTTGGTTGTTGTGCTGGATTTTGAACTGTTGGTTGTTGTGTTGGTTTTGGTGCATGCCTGTGTCTGTGTCCATGTGACGATGTAAATGTTTTAGGTAGTCCTGGTGCAGGTGCTTCTCTTGGAGGGTTTGGTGGTATATAAGTTCCACTAGCTAGTATATAAGTTCCACCAGCTGGTATATAAGTTCCACCAGCTGGCACATATGTTCCATCTGCAGCATAATGTCCTACCTGACTTTTCGTTTTTAAGAAAGCATTTACTAGGTCTGTTTTGGTCTGTTGTAACTCTTTTTCTTGACTTTCCACAACAGTTGCTCTAACGGCGTCATAGGCACTTTGAACTGCCTGTCTCGTTGCTGCATCTGTTATTTTCGTCATATTTTGTGCTACTTCTCTTAACTCTTTGTCGAAACCTTCAGACTTCAGTTTCTTTCCAGATGAGAAGTCGTTCACTTGTTTCACCTTACTATGAAGAGCTTCGAAGGCGTTCTTAAAGTCAGCATTCATTAAAGCTTCATTTGAACTGTCTTCTTCCGCTTGTATTTTTGTCCTTATTGACCCTATAAGTTGGGCTGCTTTAGCGTTGGCTTGGGCATCTAACCAGTCATTATTAGCTTTTATATATTCTGCGCTTTTCATTGCCTTTTGCATGGCTGCGTCGTTATTTTTACTTTCTTGTGCTAAGTTTTCATACTGTACGGTTTGGTTTTGCAACTGTAAAAGTTTTTCTGCCTTTACATTTGCTTCAACTTCTTTTTTATACTCATCGCTATCCATATATGTCTTCAGGGCTTTTTGTTTTATTTCTTCATCTTTCAGTACTTTATATTGAGTAGTATGGTTTTTCAAATTTATAACATCTTGTTCCATTTTTGCTACTTCTGCTGCTTTTTCTGACACTTTTTTCGCATATTCCTCTGTACTTAGTTCTTTCAGTTGTTCTTCTTTCTTCTTTTTCTCTACGTTTAACTCATTGAGTTTCTTTGTGTGTCTGTCATATTCTAGTTTCTTTTCGTTTTCACTTATTTGTTTCTGTATGTCTATGTTTGACTTTTTGACATCTGATATTTGATTTTTGAGTGAACTCAAATTCATTTGACTTTGAGGGTTATATGCTGTTCCGTCTGCAGCTCCACCATAGCCTGCCATTTTCGCTAAAAGTGCCGCTCTTAAACCTCCACTCTGTGCACCAATAACTCGGTTTAAAAGCATAGGATTGCTTGACATTTGTTGCAACATAGTGGGGTCATTCATTATTTGTTGTTGCAACTGTTGTTGTGGTGTCAGTTTTACTATTGGATGTTTCAATGCTCCCTTCCTCTTACGTATATTCTTACGTAGCTTACGTGGCATTTTAAGTGAAGTAAAAAACGGTTTTTGACAGATGTTTATATGACACTTTTTGTTCAGCACAAAAAACTACTCGGTCAAAGTGTTGTCAGTTTTGTAAAATAACCGTCCGATCTCATTCTATAAGGGGGAAAAGGCTTCTCAAAGTATACTTCCTTGTAACGCCTGTAACTTTTCCTGTAGCGACGATAGACCCTTACTTGTCCGGACAAAGTTATACTAAACATCTTCAGGGCTAGAGGGCACGAAGTGCCTGGAGGCCCCACTACCTTTTTTTTTTAAATGTATCTCACATCAAAATCCATTGACCTAAGGATGTTAAGTTTCTGTTTTTAAAAGTTGATATTTTTTTTAATTTTAAGAAAATTAATAGCATGTTATTAGACAATAGGAGTGTAATGATATTGACTAAACAGAAATGAGAGAATAGAGATATAATTTTGATAAGCAATATTGCGAACAAATTCTGAAGTAAAATCGCGATCAATAATTGAAAATTACGATCATGTACTGAAAAATGACGATCGAATTGAATGAATAGAATTATATCTAAGAAAAAATAAATTGTATTTAGAAGATGAACAAAGAAAGGTGTATGCTAAAAATCATTTAACAATAAATGGAAATAAAACGAAATTGTTAAAAGAAAAAAATGAAAATTGTTAAATAATATATTATTTTTTAGTCATAAGAATAAAAATATAGTAGTTATAAAAGGAATTAGACTTCATATATCAATTCTTTTTCTCTGTAGATGTGGAACGTTTGCTTTTCGATCTCTTTCGATGAACTTGAAAATATAAGTTATTATCGCTGAGAATCCTTTCCGAAATAGGAGCTTTACGTTTAGGAGGATTGTCGGATGAATTTTGTTTTTTATTGTTTGATTTTGTTGTTATGGAAGATTTTTTCTTATTTTTTTCAGAATTTTGCTTGCTATTAACTGAAACTTGTTTTGACGGCCCAACAATAGCATTTGTAGTAGGAAGAATTCCCAATAACGAGCGCATTTTCGATAATTGTTTTTCAATATGATCAAGAAGGTCCAGCTTATGTTCTAGATTACTAGACATTTGATTTGTAGAAGGATGGTTTTGATTTTCTGGTTCTAAATCTGTAGAGTCTGCAATATTTGAATTTTCGGAGCGAATTGGAGCATCTGAACCTTGATTTGTATCGGCTTGCTCAAAATTAGTTTGAATTGGAGTGGATGAATTAAAATCTGGATGATTTAATGTTTCATTAAATAATGCCATAATTTTTTCTCTTTTTTCATTAATAAACTTAGTGATCATTGTATCTTTATCTGTTAGATCGATCGATTTGAGTATATCTGCATCATGAACTGGAATATTTTCGAACAATGAACTCGATTCTATGGAACCATATGGAGAAATCTCGTTCTGAGCCAAAGAAAGATCACTTACGTTGTATTGTTTGATAGAAAAAATTGTTTTCTCAAGTTCTTTTTGAAAGCAGTCAAGAATATAATTTTTGTAGCTATCAGTGATAACGGTTTTTATATGGCGCTCGATCTTCTGGTTATTTTTGATGGCGTTATATTTATCTAATTGGATTTGAGATATCTTCTTAATAGCTTCATAAATGTTTGGATGTTTTAACGAAGAAAATTCTGAATGCATACTCTCGAGGCAATCATTAGTGAATATTGCAGTTGCATTATTATATTGAGATATTAAATTGTAGTGCGGCAACCAAACTTTGTTGAAATAATCAATATAATCTTTGATCGAATCAACTTTATTTTGATTAATTATATGCATTGTAAGTACAAATTCTTCATGAGACATGAATGGAGTAATAGAATATAGCTTAAATAAAGAATTTTGTAAAGTATTGAAATTTTTTGTATAAAGTGCTACAAGTTTCCTGTGTAAAGCTTGTTTGAAATGAAATAGGCATCCAATTATACGGACTTTAGGGAAAATTTGTTGAAGTGCCTCTATCATTCCCTTTTCAAAATCACAATGAATTTGAATTAGCTTTGAAAATTGAATACCCTTGACAGTAAAAATATATTCAAATGCCTTCTTATAAGATTCAAATGTGCGGTTTTTCATGAATATAAATAAAAGTGGTAGATATTGATTTGTTGAAGGTTCACAAATCATAATTGTTAGCATCTGTCCTTTTTGAAAATGTTTTGGTGTAATTTTAAAAGTTCCATCGCAAAATAAATCTGTGGCTTCTTTTGCAAATTGAATTGCCTTCTCAAAACCAAAAAACATCGTCTCACAATTTGCTTGAAAATCATGGCCAATGAAAAACTGCTCGCCATTTATTAAACAAAAATTAGCAATTTCATCGTCTGTAATTTTTTCTCCAACAGAAAATTTTCTGGACTTATTATAAACTTCCCTGACCAATGAATCTTTAATTAATGGGTTTTCATCAGTACCAACAGCAAGTTCTGTCATAAATTTTTTAATCTGCTGAAAAGTGCCGTTGTCTTCAGAAAATTTTGCCATTGCCTTATTGTATATTTCTGTCAGAGTCATTGATTTATGAAGATCATTTTTTTCATTTTGTAACTTTTTAAATTGTCTGCATTCGGGTATATGTTCCTTTTGTAAATCTTCGGAAACTGAACTGTTCTCAATTTTAACTAAATAACGTGCTTGACAAGAATGATCGATGCAACGGTAGTAACGTTCAATATTATTTGAATTAATAATATTTGTATGATCATGCGAATAAAGCATATCTTTGCGAACAATTGTATCAGGATATTTTCCAGTAACTGCGGGAATATTTTTAACTGCAATATAACTAAAATATCTTCTGACAGCTTTAGATTCATTTTCGGCGTATTTAATATTAAAATATTGAAGAACTTGTTTGATTATATTCGTTTTTTCATCTCTCGATGTTGATTTTTGGTATTTATCAGATTGTTCCCTGATAAATATTTTATTTTCGTCTGTAAAGTTTGCTCTTTTTTGATTAAATATAGATGATTTTCCCATTAAAAAATGAAATGATGCAAAATTTACGAAAACCGTTCGAAAATTGAATTAAAAATGAAAAGTAATACTTAAATGAGGAATTCTTTGAGATATTGGTCTTAGATTGAATGTAGCGTCATTCTTATATAGAATATATATTCATATCATCGGAAATATGATAAAAAGCATATAATAAATGTCAAAAAAGTGAACAAATAAGCAAAGATATTTTTTAAAAAACAATGAAAAGTAATACTTAAATGAGGAATTCTTTGAGATATTGGTCTTAGATTGAATGTAGCGTCACAAATTTCACAAATATAATTTACTATACAATTTTATTCACTTTTTTAAAATGGCTGACGACAGTCTGTATCAACTAACTCAACTAGTCAAGCATAATGATTATTCTTCGGATTCATTAAATCAACTTTATCAATGCATAAGTACAATGACAGAAAGATCAATTGGATGCTTGAATTGGGATAAATTTTTCAAAAAAATCACAGTGACTGATGAAGTTCTTTTACATTTTTAGCATCCGTTTTAAACATTGAAAAGATATCAGAATGTTTCAAGGATTCTATTTTTTATCACAATAGTTAGTATACCTAAGTGGTGTACAGCGGCACTGCGCGCCTCCGTACACCACTTAACCTTAAATATTTACAAAACCATTAACGTATATTTTACAACACAAACGACAACACTAACTTAACATTAAATATTTACAAAGCCGCCAACCACTTCACTTCACTAACGTTTTCACAAACGACTTCATTAATGTAAAAATAAACGTTCTCACTTACAAAAGTATTGCAACTCCTCCCATTGCTGTGCTTCACATAACAGCTCATAATCTTCTGACTCACTTTCTTCTTCATATAGGTCAAAATCACTGTCAAAATGAATGTTAGTAAGTTTTGACAAAGCTAATGAAACACGTTTACCGTTTGTATCGTATGCTTGTATAAACTTTCCATTCTTCATTCCTTCATAAACGCTCAAACTAACTTTACCCTTTCTCCCTCGTATCTGATAGAATGTATTTTCACGAGGAACGAAGAACAAATTCTTGAACTCATGACCGTTGTAGTTTGTTATCTCAATAGTTTTCGTCATTTATATAAAAATAAAATAAAAAATAAACTTAAAAATTAATGATATCACCACCCTCACACGTATGAAAACATAGCCCAAAAATATATTTAGGGTAGAAGGGTAGATCTAACCTCATTTCTACCCTCATTTCTAACCTTGTTGAATTCATTGCTTTATTCCTCACTGTCGTCTGCTTTCTCCAACTCTTCTAACTTCTTCCTAAGTTCAGCAATGTTGTCCTCATGAAGTTTAATCTTTCTCAAAATTCCTTCTTTATCTAATGGTTGCTTTATCTTTCTAAACTGAACTCTACCATCCTTCATAGTATGAATGTAAAAACCTTCTGGAATAGTTCCTGATTTAATGTATTCTACCAAAAACTTTTGTTTCATTGCTTCAGTGACTTTATTTGTCATTTCAATCAAATAAAAATTTTAATATTAAATAAAAATAACGTTATTTTTTCAGTAAGGAAACGCAGGAGTTTTACGATTTATTTGAGGAGTAGGTTCTGGTTTAAATGTTGGAGTCGGTTTAGGAGTTGACTTTTGAACAGGAGTTTGTACTTCCATAGGTTCAGGAGTCATTGAAGGTTTTGCTTGTGAAGGCGTTGGTTTTGGCAAAGGTGTTGGAGTTTGTTTAACTTCAGCTACTTCAGTATTATTTACAACATTTGCTTTATTTCTTTTCAACATCATAACTGCTCCTGCTGTAGCTAGCAAACCTAGTGGGAGACCATATCTTATATAAGGACTTGACCAAATGCTATTTTTGACAGGAGCTGGTGGAACACCTAACCTTGGTGAGACTGCTCTTTGCCATTGTGCAGCTCGTAAGAAATATTCAATAGGTGCTCCATAATCGTTTGGTAAAGTTTGTTTCATAGATGGTGAAGGTTCACGAGAGCTTGATGAAGAACTCATTTATAAGCTTTAAAAATAAACGTTCATCCTTTATTCCTCACTGTCGTCCGTAGCTAAGTTATAGTCATCTAATCTTATTATTGGGATTCCATTAGCACGCACCTGAATGGCAAAGCAACAATCCCTCATAAATCCAATAAGTGGCTTTGGTACATTTTCAGTTGCTAGTTCAATAGGTCCTTTAACAGACAATTTGTATGTTATTGGAGCAGTAGATGTTTGACCTTGCTGGAAGCAAAAGTCCACTTCTGTTGGAAAACCACATAAGAAATGTGTGTTGTCATAGCTATCCCATTTATGTTCCACACTACCATCATCCACCAATGACCTCATAACATCTTCATTAAATCCTATCATATCATTGTTTGTATTGCAGGCGTTCGCAACCATTTCATAAAATACAGGTCCATATGATTTTTCAGGTTCTGCAGGTATATTTCCATAAGCTCCCATGGAAAGCTGAAGATATTTAAACTTAGGGTTTCAAAATTAACATAATAGTTGTCTTTCTTTCTAAATAGTGCCCAAATACTTTTAACATTAATAGGCGTATAAGCTGCTGTAAATGTTGCACTTGAACTATCTGTATTCTTTGAGAATGAACCGTCCATAGGAATCCAATCCATAACTTTAACAGGAAAACATAAAGCCTCGTTTGTATAATGTTCTACAAGTTCTGTATAAATGTTAGGGTCTAAAGAGAATGACTTTGGATGAATGAAACATTCATTAAAATCCATCTTTGTTCGAAATAGTTGCTGGGTTACAGTTGTAATAGTAACTGTTCCACTAGCTTCTACTGCCTTCGTTATCATAGTGAATGGTTCATTCCATGGAACAAATTTATTTGTCGGTGGATTTGAATCTGAAGCAAATGCAACTTTAAGAGTTGGATTGAAAGCAATGATATCATTTACAGATATGATGTGCATTGTAGGCGTCGCTACTGAACTTTACTTTAAGCTGAATGTTTCCTGCAAAAGCTGGAATAAATCGAATAGCTTCTAATGGAAGGAATCTTCTAACAGGAATTCTTAAACGAAGCTTAAAATCAAATGATTTTCCTGCTGTAATTGGACCACTAACAATTTGTCCTGTTCTGCATGTTCCCGAATGACTCCATACATCTTCATGTCGAGTCTTTGAGAAAACATCTACTTTCTTTATTTGTTCGGTAGTTTGTGAGTTTTGAAGTTATATATGCTTCTTCTCTTGCGTTGTCTTGAGAATATACGATACGACCATTTGCAAGGATTTGATATCCAGCAACTGCATAGAAAGCGTCATCGAAACCAATCCAAAATCCTGGTGGGTTTGTTTTATCGGAACCTGAACCAATTTCTTTATCTACAATAAATTGACCTTCCATTTTATACGTAATGAATGTATTGTAAAGGTCCAACATATTTTCACCAGGAGGTGAGAGATTGAATGTTACCCATGTGTTATCTTTAGCAGTTCCAGGTTGTGATGGAATCTTTGCGTCAGAATATTTTCTATTAGTGTCACCAATTTGAACTGCATTGTCTATGATATCGAAATATGAGCGAATCTGATGAATATGCTCTGCTGGAGTAAATTCGTTTAACTGTTCGTTCTGCATGTATTTACTTCGGATAAAAATATCTATTTACTTCATTATTCTCACTCTTCTTCTTGGCATTCGTGGTGGAAGTTGTTTCTTGACATTTTCAATGAACTGTACATTCTCTTTTGTCTCAACTTCTTTCACTGGCGGGTCAGGGTTCTTTGACTCGGTTTGTTTTTCAATGAAATTCACGAACTTTGCAATAAGCTCTTGGTTCGTTATTGAAAGAACATCTGGCTTCTTTTCTTCTTGTTCTATTGACTTTTCAGTTTGAATAGAAGGTTTTATATGGGCTTCACCCTCGGTGCTATGCACCTTAATGTTGTCACTCTCTGCATTCGCTAATGGAACCTTTCTTTTTCTTACGTATATTTTACCATCTTTACTCTGACTTACATAATAGAAAGGATGTTGTATTCCTCTTGCGTCATTTAATATAATAGACTCTCGCTCTGATTTTGACAAGCTCATTTTACATCGGTTAAAGTTTTAATTTTATTTTTTATCTGCAGTCAAATGACTCAGACAAGTCATATGGACAAGACCCAAGGGGTCATAGATGTTGAAGCATTGAAGAAAGAAATTCGCGAGCAAATTTTATCCGAACTGAAGGAACAAAAACAAGAACAAAAGCCAGAGAGACCAAAGAGAAAACTTAGTGAAAAACAACTAGCTGCATTAGCTGCTGGAAGACAGAAGAACCCACGTTTGCTGGCGAAAAAAGCTAGAGAAGAAGCAAAAGCTAAAGAAGCTGAAGCAAAAGCTAAAGAAGCTGAAGCAAAGAAAGAGTAAATGGTTTATTTTTATCCGAATTAAATGTATAGACAAATACCTTTAACTGTTGCGTTCAGTAGTGAAAACCCTGACGTCAAAATAAAGGGGAACAGAGTAACGTTTAAGTTTCCAACAGACTGGATTGTGAACATAAATGAAGAGAAGTACATTGGCATAACATCTATGTATATAACACGTGCTTTCAGAAAGGTTGACTTTATACTTCAAGTCGAGATAGAAAATGACGAACAGTCTTTAAGCGCCCAAAACATTCACATATACAAATACTTTAAAGACGATACAACATTGTTGCAATGTATGATTTCATTTAATGAAATGTTCGAGAAAAAGTTCAACATTGAAGTACAAACTTTACAGCCTTTACGTGAGTTTCTTGCACAACTGAAGGAAGAAGGTAGTCGGCCACAACTTATAGACTTTCATTATGAATTTAATGAAAATGAAGATGGAACTCATGACTGTCAGTTTGTTATATATTCACCATTCAATGAAGTAGCTAAAGAGAAAGAAAATCCATTACGTATAAGGTTTCAAATCTCTGAACCTAATGAAGACTTCAAGAATGTTTTCAATTATGATGCAATGCTTCCGAGGAAAAATGAATTTTCAAAGATTGTAACACCTGGCATTTGGGATAGAAAGCAAGCTATATTATATTCAAACTTAAGTAAGGGAGTTGAAATGAGTTCATTGGTCATACAAGAACTTCACCACTTCCTAACCCTAAATACTATAAATTAACTGGCTTCAATCGTGAGTTTTGGATAGACATGTTCTCCACTCATGACCATAACTGCCCAGTGTTCTTACCTCCAGACCATAAGGACTGTCTCTACATTGAAGCACAACTCTTAAACTCTACAATTGCTGTATTGTAAAATCTACGCTAGTTTTATTTTTATCACGAATGACCTCATTTCTGACAAAATTAAATGACCTCATTCATGACCTCATTGCTGACAAAAATAAATGACCTCAGAACTTCAACTTACGAATAAAGCTTGTTTTAGTCGTTATTGAGAAGTTAAACTTTTCAGCAAAGCAAGGACTAGAAGACTTACATAAGTCAAATCCAATCTCTTGACCATCATGAAGTGCTTTGTAAAGTTTCATTAAACTGAACTCAGAGTCTTTGTCATATGTTCCAACAGGTATGTGAATGTTCTTATCTTCATTGTAATAGCATTGTATAGCTTCAGGAAACATTTCATTAGCTGTTAAAGCAAGAACGTCTTGTTTTACACCTTTACAACGTGCATGAAATGCAACTTCATTTAAATCATTCGTGAGTAAGTCTATGTAAGTCTTCTTTCCACAAAATATTGACTTGTATGCTAAACTTTGTTTTCCAGGTGTTATTTCTGCGAAGTCAGAATGGAACTGACCTAATGTTTTACCAATAAGTTCTCTACCGTATCTCTTCTGAAATTCCTGAGCTAACAGTGGGATGTCTTCATTGAAAATATGCATGCTATCGCAGTCCTGGTAAAATATTTGAAGACCCATATCTTCAGCAGTACAGAATACTTCACACATTATTCTCTTCGACATAGACAGAATGTTAACACCAAGTGGACAGAAGTTAAAGTGTCTGCAAATGCTTTTCGTTAGCTTGAAAATAGTTTTATCTGAACCATCCAAACCTTCGAACTTCACTATATGGTTGTAGTTTCTGATGGCATATCTTATAGCATCTTTGTCATTTACTATGGTTATTTTGACTCAATAGGAGATAGAATAGTTTTGCCATAAATACTGTTCAGAATGAGCTTTATATTTTCTTGCAAAGGATTTCCTTCTTTCTTATACTTTAACCTTAACTCAAACAACTTCTTTACTTCATCTCTTATTCTAATATCTCTGTTTCCATCGTAATAGTATCCTTGCAACACTTCACATTTGACACCTTGATATTTTATGAGGTCTTGTAATGTTATATGGTCAACATACATTAAACAGCAAGTGTTGAACTTCTGGGAACGTTAAGTTCTGGATTTAGTTCAGGGTCACAAACTATTAAAGGAAAGTGTCTATGTATTCCAATCTCTGTTATCTTAATGAGAACAAAGAAGCCGGACATAAACTTTTCACCAATGGGTTCCTTTTGGTCGTCATCGAATAAATGTCTCATGAGATACTCTGTGCTTAGCATCTCATCCTTCATAACCTTTGGAATTCCTTCTAAAGTATAAAGTCTTGCTATAGCTGATGGATATAATGAAACAGCGTCGAAGTCAGCAATGAGTTTCTTTTCGCTCTTTTGTTTCATGTTATCTGACAGCATACATCTTCCACCTTGAATGCATCTCGAAATAAATTCTCTTGGTTTATTTGAGAGGTCATATAAATTTCCATTCGGGAAGTACACTCTGTTCTCAAACAATTTGTTAGCAATAGAACAAATACTAACGTAGTCATATACGTTTAAATCAAACTCTTTCAATATGTCATTGCGGAACTTAACAAAACCTTCTCTTAAAATTCTTACATCTTGTTTGCAATAGAATGTGCTATATTTTTCTAAGTCGAAGTGGTTTTCATCTATTCTGCAACCTTTGATGGAATCTATGTTTTTCATGAATGTATCTGCATCCCGGATAAACTTACATGCTTCAGAAATGACACCAGTTCTGTTGTCATTTGCTAACAAAACACTGCTGTAGTAGTTGTATGGAAATACTTCTTTCGGTCCTGTTTGTAAGTTAAACATAGCAGGAAATAGTTTAAGTTTCTTATTTATAACACTGTAAGAGTCTTTTATAATAATTGCCCTTCCTTTATATAAGCCAGTTATTTGCATTGTTCGTGAACCTTTAATGATGGGAGTTCCTTTCACTTCTGTCATGTGTCTTAAGATGAAGTTTATATCATAGCTGAGGTTATGGAAATATATTAAACTCTTGTCAGGAAGTCGCTCCAAAAATTCTGTTGCACAGTTCTGACCCCATATGCTTTCACTCACTGAACCATCTTCACTGTCATAACAGATGTTAAAAGCTTTATGAAAGCCGTCTGTGCTACACTCAAAGTCAGCAAAGAAAACGTGCTCAGGAATGAACTTGCACTTATTTTTATTTACTTCTTTTGACTCTGCTTTCTTCTTCAGTTGTACACAATACTTTGGAGCATACGTCAAATCTTTAAATGGTGCAAGGTTCTGTTTATATAAATCAGTCGTATATGTGAAAAGTTCTCCATAAGAAATAGGTTCGAAATATTTGCACTCCCACAATGTTTTCATAACATCCCATAACGGTGTTGTTCTATCATAACGAACTACATATTTATCTTCTCTCTTTGTATAAATCTTCATTTGTTTTTCAATGTTCATTCCACCACACTCCTTCAAGATTTCTATATAGTTGCGAATGAAATATGTTGTCATTGGTAATCTTTCGTTTAGCATGTAGTGGTCTTCAACAAGAAGTAAGTCAATAGTTCTAACAGTTTCACATTCTTTTGGTATGTATCTCTTTATTTCATTATGTCTTGAGTCATTGAAATAACCAATGGTAACATTAAATGCTATACCTGTTGTGTCAGAAATTTCTTGTACTTTACTTTGAGGAAAGTCTCTAACACGAATGACTTCTCTCATGTGGTCAATAGTTTCTTCATTTACTCCAGCCTGAATGCAAGCATAAACGAAACAATTGTCTTCTGTCATAAGTGTTGCAGTTCTTTTGTTCAGTTCATTGAAGATTTGGTAGCGTTCAAGATTTATAGGTAATGTGCAAAGATACTTCCAGAACTGACCGCTTCTCTTCTTATAAAACTTCTTTTCACCATTATCTTTCCAAAAGCTTTCTATAAGTGCTGGGTTTCCTGTTTGCTTAAGAGCTTCCAAAATGGCTTTCTGGTCATTTGTCAGTGTGCTTTCATCTCTATATGGTCTCTTTTTTGGTTTGCCTTTCTTTACATCTGACATCGTTAAGCCTTCATATTCTGTTAAATCATACATCTTTATTTCGGTAAGATTCTTTATGTTTGTCAAGAAGAAGTCATAGTGCATTTCAACAATACCTGCAGCATTTGCTTCTATCTCTGATATAAAGTTCTCCTTCAAGAGCTGATGTAGTAATGTTCCAATATTATTGAGGTTTAACGTAGAACATTCATACTTTCCACCAAGTTTATAACATACCATCCATCTCTGTTGTGAGTTTATTTTAATTTTCTCTAAGAGTCTCATGAAAACCTTACCGAAATGTTTGTGTAAGTAGTCTCTGTTTGGTTCATCTAAAGCTTCGATGTTAAAGTCAATGAGTCTATTGCCTGACTTCACATTTCTCTTCCTATTCTCTTCATCTTTCTTTAACCATCTCTCACCTTCTTTTGGTTTGTCGTCAATGGAACGAATGACATTGTTAGCTTTGCGAACTTGTTCTATAGCGCTCTTAAACATCTCTCTTCTCTGTTGTTTCAGTGTGTCGTCTCTTCTTCTTGTTTCATCAACGTTTGCATTTGTTATGTCAAACATTTCTCTTCTTACTTCATGAGGTACTGAACGTCTATGATATAAGTCAATAGCAACGTCATTTAAAGGAAATGCTATTGCATGGACTTCGTCCTCGCCGCGTTGCGGCTTTATGAACTCATGAATTCTATCATAACTTATTGCACCATTATAGTCATTGAGGATGTCAGCGAGTGCCTTTTTGTTTGTTGCGTAATGCTTTGCAACATCTATATTAGCTTCTGTAAGAAGTTGTTTTATTTCCGAGTGTTCTAACTTAGACAACTTCCGATACATCTTTAGTAGGAAATAAAAAAATATTTTTTGAAAAAATTAGATTAGATTTTTTTAAGTTATTTTTCAAAATAATTTAATATTTTTATTTTAATGAAACACATGCAAGATTGCAAGTTCTTTTCATACAATGCTCTCGCTAATGCCATCAAGAATGAGTTCAATAATGCTTCAAATGTTAATGTTATCTTTAACAAGAAGTTTGTGAAAGAATCTAAGTTTGGTCAGTATGTCAGACCATTAGCTATCGTCATTGACCGCAAACGTTATACTTCACAAGAGTTAGCAGTAGTTTTGAAACAAAAGGGTTTCTTCGTGAATGTCAAAGATACTCATTATACTGTCATAAAGAACTCTAACATTGACTTCTTCAGTATTGCTATGAATCTTTCCGAACAGAAAGAATATAAGAAGGGTGAAACAAATGTGAAATATTATGCTTCATCTCTGAAGACAATAACGAACAAAGATGTTATACAGAAATTCTTACCAAAGGTTGAAGAAGCTTCTATTGACATTGACGAAGGAAGTGAAATGGTTGAAGAAATAGACCCTGAAGCTATTTAAGCAAAAATATATTTTTGAATAACTGAAAGTGTCACCACGTCACCATGTGCTACCAGGTTAATTAACTTCTTTTAAAAATGATGACAACATGACATTTTGACAACAGTCCAGGAAATAAATTTTATCGTTAATGTTTACGTTAATGTTTTTCATTGAAATCGGTAAGTTTTCATTAACTTTTTCATTAAATTTTGTCAAAGTGCAAATCTTCACTTCGTCAAAAAGTTAATGTTTTTCATTAAATTTTGTCAAAGTGCAAATCTTCACTTCGTCAAAAAGTTAATGTTTTTCATTAAATTTTGTCAAAGTGCAAATCTTCACTTCGTCAAAAAGTTAATGTTTTTCATTAAATTTTGTCAAAGTGCAAATCTTCACTTCGTCAAAAAGTTAATGTTTTTCATTGAAATCGGTAAGTTTTCATTCTTCCTCTTTGAAGTTGTCGAAATATTCTGTTATTTTTTCCTTCAGTAATGGTAAGTCTTCTTTGAATGTAAGTATTGTGCAACCTTTGATGTCATAGTGTGTTTGAGGAAGAGTATTTTTGACAATTTCTTTTATTTGCTCATTCGGTGTCATTGAAATCGGTAAGTTTTCACGATAGAACCAGTTTCTGTCAGATTTGTAAATCTTAGCAAGGTCGTAAAAGCTTTTGTTGTTTCTTCTGACTAAATGCAACATAACCATATCTCTATCTTCTTCTTTCTCCAACTCTTCAGCGTAAATCATATACTTATAACTCTTTTCCTTTCCTTTTGGTACTGAACGTGGTATTCTTTTCTGTATGCTTTTGTCTTTGGATTCAATGACTTCATCTTTTGCTTGAAGTTTCTTTTCCATCTCTCCACGTTCTGCTTTATATAGTTCATCTAACATCATGAAAATATAACAAGCATAACGAGGTGAAGCCCACATTGCTACAGCATTTACTAAAAGTCTATGAACATAATAACCTTTCAAACCAGGTGCCAAATTCTTGCGATTTTCGTACGGAATCTCTTCTCTCGGTTTTCCGAGGGAAGCAATCATATGAGGAAATTCTTCTAAAAGTTCTTTTGTCTGTTGGTTTTCAAACCAATGATATGCTTGCTTTGTAGAACGAAGAGCGTTCATTATACTTTGCATTTGGTACATGTCATCTTTGACCGAACGAATGAGGCGAAGTTGTTAGTTAGTATCCCTAAGTCGTGTACTGTGGCACTGCGCGCCTCCGTACACCACTTAGCGGTTTTGACACTTTACGAAACCGGTAACGTATATTTTACAACACAACCATAAAACCAACTTAACCTTAAATATTTACAAAACCGTCTGACACATAAATGATTTCACTAATGACTTCACTAACGAATTCACTACCGTCCTCACTAAATAAAAAATAACCTTATTTTTATTTTTTTAAATTTTTTATTTCATTGTAAAGACATGTCCGACTATATTTACTATGACTCTTTCCCAGAACGTTTCCGTGAACTATTCAAAACTCAAGTAAAACTGAGAAACATGCATTTTAACAAAGACAGACCCATTGACGATGAAAGAAACCCTGAATATATTACAATCCCTTATGACGCAAAGTTCATTGCATACATTCCTTATGGTCGCAGAGGAACGAAAACTATTTCAACAAAGAACAAAAATTATTTTTGGAGCGATGAAGAAAATTGCCTTATCTACATAAATGCATACTTAAATAAAGCTACATATTGTACAAAAGAAGGTTGGACTGGATTTGAGCTCTACATATACGACGACGATGGAAACAGACGTTGTGTATACCCATACGATAATATGTACCATTGTTTTCATCAAGCATTAAACGAATACATAGTCAGTAAGGGTCTCATTCCTGCTGAGTAGAAATGTTATATTTTTGTTCTGTCATTTATTTAAAAATTAATGATATCACCACCCTCACACGTATGAAAACATAGCGCAAAAATAAATTTAGGTGAAGTGGTGAAATCTCACCTCTTTTTTCACCTCTTTTTTCACCCGTTGAATTCATTACTTTATAACTCTCTTCCTTGGTTTCTTTTTAGTTGCTTTCTTTACGTCTGTCTCCAACTTGACTGTCTTTCTTCTTCGTCCGTAATGATACCAGTTACTTCCACCAGTCAATGGGTCAAATGGTCTTTCGTAAGGGTTTCCATACATTCCATAGGGACCATACGGAAGAACTACTGGTGGAGAAGAAACATTTTCTTTAGTTCCATCGACTCTATTTAAATGCATTGTTTCACCTTTCATCTGGTCATTAAAGTCTTTTGCGTGTTTTGCAAACTCATCGTCCTTTCCTAAAGCATTTTCTGACTCAGTCGCAACCAAATTGGATGCTTTATTTATGAGCCCTATTTTATTTAATCTTAACTTCTTTGCAACCCAGCCTCCAATCTTCCCTTTATTTGCATCTAATGTCTTCGAAACCCTTCCTCCACTCATTTTATTTACTGCGTCATAAGCTCCAAGTGCTTTTGCTCCAAATGCTAATGCTTTTGTTCCCATTGCGCCTAAAGCTGCCCAAGCTACCATTTACACCATATTAAAATCATCTCTCTTCAATATTATCTCATAAAAGTTCTCGTTACTGGAGAAAGTCAATGAAACATAAACATTCTCATGGACTTCGTCCTCGCCGCGTTGCGGCTTCATAAACTTCTTTCTTATCTCATCTATACGCTTCAAAATGTCTGAACAATTGCTAACATCTTCTACAACAGTTATTTCATCATGAATGACCTTCAAGAACAAGCTCATTTAATATGCTATTAAAATCATCTCAATAATGAGTCCATCCTTTCCGTCTTTGGGTAGCACAACATCTTTCATTGAAGAAGGTTCGACAAGTCTTATGTTAAACTTACTGACAAAGTTTGTTATACTATAATGCTTCGGTGGCGAATACATGTAGTTTGAAAGACATAATATAGATTCTTCAGCAAATTCACTTATACTGGATTTTATAACAATGTTCTCACGAGACCAAATACCACCAATTGACAATCTTGTAAGCAATCCTGCTGAACCTTCTACTGTAAACGTCGATGGTAACATTCCACGAAGGTCATCAATTGACATCTTTGAGTCACTGAATTTAAATATTTTCTTAAAGCAATCGTCATTATCTAACCATGCAATAGCTTTGAAGTTTTCATTCGAATATACATCTGCTTCATTAAATGTAAAACCTGACTTATTTGCAGAGATGACTTTAAAATCTATTGAGTTTGTTTCAAAATTATATGCTATGCTAACTTCTGAAGGTAATGGATGTCCTTCCGCAGTCAGTTGTTCTCTCACTACCGTTTGAAGCTTTGTGTTAAAAACTTTCATGTCATCTCCTGTGTCTAGGTTCACATACACAGCAACAGGAAAACTATCTTGCTTCTTTGTTTCATCATTATACCTCAAAACATTAAAGTTCTTCAATAATATTGTTCTTCCTGCTGGAATACTTCGAACCTGTCTGATTTCAATAGCTTTCTCACCTCCTACATACTCTACCCAGTGCCTTGGATATTCATAAGTATACTGACTTTCTTGAATTTTGGTAGGTTTCATCATAACGTGTTCATAGTATATCTTTATACTCTTGTCAGTTAGACTCGGTGCTATGTTCTGAATATTTCTGACTTGCATTTTTAATGGAGATAAAATGAAGCATTTAATACATGACGTAGATGAAGACATGAATGAAACTACAGACAAACTTAACTCTTCTCTTATTCTTCCTTTCAGTAAGGACTATGAATTCTGTTCAAATGGCGTTTATTTCTATTGTGGAAAGATGGGTTCAGGTAAGACATTTAATTTAATTCGTCATATACTCATAACAGAACGTTTAGGAAATGACTCATATTATGACCAAATCATTATATCAGCAACTTCAGACTCTATGGACTCAACAGCGAAAACATTTATGTCAAAAGTTCAAGCCTCTGTCGTTAAAGTTCCAGACAGTGAACTCATTGAATTTCTTCAACGTTACATTCGACGTAAGAGGAAATATTATGCCATCGTTGAATTTATACAGTCAGGAATGCAAAAGACTTCTGAGGAGATGGAAAGAATTATTGACAAACACCACTTACGTCAGTACTCAGGAGTTTACGATATGAAACGACTGACAAACTACATTCTATCAAAACTTTCAAAATACCCCTTCAAAAAATATCCTTCAAACACTCTGCTCGTTTGCGACGACTTCGCTGGTAAAGGTTTAGTGTCAAAACCAGACTCACCATTAGCTAACATCATTACTAAAGTCAGACATTACCACTTAACTGTAGCAATACTTATGCAAACATGGAGGTTTTTAGCTTTAAACATAAAACGTCTCATAACTGACTTCGTTATCTTTCAAGGTTTCTCACGTTATGATATTGAACTCATTTGGAAACAGTCAGGTATAACATTACCTTTTGAAGAAATTTGGGAAGCATATAAGTCTCTCATCTCTCCTCGTTCATACCTTGAGATTCATATCATGACTAATACCATTAAAGTCAAAAAATATTCCATGGGAACGACCAACATTGTTTTAAAGTTTAACCTTCAATTGACTGATGGTAAACAAATTCCATGCATCTCTGTCGCCATTTCTGTTAATATTTTTGCTGTCATTCATATCATCCACTTCTCCATCCGTTAGCTTTTGAGGATATGTGTTAGAATAGCTGTTCTTAAATGAAGGCTTTTCACCTTTGAGAGCATAAACTCTATAACTTTCTGCATACTTTATGTTTGAACCTCCTGAGCCATCATTGACATAAATTTTTATAGGCTTCCACCCTTTGTTCATGTTCCTGCTTCTTCCCTTAGCTCTTTTGTTCAGTAGTTCTACATCTTTATACACAGCTCCTGTCTCAGTGAATTCAACAATATTTTCATTCGTTAGCTTTACATTCAAACCCTTGTCGAGTATATTGTTCATTTCATACATATAAAAGGTTTTTATTCTATATGAAATGAGAAGCAAATCCATCTTAGCTGGTGCCGTTAATGTTCCAATTGAACCAACATCAAATGTTGACTCACGAACGACAAACAATATTGTCATAAAGAACTATAGTTCAGAGTGTTTGAAAGAAAAAGAACCAGAACTGAAATCCGTGAATTTAAACTCAGCTTCAAACGCTAACGCTACATCAGATGTTAAGTTAGAGTATCCACCACTGGACCAAATTCTTTCAAGAGAAGCCAACGACAATCCTTACATAAATGTTCAAACAAATCCTTCAGATAACGTAGACCATTACCTTCTTCAGTTATACCAAACAATTTTACTCAAAGACGATAAGAAGCTTTTGACAAATCTTATAAGCAAGAACCAAATAATTTTAACAAAGGAGGACCTTGAAAATGTTATCTCACGAATAACAGGGAAACAATGTGTCATTGACTATCTCGACCCTGAAATCGAATGCTGTGGTCAAACGCCACCATTCATGAAAATAGGTAACATCCGCATCATTGAAACACCAGGAACTACAGGAGTTGAGTTTAAGTATAAATATTCGAACGAGTATACAAAACTTTCAACAGAATATAAACTTTGCTTGAAATATGTTTTAGTAAATTAAAGCAGTCAGGAGGGCTCTTTGAGCCCATCTTGGCGCTTTGCGCCGTCAGTCAAAAAAATTCAAGTTAGCAATTTGTAATATCTGTCCAAAACTTCTTCAACAGTATCGAACTCATCTTCATAATGCAAACCTAATCTTATTGACTTGGTGCAGTTTTCACTAACACAATATAGCGCTTTGCGCTCGGCGCCTTTGACGCCTTTTTCTGTTCTCTTGACTGACATAACTAATTCATTTGTTTCATCAAACAGCAACAACCAAAGTTCATGACCTAATACATAACATTCATACTTTATATTTTTAGCTCTGAGTTCTCTTGTAAGCTGTTGCATTTAATATTTTCTAAAAAGTCAACTTCAACAGTCATTCGCACTGGTGCCTTCAGTTCTACAGGCTCTCCTTGAAAGTCAACAAGTCTGAATTGCATGTCTTTCAAATTATGAGGACTAATGCGAACCCATTTACCTAAATGAGTTGCTATGACAGGAACGTTTGGAATGAACATTGAATTGACTGCATAACAGAAGGATTTATATTCTACTGAACCTTTACTATTAACTCCTGAAATGCCTGTGACATTAGCTATTTTTGACTCAATGTATAAACAATTACCATAACATACGTATGGAACAGATTTCATCTCAATCGTTTTGTCAACACTTTTCAAAGGAAATGTCATATGGTATGCACCCAGAAGCAATTGAACTCTATGACTCATTCGTGTTATCTTAAACTCCTTTGCATAACTGAACTTCAAAACTCCTGCAATAAGTTTAACATTCATTAAGTTTTCTTCGTTATCCTTGTTTATTGTAGTATTTATGAGAGCATTTAACACTCCAGCTAATGTTTCCATCTTATATTCTACATTATTGTGAAATCTTATTTCGTGCTTCTTTCCATCTATTTCAAACTCCATGAAATCTCCTTCATCTGTTATGACAAAAGTTGCGATAGTATTGAAGTCAACAACTCTGAAAGCAAGTGCTTCATTCTGTAGACCTAAGTTTGTTTGTAGCTTTACTGTCCCGTATTCGTTTGGGTCTGTACTTTGCAAATAGAACAACATTTTATTCTCATTAAAATATGACTATTGCTGCATATGCGTATGAAACAAATGAAGCAAGAAGAGCACATGAACTAGTAAACGAAAACTCAACTTTAACCATTGAAGGCAATGATTTAGTCATTGACGATGGAAAAACTAAAAAAGTCATTGATTTCGATACTTTTAACACTTATGACCCATTCATTACAACAAGCAAAGTTCCTATCATAAATGATGGAACGGTGCAATATATAAATTCTACAGTAGATGCCTCATTAGTGAAAGTACTGAATGTTCTCATTGAATTGTTAAAGAGCTTTCGATTTGACGACAACATTAAATGCCTAAAGAATTTAGTCATGAATGAGAAACAAATTCTTGGCGTTGCTGGTAGCAGTAATGATGTACACCTTATGACATTAGAATATTATAACGAACATAAAGATGAACTGAAAGGAGAGAAGGGTGACACCGGACCTCAAGGACCACAAGGAATACAAGGAATACAAGGAATACAAGGACCTCAAGGCGAAAACGGTTTGGATGGAAAGGATGGAAAGGATGGAAAAACTGCTAAATCATGGATATGGGACCTTATAAATACTGGTTTAACAGCTGCTTCATATGGAGTTCTTCAATACCAAATCGGAAAGATATGGGCAGTACTTGGTGAACAAGTTTTAGATGACGTTAAAAATGCTTTGAACTTCATTTCAAATGGTTCGGATACTATTAAAACTTTATCTGGTTGGATGCAAGAAACAAGGAGTCAAATAGATACTGTAAGACGTATAGCAAACAATGCACGTACGGGATTGGATACTTTACGACAAGCACAAAATACACTAAAGGAAGCAAATGATATTCTTGGCTCAGTATCAGACATGCATGAAGATTGGCTTAAAGGTATTGACAAATCTTTAAAAAATCACAGTCAGTCTATTGCTGACTACAGAAAAAGTATAGATTTTTTACATAGTGCTATGGACGTACATGATGGAAGCATAAGGAACTTACTTAATGCTAACAATAACTTACCAGGAACTATTAAAGCATTTATAAAGTCCTTTGTAAAACCTGGTGCTCTAACATTTAGGTCTTTGAGAGCAAGAGCATTGAAGTCAAGAGATGCAGAAACTCCAACAGAACCTACAGAAGGAACTGAAACAACAGAAACTCCAAAAGAACCACCAAAACCAACAGCTAATGAAATATTGTTCGAATATTTTCCAAGGTACTCTGTTCTCATTGCATACATTCAAGAAATACTTAAGAAAGCAGACTTGACTTTAGGAGATGATGAAAGTTCTGTATATCTTTCGTTCCAGTTTCAAATAGCAGAACTTTTGAGACAGATATGTTTAATGTATGACAACATCTCTGATTTCACAAGATATGATGACGACCATGACCCGAACACGGTGAAGAAGAAGTTTTACAAACATCCATTAAGACAGGAAAGGTTTTAACTCAAAGTCTCATTATTGACACCAAAGATGGCGAAGTGGACGTTCTTCAAGAGCTGAAGAAAAATACTTCTTCGGGAGGTGGTGGTAGGCATGAACTTGAAATAAATGAGATAGAAGAGAAATTAGCCGAAAAAGCAGATAAAGAACATAAACACAATATCTCCGATATAAATGAACTTCAAGCTACATTAAATAGTAAAGCGGACAAAAATGAACTTGACGCAACGAACAAAGTTTTGAAATCTCATAAACACAATATCTCCGATATAAATGAACTTCAAGCTACATTAAATAGTAAAGCGGACAAGAACCATGTTCATTATATAACTTCAGACGAACAGATTATAACGGACTACCATGGATATTTAACACGAAGTGATGAAGCGAAGACAAAAAATGTTAATGAAAGAAGATATAAATACATTCGTGCTAAAGGTTATGACATAAGCTGTACTGTACAGTATGATGTAGCTAAAGCACAAGAAGCATTTAGTTATAACGATGAAATTTATGCCTCTACTTTCAATGTTAACGGTGTATTAGTTGAACCAAGATTTATGTTAAGAGTTAAGGCAAAAATAACGTTTGAAGATGCTATTAAAAGTAAAGCTGACAAAGTTGAACTCGAAGCAACGAACAAAGTTTTGAAATCTCATAAACACAACATCTCCGATATAAATGAACTTCAAGCTACATTAGACAGTAAAGCTGACAAGAACCATACACATAAATCCTTCACTACTGTTAGAGCAGACGACATAATACTGAACTTTGACCTTGGTTCAAGTGCACCATTAGAAAATCCAAGTACAAGCGTAAAAGATACACTAAACTCCTTAAATAACAAATGTATGAACATTGAAGGTCGTGTCAGAAACTTTGAAACACATGAACTACCAGCAATGTTAGATAAGAAAGCCGACAAAACTTATGTGGATGCAGAACTAACAAAGAAATTTTCGAAACCAGATACAATGACATTTACAACAGAAATTATAAATGGTGAACCAGCAACTCCATTTGAATTTGTTAGAGGTCTTCAACCAGATACTTTTGAATTTTTCTTGGATAATTCTATGAACTAACATTACATTATAAAAGTGGAACAAATGCAACATTTCATCCGGAGATACATTCCAAATGGTATTTAATGACATAAGTTCTTTAGAATATGTTTATAGAGTTATGAGCATATATGATTTAATATATCCTATAGGAGCTGTTTATACGTCTATGAATCCAATAAATCCAAACACTTTATTTGGTGGTAGATGGTATGAAATAGTTGACAGTTTTCCATTCTACACTAATACTCAGTCAATGAAGATGGGAGGTTCAAAGAAAATAGGTATTGAAAACCTTCCTTCACATATGCATAGGTTCAGTGGAAGAACATCTGTGGAAGGAAACCATTCACATTCAATAACAAAAAGAGGTTATATAAATCTTGCAGCGGGTTCGGATAGACAGGAATGCATAGATATGATATTTCAACTGACCCAGTAGATTCAAGCACAGGTATTTTCTGTGGAACTGCAGGAAATCATACACATGTTGTAGCTGGTATTACAGACCCAGCAGGTAATGGAAAAGATTATATGCCTCCTTATATAACAATGCACGCTTGGATACGAGTTGCGTTAAAATCTTTAACTTTACATTAAATGAGCTGCAAAGAAGTATTCGAACAACATCCATGGAGGTCATTTAAGAAGTTCAATGAAGCTGCAAAGAGTCGGGGATTTACTAACAGAGCTGAAGTGAAAAGGTTCTTTGACAAAAATGTTGTACATCAAACAAAAATAAACCCTTACGACTACTTTTTACCAATTTACTCCAACACTCCTGACGCATACCAATTTGACACTCTCATTCAAAGCAGAAAAGGATAAACCATTCCTCATCTTCATAAATGTTAACACTCGTAAAGCATATGCATATCCAATGAAAAATAAAGGAACTCGTGAAGTGTTAAGAGTTTTACAAAAGTTTGTAGCAGAACATAACCCAAGTACTTTAACATCAGACCAAGACAGTGCATACCTCAGCAACGAAATCACAGAATTTCTCATTAAGCATAACATAACTCACTACACTACTGAAGACCATAACCATAACATACTCGGTATCATTAACCGCTTCATAAGGACTCTCAGAGATTTAAATCAAGAGCGAGACTTTACCGAAGAAACAATGAAACATTTTCTCGAAGTATATAATTCCTCAACACATTCTACAACAGGACATACACCAAATTCAATGACACAACAACAAGAAGAAAAGTATATACAAAAGAAACGAAGCCAAACACAAAATATCAGAAATTCAACACAATTTACCCTCATTCCTGGTACAAAAGTTCGTGTAGTTCTTGACGACAAACCGTTGACAAAGAAACGTTTAAGGTTAAGTCGAAATTATTATATCGTAGACTCTACGCAAGGTAATGGATATCTTATAAAAGCTGCTGACGACTCCATAGCATTTTACCCTCGTCATAAATTAGTCGAAAGTAGTAATGGCAAACTTGCTGAAACCATTGACGAAGCAAAGCGAGGAGTGGTTATTGAAATACTTGGCTACAACATAAACGATGACACTTATAAAGTAAGATATGAAGGAGGTGTTGAAGATGTTATACCATCTAAGAACTTGAGAGAGTCAAAGCCAACACATCTGGGACCATTAGAGCGGGAGTACTGGAAAGATAAAAACATGCCAGAAAGAATAAGAAAATTCTTCTAAACTTTTTCGTTGGATGTAAATCAGACAAAAATATATTATAGGTGAACAGGTGAGATTTCACCTGTTTTCTCACCTCTTTTTTCACCTCTTGAATTTTCGTGAATTTTCACAAAAGACCAAAAATAATGTTAGTTTTATTTTTATTTATTTTTTATTTTGTATGTAAGAACAGAAATGTCAGTCGAAGCAAAAACATTCACTAACAAATCTAATGGCGAAACATTCACAAAAGGCACTTATAACGGTATTGAAGTCTTACGTAGAGACAAGGATGGTTACATTAATGCAACAAAGATGGCAAGAGAAGCGGGAAAGTTAAACCATTTAAACAGATTTCTCAATAGTGCTAAAATGCAGGAAATTCTTGAGTTTTGGTTGAAAGAATACGGTGGAGCCAAAAGTGGCTCGACCTCAAAACAAGCATTTTATGAGCTTACAAAGGGTGTTATAAATGAATTCAAAGGTATTTACATACATCCTGACCTCGTTCATTTTGTTGCTGAATGGTGCTCTGTAAAGTATGCATTTTATGTCAAAGATATTATGGACTCCATAGACAAGAAAGTTCATGAGAAGTTAGATGAAGAAGAACTCGAAGATACAGTGGAGAATGCTAAACCTTTGTTCGAAGAAGAAGTTGGAAAAATGTGTGAAAAACAATTAGAACATGAACGTGAGATATATTATGGTTATAGAGATTCTCCATACGAACTAGACCAATGGGAACAAGAAGATTTAAAGAGAGAATTTAGAGAATATGAACTCGCTAAGATAGCATTTGAAGCTGCAGAAAAGAAGTTAAAAGTTTGGGGTCGTTTTGTACAAAAATATTGTGAGTAAATGAACCATTTATTTTTATTGAATTCACCAAAAATAATGTTTAGGTGAAGAGGTGAGATGTCACCCGTTTTCTCACCTGTTTTCTCACCCCAGTTTTTCACAAGCGTTTTACATGAATTGTACGATGTATATTTGAAATCCTAAACAATTTTAGCTTCTATTTCTTCTGTCAGTATGTCAAAAGTTTTAACAATGCCGAAAGTTTCTTTATATTTCTTCTTGACGTCAGATAGAAGGAAATCGTCAGCAGTTGGATAGTTTTTGTTCAGAAATGCTAACATGTCCATTTTATTTTCTGCTGGCTTTTCTGCTTCTTTCTTTAAGTCTGCATAGTCGTTTCGCATTCTTTCTATCTCTTTGACGGAGTAGTTATATTTCCTAATTGCTGCTTTACATTTAGAACATTGCGGATTCATTTTTGCGTTATACATTGAAACCTTACCTGCTAAAACAACCAAGGCGTCAATTGCTCTCTTCATCTCAAACATAGCGGGTCTTATCTGTTCATTCCATACCTTACCTCTTCTATCTTTATCTCTTATCTGCCATACACATTCAGCAACTAACGAAACAAAGTTATCGTAGGTCTTAAACTCCCCGGATTTATATATGTCAGAAACATTCTTATATACCATATCGCAATCTTTGTCCATAACCTTATGGTTGCAATGAAATCCTAGAAACTCATAGTTTACCTTTCGAATGAACTTCTTTATTTCTACTGAGTCAGTTGGTTTCACTTCTATTTCATCGAATTCAGGAATAGTGAGTTTTTGTTGCTGAATTTCAGGCAATTTAGGTAAATGGTCAATAATGTCCTGCATTTCATAAAGATACTGTTCATTTGTTTCATCTTTCGCACTACAGTCTAAATTACTTGTTAAAAGTTCTTGCTTTATCTTCTGGATTTTTGTTTCAAAAGTATATGAAGAAGGAATGAAGCTTTTCATCTCTACTAACATAGATGTTGGATTCATGACTAACGAGTTTGGTGAAGTTGTTGTGGACAGAGTCCCGCCGTTCGCGGCTTGAATTGTTGTTGTGCCGATTGTTGAAATCATATCTTTACATACAAAATAAAAAAATAAATAAAAATAAAACTAACGTTATTTTTCTATCTTAAGAAAATTCATGAAAATTCATGAGGGTGAGAAATTAGGTGAAAAAAGAGGTGACATCTCACCTCTTCACCTATAATATATTTTTGGTCATTTACACTCATTTACGAAGAAGTTATGACAAAGCATTTACGAAGAAGTTATGACAAAGCATTTACGAAGAAGTTATGACAAAGTCACGAGGGTGAAAAAAGAGGTGAGAAAACAGGTGACATCTCACCTCTTCACCTAAATTATATTTTAGGTCAAAGCTTCCACGAGAGAAAAGATTCCTCATTCGCTAAGGATTCCAAAAATGAAAAAATCATTGATTTCGGCTGAGAAAAAACAGCAAAACCCTTCTTCCACGGGAACAAAGAAATAAAGAAGAAATAAAGTAAATTTTTTATTTATTCCCGTGGAAGATAGAGCACTTTTATGACACTTTTTATTCACGACAAACAAGACAAATAAAGAAAATAAGAAAATACGGCGCTGTCGCGGTTCGAACCACAGACCTTGACCCCTCCATAACACCACCTTAGACCACTGTGCTACGTAGCCTGTCGACATAAGATTTTATAAATTGCATATTTGACGTAAATTTATTTCCATCTGGCTTCCCACTGCATAAGATATTCATACGTGTTTGTAAGACATTCATTAAACTTCTTTTCTATTGCATCTAATAACTTGTCTGTATTCTTCATCATCTCCAGCAGTGTTTGGGTCTTCACGTTTAAAATATTCATTGTTAACCAATTTTTTATCTACAAATTTTATTAGTGTTTGATTCACTTCGTTATGATAACGGTCATATTCTTTCAATACGTAAGTGAAGACAAAATGCGTCGTACCTTCAATCTTAAAGCTTAAAGAACTTTCAACACAGTTTTGAGGGTCTGTCAGTGCGTCAATGAGATAGTATTCGAAGTCAGTCAATAATCTTTTTAAAGTCATTTCATACAGGATAAAATTTAATGTTGTGAAGAAATAGTGTTTATCTCAAAAAAATAAAGTTAGTTTTTATTTTATTTATTTTTTTATCCTGTATGTAAAGACAGATATGTCAACATTAGAGAACACAACAACTGCTATCGTTCATGAAGTCATAAATGAAGAATACGAATACATACAGTATAACAAACAATTGAGACTCATTCGTTCAGTCAAAGACGACATGTACCAAATGCAAAGTATTTTGACGGCTTGTTTTGCTCCAGATACTAAGCTTCCTAAAGACTGGTTTAGGAACCAAAGCACCATAGAACTATTAAGTGAAGCACAGCGAGACGTACTTTTTCTGAAAACAGTGAAGAACAGCGAGTAGGTAAAAAATCCCAGTCGCCAAAACTCTATGAAAACCGTGAAAAATTGCCAAACGGTTTGAGAGGATATTATGTTCATAGACTTTTAGTAAATGCAGTTGCAATGTGGGCTTCACCACGTTATGCTTGGAATATTTACAAACTTCTTGACGAACTTCACAGACAAGAACGTGGAGAGATGGAAAAGAAACTTCAAGCAAAAGATGAAGTCATTGAATCCAAAGACAAAAGCATACAGAAAAGAATACCACGTTCAGTACCAAAAGGAAAGGAAAAGAACTATAAGTATATGATTTATACTGAAGAGTTGGAGAATGAAGAAGACAGAGATATGGTTATGTTGCATTTAGTCAGAAGAAACAACAAAAGCTTTTATGACCTTGCTAAAATATATAAATCTGACAGAAACTGGTTCTATCGTGAAAACTTACCGATTTCAATGACACCGAATGAGCAAATAAAAGAAATTGTCAAAAATACTCTTCCTCAAACACACTATGACATCAAAGGTTGCACAATACTTACCTTCAAAGAAGACTTACCATTACTGAAGGAAAAAATAACAGAATATTTCGACAACTTCAAAGAGGAAGAATGAAGTCACGACAACATTAACGAAGAGAGAATGAGGTGAAAAAACAGGTGAAATCTCACCTCTTCACCAAAAATATATTTTTGCTTAAATGACGTCAGGGTCAATTTCTTCAACCATTTCACTTCCTTCGTCAATGTCAATAGAAGCTTCTTCAACCTTTGGTAAGAACTTTTGTATAACATCTTTGTTCGTTATTGTTTTCAGAGATGAAGAATAATATTTCACATTTGTTTCACCCTTCTTATATTCTTTCTGTTCGGAAAGATTCATAGCAATACTGAAGAAGTCAATGTTGGAGTTCTTTATAATAGTATAATGAGTATCTTTGACATTCACGAAGAAACTCTTTTGTTTCAAAACTACTGCTCTCTTGGAAGTATAACGTTTGCGGTCAATGACAATAGCTAATGGTCTGACATACTGACCAAACTTAGATTCTTTCACAAACTTCTTGTTAAAGATAACATTAACGTTTGAAGCATTATTGAACTCATTCTTGATGACAGTAGCGAGAGCATTGTATGAAAAGAACTTGCAATCTTGCATGTGTTTCATTAAAATAAAATATTAAATTATTTTGAAAAAATAACTTAAAAAAAATCTAATCTAATTTTTTCAAAAATATTTTTTTTTATTTCCTACTAAAGATGTATCGGAAGTTGTCTAAGTTAGAACACTCGGAAATAAAACAACTTCTTACAGAAGCTAATATAGATGTTGCAAAGCATTACGCAACAAACAAAAAAGCACTCGCTGACTTCATTAAAGACTATAATGGTGCAATAACTTATGATAGAATTCATGAGTTCATAAAGCCGCAACGCGGCGAGGACGAAGTCCATGCAAGAGCATTTCCTTTAAATGACGTTGCTATTGACTATATCATAGACGTTCAGTACCTCATGAAGTAAGAAGAGAGATGTTTGACATAACAAATGCAAACGTTGGTGAAACAAGAAGAGCTGTACCTCATGAAGTAAGAAGAGAGATGTTTGACATAACAAATGCAAACGTTGGTGAAACACGAAAGAGAGATGACACACTGAAACAACAGAGAAGAGAGATGTTTAAAAGTGCTATAGAACAAGTTCGCAAAGCTAACGATGTCATTCGTTCCATTGACGACAAACCAAAAGAAGGTGAGAGATGGTTAAAGAAAGATGAAGAAATAGGAAGAGAATGTGAAGTCAGGCAATAGACTCATTGACTTTAACATCGAAGCTTTAGATGAACCAAACAGAGACTACTTACACAAACATTTCGGTAAGGTTTTCATGAGACTCTTAGAGAAAATTAAAATAAACTCACAACAGAGATGGATGGTATGTTATAAACTTGGTGGAAAGTATGAATGTTCTACGTTAAACCTCAATAATATTGGAACATTACTACATCAGCTCTTGAAGGAGAACTTTATATCAGAGATAGAAGCAAATGCTGCAGGTATTGTTGAAATGCACTATGACTTCTTCTTGACAAACATAAAGAATCTTACTGAAATAAAGATGTATGATTTAACAGAATATGAAGGCTTAACGATGTCAGATGTAAAGAAAGGCAAACCAAAAAAGAGACCATATAGAGATGAAAGCACACTGACAAATGACCAGAAAGATTTTGAAGCTCTTAAGCAAACAGAGAAACAGCATATAGAGCTTTTGGAAGAAATTGGTGAAAAGAAGTTTTATAAGAAGAGAAGCGGTCAGTTCTGGAAGTATCTTTGCACATTACCTATAAATCTTGAACGCTACCAAATCTTCAATGAACTGAACAAAAGAACTGCAACACTTATGACAGAGGACAATTGTTTCGTTTATGCTTGCATTCAGGCTGGAGTAAATGAAGAAACTATTGACCACATGAGAGAAGTCATTCGTGTTAGAGACTTTCCTCAAAGTAAAGTACAAGAAATTTCGACGCAACAGGTATAGCATTTAATGTTACCATTGGTTATTTCAATGACTCAAGACATAATGAAATAAAGAGATATATACCAAAAGAATGCGAAACTGTTAGAACTATTGACTTACTTCTTGTTGAAGACCACTACATGCTAAATGAAAGATTACCAATGACAACATACTTCATTCGAAACTATATAGAAATCTAAAGTGTGGTGGAATGAACATTGAGAAACAGATGAAGATTTATACAAAGAGAGAAGATAAATATGTAGTTCGTTATGATAGAACAACACCGTTATGGGATGTTATGAAAACATTGTGGGAGTGCAAATATTTCGAACCTATTTCTTATGGAGAACTTTTCACATATACTACTGACTTATATAAACAGAACCTTGCACCATTTAAAGATTTGACATATGCTCCAAAGTATTGTGTACAACTGAAGAAGAAAGCAGAGTCAAAAGAAGTAAATAAAGCTAAATGTAAATTCATTCCTGAGCACGTTTTCTTTGCTGACTTTGAGTGTAGTACGGATGGCTTTCATAAAGCTTTTAACATCTGTTATGACAGTGAAGATGGTTCAGTTAGTGAAAGCATTTGGGGTCAAAACTGTGCAACAGAATTTTTGGAAAGACTTCCTGACAAGAGTTTAATATATTTCCAACCTCAGTTATGACATAAACTTCATCTTAAGACACATGACAGAAGTGAAAGGAACTCCCATCATTAAAGGTTCACGAACAATGCAAATAACTGGTTTATATAAAGGACGGGCAATTATTATAAAAGACTCTTACAGTGTTATAAATAAGAAGCTTAAACTATTTCCTGCTATGTTTAACTTACAAACAGGACCGAAAGAAGTATTTCCATATAACTACTACAGCAGTGTTTTGTTAGCAAATGACAACAGAACTGGTGTCATTTCTGAAGCATGTAAGTTTATCCATGATGCAGATACATTTATGAAAACATAGATTCCATCAAAGGTTGCAGAATAGATGAAAACCACTTCGACTTAGAAAAATATAGCACGTTTTACTGCAAACAAGATGTAAGAATTTTAAGAGAAGGTTTTGTAAAGTTCCGCAATGACTTATTGAAAGAGTTTGATTTAAACGTTTATGACTACGTTAGTATTTGTTCTATTGCTAACAAATTGTTTGAGAACAGAGTATACTTCCCGAATGGAAATCTTTATGACCTCTCAAATAAACCAAGAGAATTTATTTCGAGATGCATTCAAGGTGGAAGATGTATGTTGTCAGATAACATGAAACAAAAGAGCAAAAAGAAACTCATTGCTGACTTCGACACTGTTTCATTATATCCTTCAGCTATAGCAAGACTTTATACTTTAGAAGGTATTCCAAAAGTATTGAAGGAAGAAATGTTAAGCACAGAGTATCTCATGAGACATTTATTCGATGATGACCAAAAGGAACCCATTGGTGAAAAGTTTATGTCTGGCTTCTTTGTTCTCATTAAGATAACAGAGATTGGTATACCCAGACACTTTCATTTAATAGTTTGCGACCCTGAACTAAATCCAGAACTTAACGTTCCAAGAAGTTCAAACACTTGCTGTCTCATGTATGTTGACCATATAACATTACAAGACCTCATAAAATATCAAGGTGTCAAATGTGAAGTGTTGCAAGGATACTATTACGATGGAAACAGAGATATGAGAATAAGAGATGAAGTAAAGAAGTTGTTTGAGTTAAGGTTAAAGTATAAGAAAGAAGGAAACCCCTTACAAGAAATTATAAAACTCATTCTGAACAGCATTTATGGCAAAACTATTCTATCTCCTATTGAGTCAAAAATAACCATAGTAAATGACAAAGATGCTATAAGATATGCTATAAGAAATTACAACCATATAGTGAAGTTCGAAGGTTTGGATGGTTCAGATAAAACTATTTTCAAGCTAACGAAAAGCATTTGCAGACACTTTAACTTCTGTCCACTTGGTGTTAATATTCTGTCTATGTCAAAACGTATTATGAATGAAGTATTCTGTACTGCAGAGGACATGGGACTTCAAATCTTTTACCAGGATACCGACAGTATGCACTTATATAATGAAGACATCCCAAAGCTTGCAGCAGAGTTTAAGAAGAGATATGGTCGCGAACTTATAGGAAAGAACCTTGGTCAATTTCATAGCGACTTTGCAGAAATAACACCTGGAAAACAAAGTTTAGCTTATAAAAGTATTTTCTGTGGAAAGAAGACCTACATAGACTTACTCACTAACGATTTAAATGAAGTTGCATTTCACTGCAGAATGAAAGGCGTGAAGCAAGATGTTATTGCTTTAACCGCTAATGAAATGTTTCCTGAAGCTATACAATGCTATTACAATGAAGATAAGAACATTCACATACCTGTTGGAACATATGACAAAGACTCTGAGTTCAGTTTAATGAAACTTTACAAAGCACTTTATGATGGTCAAGAGATTGCATTCGACTTATGTAAGTCATGTCAACCTTGCTTTGCTGAAAAGTTCAACTTTTCAATAACGACTAAAACAAGCTTTATTCGTAAGTTGAAGTTCTGAGGTCATGGGCTTCGCCCTTGCCGCTAGCGGCTTATTTTTGTCAGCAATGAGGTCATTTATTTTTGTCAGCAATGAGGTCATTCGTGATAAAAATAAAGCTAGCGTAGATTTTACAATACAGCTATTGTAGAGTTTAACAATTGTGCTTCAATGTATAAAACAATCTTTCCCATCTGGAGGTAAGAACACTGGACATTTATGGTCATGAGTGGAGAACATGTCTATCCAAAACTCACGATTGAAGCCAGTTAATTTATAGTATTTAGGGTTAGGAAGTGGTGAAGTTCTTGTATGACCAATGAACTCATTTTCAACTCCCTTACTTAAGTTTGAATATAATATAGCTTGCTTTCTATCCCAAATGCCAGGTGTTACAATCTTTGAAAATTCATTTTTCCTCGGAAGCATTGCATCATAATTGAAAACATTCTTGAATCATCATTGGTTCAGAGATTTGAATCTTATACGTAATGGATTTTCTTTCTTTTTAGCGACTTCATTGAATGGTGAGAATACAATGAATTGAC